CATCGGCACGACACACAGGTGCGCACGGTTGCTATAATTCGTCGGATCAGTGCACGACATCGCGTATAGCTGCAATTCAAAACAATTCAAAAAATGATTCAGCTTTTGATTTGAAATTGAGATCCTAGAATGCTGTTTTGCTCGGAATATACAGCTGAAGCTGCGCTGAAACTTCATCAGGTTAGTTGTTCAGTATCCTTCATTAGATTTTGAACACTTTTGTTGCTTCAAACGAACAAAATGCACAAATTACAAATGACGGACTATATCTTTAAGCCTATACCTATACCGGGCTTTTGACGCCGCTCTTAACGTAATTACTCTGACCTAAAATCACTCTAACGCGGATAGGGTAAGTGCAGGTAATATGGGACCAATAAGCTCATTTACATAATTTGCGTAAAGATAGACAAAGTCATTCAAAAGAAACATTGGTTATTGGAATCAACAACAACTACCCTTCCTTTTAATGCAACAATTTATGCCATGTTGTATCCATTATGACAGTTAGATGCAAGTATGACGTCATCACCAAAGGTAATATGGGACGGTGTATGCAGGTAACATGGGACACTGTGTGCAGGTAATATGGGACGGTGATTCTAAGACATTGCAGTGATATTTAAATTGCTTTGCACAAGTGAAATGTATTTACAAATGCAAATCAATGCAACAATTAATACCATGTTGTATCCATTATGACAGTTAGATGAAAAGTATGACGTCATCACCAAAGGTAATATGGGACGGTGTATGCAGGTAATATGGGACACTATGTGTAGGTAATATGGGACGGTGATTCTAAGCCACTGCAGTAAACAAACCCTGTCCACCATTTCCCCATATTACTTGCACCTCGTTGTGACGCGGAGCTCCCATTCAATGGTTAAAAAATCCTTTAACATTTTACGGTTAATAAATCCTTAAACACAGTACCCCACACGCTCAACACGCTGAAAACACTTCATAAAGTTCCTAAATATTACAAGAATTCAGCTTACCCCCGGACTGCTCAACAATTTCAGCATATTTTGTAAAATATCTATTTTAGATCAGAGAAAACAATACTGCTAACTTCACATACCTTGTCCAATTTAAGTGGTCTTATTCAGTACAATTTCAGTTCGTCAACTAATCATCCATGTTTGCAGTGAAGGCAATTATCTATTACAACTATTGGGGCGCTATTTCTTGCCGCCGAAGGTTTACAGTTGAACAGGCGCCGATTTCAATTCATGCGTCCCATAATACCTGCAGTCCCATATTACCTGCACTGACCCTATGTGAAAAAAAACAGTGCACTTTTGCATAAAAGCGTGAAACTTGGCACAGATGTGCATATTCATGCTAAACAATGTTTTAGATGTGGAGCCATCTCAAATTTACCCTTTTAGGGGTTTGGCCGCCTTTTTAAAAAAGGGGGCTCATCATGCCCGCAGTGAAAACTGTTGTTCCCACTTGTCACAAAAGCAGGAAACTTCACAAAGACATAATTATATAGATTTTAAATGTTTTACAGATGTGGAACCATGGGAAATATTGTGCCCATATTTTACGATCGAATAAAACGTCTCACAGACGTTTATATTCATGAGAAAAAAATGGTAGAATTAAATAAATTGATGCCAAGGCACCCATACAAACTGGTTTCATTTTCTCTTTCCCACATTGCGTTGCAACGGTATCAGCGAAAAGGAAAAGGAGAAGGTTACAGTCACGCCCATATATTGTTTTTCTCTCCCTTAACAGTGTCTTGTGTCGCGACACGGAGAACAAATTGGCGATGGGCTGCAATGGCAGTCCAAACAGAACATTCGCCTCACTTTTGCACAGGAACGAAAGTCCATGTCTACACGCTATCTCAAAAATTAATTGGAGCATTGAATTGAATTGTGGCAAGATGATTGGTCATAAAAAGAAGACAAGCTAGACAGAAGATTCAAACAAAATGTTGTTTTTCTCTTCCTAAACAGTGTCTTGTGTCGCAACACGGAGCAAAACTTGGCGATGGGCTGCAGTGTCAGTCCAAACAGAACATTTGCCTTACTTTTCCACAGGAACGATAGTCCACGTCTACACGCTATCTAAAAATTAATTGGAGCATTGAATTGAATTGTAGCCAGATGATAGGTGATAAAAAGAAGGCAAAATAGACAGAAGATTTAAACGAAATATTGTTTTTCTCTCCCTAAACAGTGTCTTGTGTCGCAACACGTGGCAAAACTTGGCAATGGGCTGCAGTGGCAGTCCAAACAGAACATTTGCCTCACTTTTGCACAGGAACGATAGTCCACCACAACATGCTATCTCAAAAATTAATTGGAGCATTGAATTGAATTTTAACCAGGTGATTGGTAACTGAAAGAAGACAAACTAGACGGAAGATTTAAACGAAATATTGTTTTTCTCTCCCTAAACAGTGTCTTGTGTCGCAACACATAGCTAAACTTGGCGATGGGCTGCAGTGTCAGTCCAAACAGAACATTTGCCTCGCTTTTGCACAGGAACGATAGTCCACCACGACATGCTATCTCAAAAATTAATTGGAGCATTGAATTGAACTTTGGCCAGATGATTGGTAATGAAAAGAAGACAAAGTAGACAGAAGATTTATACGAAATATTGTTTTTCTCTCCCTAAACAGTGTCTTGTGTCGCGACACGGAGAACAACTTTTGGCGATGGGCTGCAGTGTCAGTCCAAACAGAACATTCGCCTCACTTTTGCACAGGAACGATAGTCCACGTCTACATGCTATCTCAAAAATTAATTGGAACATTGAATTGAATTGTGACAGATGATTGGCCATGAAAAGAAGACAAAATAGACAGAAGATTTAAACAAAATATTGTTTTTTACTTCCTAAACAGTGTCTTGTGTCGCGTCACGGCGAACAACTTGGCGACGGGCTGCAGTGGCAGTCCAAACAGAACATTTGCCTCACTTTTGCACAGGAACGACAGTCCACGTCTACAAGCTATCTCAAAAATTAATTGGAAGATTGAATTGAATTGTAGCCAGATTATTGGTCATGAAAAGAAGACAAACTAGACAGAAGATTTAAACGAAATATTGTTTTTCTCTCCCTAAACAGTGTCTTTTCGGGCCGCTTTTAAGTTACTTAGTCTGATTGAAAATCGTTCTTAAGTTACGTTTCTATAATCTACAAGCTCCAAGCTATCAAATGATATCGGTACTGGTTTTGTTCTTGTTCTCAACATTTTGATTAAATGCAAAATTGGCCACATTTGGCATGGCACCAATGGGCCTTTGTTTGATCTAGCGAAACTTAAGACTGGCCATTATGTGATTAGGGTCGATGATACTATGCTTTAAGACAATCAGGGGATTTGTTCCCGAAATATTGATTAAACCCTATATCCAGCTCTCAGTCTAATAGCTTATTCAGGAAGTCGTGCGTACTTCGCGCGCGAAACAATACAGTACAGCACTCACAGGCACATCGTCCACGGACCTCTCAAAAGTGGTAAAACGCGCCCTCTTTTTTGGCGCAAGAAGCCCTTACAAGCAGGATTTTGCCAACAGTTTTGAGAGCAAAATGCGCGTCCAGGTTTTATTAGATGTGAGTATAGGGCGCCCTCTTGGCCCTGGATCCTTCACAGGAATCTCAGGGACTTTCTTCAAATGCAACCTGCTCTCACGCCTCGCCTCCGTGTGTTTTGCTTCTAGTTTTTGTTGTTGTTCTTTGTGTTACACGCCTGTGTTACATGACTATAAAAATATCATACAAAAAGCAATGTAAAGTCGAATAACAACCACATTAAAGGACAATTTTGTTATTTCATTTGTATTTTATTCACGTACATGTACACTATTGATATTCATCTTTTAAAGTATACACTTGCAACTACGTTACATAAACTATACACGACGTTATTCAAGTTATGTGCATGGTATATCACATGACAGTATTATTCCCAGAACCAATTACAAATGCTGTCAATCGTTTCAAATCGCCATAATTTTACTAAATTTGGTTTCTTTGAAAATAACAGATCTATACTCAGAATCATTGACATCAATACGATTGGCACTCGCCCTGATTTGAAAACCACATAAATTAAAGGTTGAATGAGATAGCCAATTCAAAGAGAAACGATGTTGAATATCAATTACGCACCTGAATGGGCCTTGATATAGTACTTCAGGGGTTTTCTAAACACAATGGATATCTGTAATAGGCCTATATATATCTCTCTCTTTTTTTAGTAGAGTAGATATTAATATATTTTTTTTAGTGAAAATTCTCTCTAGGGACCACACGTAAATTTAGGAGTAGAGATCGTTCAATCGAATAGATCAACAGCGGGCCAACGAATTCGTGTTCATGAATGAGTCACGTGATTGTGCCATGTACTTTCTGGAAGGAGTATTGTTTTGAGTAGAAAAACGAATCAGCTTTTTGACCTCAGTGACCCCATGATGACCTTTGACCCCAGTTTGGTCATGTGACATGTTGGGGCTGGGCTACTGATACTTTTGACAAAGTTTGGTTGAATCGGTCAAAATATGTAGGAGCAATAATACTTTGGCTATCCCGCAGCTCAAAAAATCAATATAAATTTGGTTGTTTTCATATATTTATTAATTTATTTATTTTGAAGAGCATTTAAAATTAAACCGTCTGGTCCCCAGTTTTACCCTTTGGAAATTAGATATTAGAAAATAGAAATTAGATAAGGCATAAATGTCTACACAAATAAATGTCCGTGTACGGCTTTTATTATTTAAAAATCCTTGACATTCACATTGTACTGGAGATACCATCACTTTTATCAGTTTTATTGCCTTGTTATTCAGGTCGTTCAGTGGCTTAGTGATGGTTTTTGTAGTTAAGTTTGCATGCCTGTAAGAACAACATCTTTTCCTAGTAGTTGTGAAGAACATAAGTTTGTGCAGATAGCACTGGCACAGCAATTCTTTACTAACTCTGTCAGCACAGAATCCCCATAATAAGATAATAATATAGGAGCTCGGGTAAAAACTAACTGATAATATCACCATTTTATGTGTTTATTTCATCAAACTTACATATGTACATCTTACAATTTTGAAATGTGAATGCACATTACCAATACTGTGAAAAACGAAATAACCACACAAACTAATACCATTTCTAATCACGAGGGACAATAAAGTAGTTACGGGATATGTCACCAACTGGTTAATATCACCATTTTATGTGGTTACTTCATCAAACCCATGTGTACATATTGGCCACATTTTGATATGAAATACACATTGCCCATAGTTGTATATAATCAGCAACTTACTTCCGAGATACATTTTGTTTCCTGTACACCTTAATCACAAGGAAGCCATTGATCGTGTTCCTTGAATGTATTTCATAAATTGTTAGCTGTTGAACTGGATGGTGCCAGACTAGTTATCCGTTTCAAGCCTCACTTTTTCAGTGATATGTTTTTAAATGTGGCTAAAACATTAAGCTATGTATAATTACAAAGTTTTAATTATTTCAGAGGAGACTGGTATTAATTTGTAATTAACTTTATGTCATTGCTTTCGTTTCTATTCGCAAGTTCCGAAATATGAAGATTTGACCTCGCTTTCAATTTAATATGACCGACTCGTAATTAAAGCCTATACCCGCACAATTTCTGCGCCGCAGGTTAAATTGGTGACCCGACGAGCCACATGACGTCTCTGTGGTCATCGTGGCCGTGACCAGGTAGCCGTTACATTGACACCGCAAAGCCCTGTCCTCGACCGAGTGAGCGCATACTAGAGGCAAAAGGCTGAGACGGACATTAACTACATCAGATGCTGGGAACTTCGCATCGCCTGGTATTGAATGTCGTAAATGCGAGCCTTGACTAGTTGGACTCAACATGGACAGGCATGATAACAAGTTTAGGTATATTTGATGTTAAATCAAACAATAATTGTACATCCTAAAGTACCCGCTCTATCGAGAATATATCCGAGTGTCAACGAAAACGTATTCGGTAAACTTCGACCTTTTTTCGGAAACGGGAATAATCCTGTCCATCGTGGTCATGTGATATTGCCCCCCCCCCCCCCGCAGAAACAATAATTAGGTCAGGTGATGGTAATACCTAACATTATTATTATTATTAATAATTCAAAGCAAGACCAGTATTTTTTTGTTTTCCACTTTTCAATTCTGTACAAACGTTAATGATTAAAATGTACATGATTATCCGAAAGTCAATTTGTGCAGAGAGTCCGCACACTACTGCCTGAATATATACCACTAGTAGTTGAAAGAGTGCACATTGAATTAAAGCAATCAAATTGGAATAGTTAACCGATTGATGTCCCACAATACAGGGGGATGGATGTCCACACAACGTTATTAAGTACTCGGCAGTACTCGGTACTCGGAAAAAAGGACTCGGCTACAACACAGGGAAGCATGAACACAATAATTGTGCGTCTACAAAAAAACTTTCGTTTTGTAAATACGTGGAGGACAGTGCCAAATTACTTATTATTGTCTTTGTTCAATACCTAAGAAAAGCGTGAGTACCCAGGCCTTTCTGTTACACACAAAGTGTCATATAGTGTGTAGATTCTAAGTGCAGTAACAAAAAAGGTGGAGTTGGTCCTGTTGTTCTCATGGATCAAAATTAATCTTATACTGAGTTTCGTCTAGAGCAAAGACATGACGAAAACCCTTGATTGAAACAGACTGTCTTTAGGTGCCGAATTGACTGTTATAATTTCAGATTTGTGCTAAAATGACTACATTTTGTTAAAGAGTATTGAGACTGCGAGCATGTGACAAAGCTTTTGTCATCTTCATGGCGAAGCGCCAAGTGTTTATCACTGGACTCAGTTGGCGCATAGGATGAAGTGAGTTGTTTATAAACCAGCAGGATATCGTGGATTCAAATTCACTCTGGTAAGACCTTTCTCTCCTGTGAGTTGTTCAAGGAACGGATATTTTTATCCCATGTTATTCATTTCCTCCAGGTCTGCATTATGTTACGCTACCAGATTTGCTACAAATTTGTTCTTACAGCTTAGAATCTCTAGCATCGACATCATCTTCATCATCTTGCAATCTGTTTTCGAAGCTATTGTTATCGGGCGGGTCTGCTTTGTCAATCGGTAGTGAGGTGACGCTATCGCATCTTTTCCGAGTGCAGCGGTCACCGCACACGGTCTGCTTGAAGGCATGGCGGTAGATCCTGCTGGTCAAGTTGTAGATGACCGGGTTGATGGCAGAATTCAGGAAGATGAAGACGTGGCTGATGGTCAACGGGAGAACAAGCTTCCGGTAGGTGACCGCAGATGGCGTGCCAAGGAGATAGTCCACGATGTTGGCCAAGGAGATGATGACGAACGGAGCCTGGCACAGGAAGAACACCGTACCGAAGGTGATGAGAAGCCGCGAGACTTGATTGCGAATCTGAGTGGCCTGGGTAGGGATCGTCTGCTGCTGCTGTTTCTTCTTGTTGACTCGGGCGCTGAGGTGAAGGATGATCCGTGCGTACATGACCGCATTAACCACCAGAGCCACAACAAAGACCACCGCCTCCACCAGATGCCCGACTATCAACCCAGCCGCCGAGATAGAGACGCAGTATCCAAGCACCACAGGGAGGTCTTGATACTTCTCCGTGTCCGGCCACACAGCGCAAAATTTAACCTTCCTGGCGAAGCGAGGTATGACCAATCCAGCCAGCAGTACGGCAACTACCCAGCTGCCGATGATGAGCCGAAGTGCCCGTAGTTTGTTTCGCCTCTGGATGTAACTGATGGGGTTGCAGACAGCGTTGTACCTGTCCAGCGTCACCAGAGTTACGGTAGAGATGGACAGGAAGTAGGTGAAGTAGGGGACGATGAAGGCACCGATGCAACCCACCACATCAGCGGTAATTAGATGGGTCCGGACGGTGTTGTTGAAGTAGAAGAAGTACGTGAAAATACTTATCGACAGGAAGGTAAGGTCAACCACAGCAAGGCTGGTCAGGTACATGTTGGTGGCGTTGCGCATGGCCTGCACCCGGAACACCGTGATGAGAAACGTCAGGTTCCCTGGAACACCGATAGCTAAGATGATGAACATGACTATCAGGATCACCCGGCCGGTTAGCGCATTCAGTAAGTAGAACTCTGCGATACGCTCGTCCGTTAGATTCATCACCGGGAAGTAGCAATCGCTGATCCCATCATATGACTCTGAAGTGTTGTCAACAACAGACGAGGAGTTATCCATCTTAGAGGCAGGTTGGACTCAAGAGCTCCGAGACGTGGATAGTCTCGAAATTTTCTATCACACGTTTTTCTTTCACCCTTCCAGCAGATGGAACTCGCATATCAGGCACACCTCTGGTCTGTATTTCTGCTGGTATTGCTGAATATATGCGACTACCACTGTTTTTGTCACCTACCGATGTACAAATACCAAAGCAAAACAGCTCGTTAACACTGTCACACGGCAAACTTGGCCCAGACAGTTAATTATGCTTGAACAGATCAATAAAAAAGTCATTAAATTGGACCATCACATTTCCAAAAGAAACAATTATCCCACACAATAACACAAACTAATAACCCCAACAGCTGTCCGTTTACATTACAATCACGAGTACAAAGTAAACCATTCTCTCTTTTTTTGAGCACAATCAACTACGAATTAATTAGGTTGAGCGTTTCTCAAAATTTCAGGGGCGTTTTTTATCCGGCCATTGTTGATGGATGGAGCTCCATTTGGAACCTCAAACAACTTGATGACTATCATGAGTAATGAACATTTCCTACAGTGTCGACACATTTTGATTCGATGCATTATGCATCGCTGCCGATTTACTTTGCACAGGACCCTAGGTAAGACTTATGGGGCCGTTTTTTTCTTTTACCCAATACCAAAATTAGCGGAGGCATTTTACAAAGGCTATGCACAAAATACAAACCAGTAAATGTAGTCGATATTATGTTAGAAAATGCTGGTTGGAAAGGCAGGGCGTGCCATAGTTCAAGGGATCTGATTATGAATACAAATAATTGGATTTTTGTTTTCAAATTTATCTACCAGGACTTTTAATATTAGCTATTCCAAAGCCTTAATGAATATTACGAAGGTTGGTGTGTGAGAGGTTACACAATTACAAGCGGAACAGTACTTGTACTTTCTTCGCTGCGGTCGGTAATAAAGATGTAAAAACCACTTGCTTGGGAGTAGTAAATGATAATCAAAACTTTGAAGAAAGAATTTAAATGTCGATCTTTTCCGAGACAGGTGGTGCTATCAACGGCTCCGGCTACTCTCCGTGGCGCGTCAGCGGCACATGCGAAGCCATAGCCGCTTGTGTACTTGACTGTGGCCACAATGTGTAGTCTTACAGAGGGCGGTATATTGTGACCCCACTCCGGTTTCTTTTCACGGCCCATTCCGCAAATCTGGGCTTCGGGTGCGCCTGACTTTCTCTGCACACCCGTACAGCAAAGTGAATGTGAAGAAGGTGAGGCTTGGGAAGTAGAAGTCTTGGTTAAAGCTCAGAAATGATTCACTGTGTTGATTGTGTACATGTGTGTTGATTGTGTACAATTGACTGTCAGCCAAGTATACCTAGACCAAGAACAAGTGTACCTAGACTTGCACTAGTCACTTTTACCTTATGCACACAAGCAGCGAATGAACATGAAGCATTCTTGAACTTGGAACAAGTTATGATGTTGCGCTCGGAGAACCATTGGACTGGGTCACTGACCGCAGGGCTGGTCACGGTAACGGGTCGTAAAAAAATATCTTAGACGTCCGAATCGCCTGTCACGTGACTATACAGGTTCACAATTCACCTGCCATTTATGGGGGGGGGGGAACTATACATAAATTGCTTGCAATGTCACCATGATATGCACAGGAAACGGTATAAGTAGTCGTTTGGTTGATCGTCATATAATCGCAAACGGATTTCAAGTACAAGCTGTGTAGTATCGCTTGTTTTTTTTGGCGGAGATGTCGTTTTATTTCTTGTCCATATCACGGAGTTTAGTTTTTGACTTACACTGTCTTTTGTTGATGTCCCCCCCCCCGGGTGTGTGGGTATGTCCTCTCCAGGTTTGCCACCCATGCAAGTAGCTTTAAACATTGAACAATAGAACAACAAAAATACAAAAGCTTTGATTACTCATTTACCCGAAAAATTATTGTCTTGTCCTCTAAGATAAACGTGCCACCATCCCGCCATCGGCGTCGCCAGGATAAGAAAAAGAAAAGAAAAGAAGACGAGGTGCGAAGTCATATTGCTGTTAATTTAATTTACATTGAACAACATGGACGTCCGAAAGGGGTGTCAGTGGGGTGGGGTAGGCAAATGTCCCGCCCCCCCCCAAAAAAAAACCTCGAAAAAATCCTTCATTGAGAATATGCTAGACTAAAGTTGGCCTGCAAGGATTTTTGGAAATAATGTGCTTTGCCCCACAATATGCGTGCCTCTTTTATCAAATGGCTTGCCTATTAGAGTTAAATGGAAAAAGTATATATATATTTGTTAACAAAGGCTTCTTTGATTTTGTCCTCTAAGTGTTTTTTTTTTTTTACTGTATTGAAAGGTCTTTATCCTGACCTATGGCCGACTTGTAAGGAATTTTTATTAAGTTGCTGTGTCGTTCAGTCCTCTGATACCGTCTTCAATTCCACTTGTACTCCATCTCGCCTGGGTTAACCTTGATACATCATCACGTCATAATGCGGGACCCAATTTGTTACGCCTAAAGTGACGTGCTGGGATAAAAAGGCTCGCGATGAGTGCTAGCAGCTAAGGGTCCACTTTCAGTGTTTGTTTCGGCACCTTGGGTAACATCAATCGGGATTAGAGGCGGGTCAACTTGGATTAAGGGTTGGTCAAAGGGGATTAGGCGCGCACGGACGATGATGAGAGTCCATCATGTTCACTCGGGTTAAATGCGTTACGGTTAAAACAAACATTTTTTTAATGGCGTACACAAGTGACATTTATTTGTGTTAAAGCAGTGGCTTTTTATTATTTCAAGATATCTCGAAATGATTTAAAGATAAATTTCGAGATATCTCTAAATAGATTTGATGATTTATAGATATCTTGAAATCATTTAAAGATATCTCCAAATCGATTTCAAGATAATTTTATGTCTAGCTCATTTCGAGATATCTCCAAATCGATTTCAATATATCTCCAAATCGATTTAAAGATATCTCTAATTCATTACGAGACATCTCACAATCGATTTCAAGATGTTTCAATTAAGATGATTCAGTTTTTACTTTATCATGTGTCACTAAGTAACACTCTTTGACTCTAAAAATAAATGTTTACTTTTTTTTTTTTATCGACCAGTCATTTTCATTTATCTACCTATTGCGCTATTCGATCTTTTTGTCACCAGATGCACGTCAACCAGCCGGTCCCAGTGAGCTTATTGTTCGATTTTTGACATATACGTCTCGCTATAGCGAGCTACTTGGGCAGGAGCCATAGTTTGTGTTCTGGACAAAGCGCGCATGTGGCATTTATTTTTGAGCACTTCATAAGCACTGTATGAATTAAGATTTGAAGGTTTGCAAGGCAAAGAGCGCAATAAGAGTAACATGAACGGACGGGCAGAGCATACTGTTCGAAACGTTGAGTTTTCCCCGGTTCTGAAGAGCCACACAAACTCACAAAAGGGATTTGAAAGCGTAGACTTAGGCCTACTCTCATTGTATGCTATACATTTTATGGAGTGAGTGTTACCTGCTTCTGGGCCCAGTTTCAACATTCGTTTCAATCCCGAACGGTTTCTCTATAATTAATAAGGTAATAATGATAGATGAGAATTAATGTTAAACCGACTTCACGATTATGCAGCTCCTGTTTTGATATATCAGTGGTTTATTATACAGGTTTAAGTTATTAAACCCTCCAGATACCTATATACAATATAATTATTCCTCACAAATGAATGTCTTCATCTGACGGACGTACATGTACTCTAAATACTCGGTGCCAGCATTTGTCATAAAGAAATGCACTGTGTAGTTCATGAACTTGCTGTCTCCTGCCTTGTTGTCTCATCTGTAGGGTGTAGTGTGAAACACAATAGTCAAAATCATTGTAATATTTTACAAAGGAGATAATTTAAATCCAAATCTCAATTCAAACAAAAGGCGGTCCTCACTAAAGATGAAGGAAACACGAGAGAAATCGGCACGATAACTTGTCCATGAATCTAAAGGCTCTTTAAGATGCCCCGAGCAGGTACAGCTTCTCGCAATAAGTGGATGGGTGGAACTGATGCCAAGCGGGTCAGTGTGATGAGAGACAACCCTGAGCGACCTGGAGTAACACGGGGGGAGGAGACGGAGGCAAGACGGAGGGTGATTGCCCAAGAGAACGACGCTGAAGAAAAGTTGGAATTGGTATCCTCTGGGCTAGAATGTACAAGAATAACAAACGGAAGTACAGTGTTACCAAACCGCCTTGAATAGAAATTATTATACGGGTCGTGGCTATTGTCAAGTACTTTAGGAGCAAAATTCGTCCCAAGACATTCATTTGACACACTTTGAGCCTATTTTTAGTTTCTAAAAATACTTTTAATGCGAAGGGTAATGTTCAAGGGGAAAGTGATGCAAAGGAAAGACACCAAGTAGTTTAAGAACTTTAGCTCAAATGAAAAAAATAACATGTTTGTCGACATTGCTTTTTACACAATTTACTTAGTTTAACTTAGAATGATACACACTTTTGACTAAGTTTATCAACCCCGTTTTCCATTTTTTTTACCATTGACTACATCCTTGCCTAGTGCTTAGGGTTCGTGACTCATCAGAGGGTCAGGGGTTCGAATCCAGCTGCTGGTCATATGTTGTGTCCTTGGGCAAGCCACTTCACCTACCTACCTCTCTCCACCCAGGAGTATAATTGGGTACTATTAACAGGGGAGTAACCTGCGATGGGCTAGCATCCTATCCAGGGGGAATAGAAATATTCTCAGTCATTTAATGCTACTGAAACCGGAGAACTGATAATAATAAACACCGGCCTGATGGGCCACATTGGCTCGTGACAGACTTTTTCTAACATCAAAAGCTGCAGAATTGTAACAGAACAGTGGAACAACCGTAAAAACATTTCCAGTGTCCTTTTCCAATTCTTTCTTATTTTCGTCATTTTAGCAACTATCCTTCACCCACATTGATGACTGTGTCAAAAGTATTCGGCTCCAGCTGGCAGTAAACACGCATGCATCCCTATGGGAAGTTGCTACAACTGCTTTCATCAGCGGCGACGAAACGGAGGGGGGGGGGGGGCATAGCCACACGTTCGTTTCACAGGCCACTTGGCCTCCGTAAAATCAAATAGAGGGGGGGGGGGGAGGAGTGGAGGGGGAATGATTAATGATAACAAATTATCCGAAATGTTAGGGCTAGTTTTGTTTTCATTTCGAGGGGCACATTTATGCTCGAGGGGGCACATTTATGTCCACAATAGGGGCACTGGGGTAAATCTGGGGGGCAAGTGCCCCCTGCCCCCTCCCCCCCAGTTCCGCCGCTCCTGGATTTCATTATGCATATGTCTAAATGCAAGACGGAGCCAAGTAATGCAGAGGTAACCCTCTAAGAGTCTAAATCTGACTTCTGAGTTTGCTAAATGGGCGTGGCCAGGACAGAACCCGACAATGAAAGAGATATTTCCGTCAAGTTATTCCCCAAGCTATACCTAAGGCAAGACGCTTTGCAAATGGCCCATGTCGGTGGGACATTTCTGGCCACCCAATAACCTGAATAACCCTCGTTAACCAAAGCCCTGGAGGTTTCTCTGAACTCTTTGCATTTATATAGGCTTAAATCGTAATACAAAAAAAAACACTGCACAAAAAAAACAGTCTTAACATCAAGCCCGTGGCTAGGATTTCCTGACGGTGGTTCTTTGTCATGATGGCAGTAACTGATTCAACGGCGTAATTTTTTTCCGCGGTAAAAGTACGATGAAAAATCGTGACGTTGTTTATAGGTTAAAAGTTCGAAACGATGCGGGTTTGACACCATGCCACACTAAGATTGTGCACACCAAGATTGCAACTTGTCTACATATAGATGTACATAATAAAAGCGGTTACGTGTACTTTTGACGTGCAGTTATGACAATGAAGCTGACTTTCGACTTTTTTTATTTTGCTACCACAATCCCAGAGAAAAATTGAGCGTTTATGCACGAGTGTTATACTGATACTGTACGTACCATTTCACATTGCAATTTGCATCCTTCCATCCTCCAGTAATGACGTCGTAGCCCATGAGATTAACTGGAAGCATTGTGTTTTCAGTCAAACCTGAATGCATGCCAATCAGAGTTTTTTTCATTTACTATTAAGGAAAGGTTACTGAACCTAGTGTGCGGTTGATGGATACGTTCCGTTTTTCTGAATATAAATCAACTAATGGCTAATTAGGCCTATTTAGTTCATTAGAACCAAATTGTTTACGTAATAAAGGCCTTGCCCTGGCAAAAATGCAAATGACTGTACATTTCTGATGAGTTTTTACAAACTACTTATTTATTATACGAGATATATATTTATTATATATATATTTATAAAGTGGAATAATACAGAGCATATTTTCCCGAAAACAAGTACTGATTAAAGGGAAAATAGATGTTCAACACAAGATCGAATAAGTCTCAACTTAGGTACAACTGGGGGGGGGGGGAGGATAGGAAAGATACGTAAACAAAAAAATCAAAGAAATTCTGCATTGTTATAATATAATTTTCGGAAAAATGACGAGGTACTGGTTTTTATACACACCACCTTATTGCTGAATTACGATACTGAAAGAGACTCACTGTAAACAAATAGCATTATGATTGAAAACAATTGTAACTATTATCGCCCAAAATCCCACATGTGTATAATTTTTTAAAAAGATTTACGCATCCAAAAAGAAGATTTTGAACGCCCTACTTGCAATAAAGATAAACCAAACTTTAGAAATAACACATTTCTGTCAATATAGTTACTGGTAAATATTTTGGATGAAAAATACCGAAGCTTTTGCAGATTTTAGAATTCACATTGTCCCAAGCCAACTCGCAAACAATGTTCCACTTCATTTTTTGTATTCATTTCCCTAACAACATTCCCCAAAAACGCCATGATAAGAGAGGTATTATTGTTTTTTTTGTTATTCAGTTCAAATACAAACTGAGAATAGGAGCTGGGCATACACTGCTGACGTACGCTGATTCGCGACGCAGACATGAGCAGCGCCAGACCGCCTTCTCCGTATTTTCAGGGGGATCTCGGAAGCTTCGATCCGGCGATGCCCAGCGAGGTTTCACGGTCTTGGCTTTCATCGACCATTGGCGGGATCACGTTTCCAGGGCAGAGTGGCGTCCATGTGACCAATGTGCTGCCACCTGCTAGCCCCAGGCGGGCTCGTCCCAAAGAAAGAAGAAGGAGAGAGAGGAAAAAAGAGCTTATAAGTAGCCCCTAACTCCTAGTTTCCGAGATAAGGGGAAGACGATGCCTTATGAAGCTTGGATGGACACTGCCCATAGATAATTCATGTAAGGTGTGGTTATTGCTGTCATTTGAAATGATGGTTATTACGATGCGGATGATGAATTTATGACGTCGGTTGTACTTGTAAGAAAATGATGGCACCGATGATAAGAGAGGGATGAAGTCTTGAGGGGGAAGCAACAAGATAGGGTCTTTTTTGCGTTTGTGTAGATGACGAAAAGCATTCGGGGCAGAAAGGATCACACAATATCACTAAGAGGAATGGCGGTGATGAAGGTGATGTCAGCGTGGTGTTACGAGTGGTGATTATAGTAAGGGGTTCAGGCGGGTAGGAACAGGGGCGGATGCATGATTGTTGTCTAAGGGGTGGGGAAGGATGGCTTAGAGAATGAAGTCAATGATTTTTTTTGCGGAGGGGGGGGGGGGGGGCTGAGGTGGCAACGTTAACATTGACTCATTATGCTTCAGACTTAGGCTAAGGCCCGAAATCGAGCCTAAGGGGCGGGGAAGGATGGCTTAGAGAATGAAGTCAACTGATTTTTTTTGCGGGGGGGGGGGGCTGAGGTGACGACTTTAACATTGACTCATTATGCTTCAGACTTAGGCTCAGGCCCGAAATCGAGATTCGAAGTATGGTGTGACGTTCAACAATCTTAAAGAATTTCTCTCTCTTTATGCAAATAATTAACATTGGTAGGACAGAGAGGGTAACCCACCCTCCTTTGTATCCACCCTAGATTGAGGATATTGTACTGGGGAGGGAGGGGTGGATGGAGGGGGGGGGTAACGACTTGTGCGATGTTGAGTGGTGAGTACTGACGAAGACTGACACCACTGTGCTGAATGAATGGTGAAAATAGTGATGGTGGTGATTCAGGATGGGAAGAGTGGTGAGGAAATTATAACATTTACGACGACAGTACAACATTAAAATGATGGCCAAGGTAGCCACATGAAAAGAGCGTTAACGAAGAAACCAAGATCAAATTTCCCCCATTTAGCCGACTGAATAACCTAAGTAGTCACGTAGGTAAGACACCTGAGAACGTAAGTTTGAGATCCCGGGTTTCGAGTCCTGCATGTAACATTTGCTCTCACAATGTCCGGGAAAATGTTTCAAACATTAGTTCGGTAAAAGATGAACCCACGTCGATTGACAAGTCCTATACCTGTACCGCCCTTGAACAATTAAAATTAATTGCACAGGATTGATTAGTTTCTTCTTGTGAATATTTATGATTTGAAGGTATTCCTATCTTACTCCCGTTGTTTCTTCCCATCATCTTCAGTGCGCCAAATGTCTTCCTTTTTCATAAAGATAAGAAAAGACATGCAAGAGTCTCTCAGTGTATATTGCGTCACACAAAGACACGATCAATGTTTCTCAATCAAACCCTGGGCCATTCCCGAATGGAAACTCCCGCCGCAACATTTGCATAGCCGGTTCCTGCTGGATTCTTTTATTTTTTTTTAATTAGAGAGACAGAGAAGGCCGTGATTGGATGCCGGTTGTATCGCCATCGTCCTATATGGCAAAGCGTTGGCTTGTATCTTACTCTCTGCGTATTGCGCGCTGCGGGGGGTATACCCATGCCCACTTGTTGATATCGTGCTGATGGACCAGAGGGGGTGCTGGAGTCGCCGTACAGGGTAGCCGGGTCGGGCATACACAGAGTAGCAACAGGCGCTGGGCAGCGGAGAGCCATTATTAGCCTAGTTCGCCAGAGCTCCGTCAGGCGCTCACACAACCTGTTGCGTCTGCTCGCGATTTCTGAGCTCCATTCCGATCGCGTGTTCTCCCTATACTTCTCGATTTCTACTCGAAGTATTATTTTTGAATCGTCGTTTCAATCGACCAGAGATGCAGCTCACTTCGGCATAATAAAACCAAGAGTTTGAACTGCACCGAGTTTTTTTCCTGGTCTTTTTTTTGTCTTTTCGAAAACGGAGTGCTAAGGGTCCAAAAGGAACCGACATGCGGACGGACAGTGCCACTACTAACGACAACCCCAGGTTTTACGGCATCAACATGAATTCTAACGGTAAGCAATACAACTCTGTTTTAGTGTGGGAAACAGTCAGTAGGCCTACGTGTCTGCTTGCTTGTCAGCATCCACGATGACAATTTCTCAGGGCAAGGATTATCAAATTCCGAGTGTTGATGTTTGACATGTCACCAAACGAAAAGTCGGCATAGGCAACCTCTATTTAATGCCTGGTGTGTGTGTCCGTAGGCCGGGAGCATACACGGGTCTGGTGCAGGGGACACTCGGGGGACTCATTTTCTTGAGTGGGAACCCAATGGGTTTTCACACTTCTGGGGGGGGGGGGGAGTATCTGGGGGTGCACCGATTTTTCAAAGGGAGGGGGCACTGAAGGCACCTGATATATTGTTTTGCGAAATGGAAGATTTTAATTTCGGGGGGGGGGGGGGCATATGAGGAGTTGGGGGTGCGGGGGGCACGTGCCCCGTGTCCCATGTATAGTTAAGCCGCTGATTATTGAATCAAATTAATCGAAAGGTTTTGTTCTCCAAGTTATGGGAGGGGGCGTGCCCTACATCCCTCCGGTGAACGCCTTAGATCGTTTGCAATGAAAAAAAGGGTATGGGAATTGTGGACCTGCAAATTTAACTTGCTAACAGAATCTTGAAATGGAATTGCAGGGAGGCCCTGTAATGATCTCTGGCTTTTAAACTAAGCGTGGTATTTTCAATGTGTGGTCCCTACCTTCTTTTTGCAGTCTCTTTATTTGGCTTTTGGAGTAAATATTTATAAACTGTTTCACTTCATTTCTTTCTTTTTAAAAGCAATTTTGAATAGGTGGAAACAAACTGAATGCTACAATCATTAAATAATTGGCAACCTATGTGGGTTGCTCCGGCCTGCCGCTCATGCAGGTTGGTTAGGAATACTCCATAACTGTAACACAATGAATGGAAGTGGCGCGATCATTTAAGTCCAACTCCCATGCAATCAGGCTATCGGTCTGCAGAAGTTGCAGACCTTGTGAAAACAAAATTAAACCTCCTTCATATTGGCAATGTTACTACCTCGATCCCCGGCCTTTATACCGTCACCCGCTGAATCTGTTACGGTACGACTATAATGCCGCAAATCCGAACAACTGTTTGGATAATCGCTTTACCTGCTTTACCTACAGGACTGAGGGTTTTTGTACTTTTTACCTGAAGCGTTTCCCAGAAGTTAAATATTAGTTCAACAGCTGGGTGAAATACGATGTTTTTATCAAGCATGCATAGGCCTATGAAAATGATCGTGCAGTATTATCTTATTGAGGTTCAAACCTCGACTTCGTTTCGGCTTCGGCTCCATATGCTTTTTAATAATTAAGAACCCTGTATAAGGCCCAACTCATACAGAAATACCCTAAATGTGTCGTCACATTATTATAGCCTATTTGATGAACTTGAAGCAGAACATGAACCCATTTTGCCCACTTCACACAGCCAGGGGATTCAAAGCTCCTGGACCCTGAAACTGTTAAGACGAAGCCGCGATTTCAACCCCTCTCCTGAACAAATCCATGCCTTTCTGAAATCGAGGTAAACGTGAACTTTGACACAATGCCCTGTAACGATTCAGCTGGATTACTTCTTATATTGGTAAGGCTTCAGTGAAGCTCCTCACCTTATAATCAGTTACGGTCGCTTAGCAATGAACAGTGGCGTAACTAAAGGAGCAATGCATAGGGACACTGGATCCCTGTGTTCCCCAATACCGATGTTCCCCGAAATCCCTACCAATATAACCCTAACCCTAACCCTAACCCTAACCCTAATCCTAAGGATTTGGGGGAACATCGGTAGTGGGGAACATCGGTATTGGGGAACATCGGGTAGATCCCTCTATGAGGTCTATGCCTCCTCCCCTTAAATTAATTATGTCCTCACCCGCTCAGAATTTAGGGAAGGCAAAACTGGATTTTTTTTTAAAAGCCCATCTGACTGTCTCGGAAAATGAGGCCCCCACTTTTGCTCCCTTCAAATTAATCCTAGTATTGCCACCTGTTATGAGAATATCCTTAACTTAAAGGCAATGAAAAAAAAACACGTCATCTTTGAAGCTTGGTGATCGACGCCAATGACAGTATTACAACTGTCGCGGTTGGAGCTTATCACGGAAGCTGCGAGCCTTTCCGAACGATTCTCATTCCTTTAGCAATAACCTTATGACATCCTCGCAAAAGTAAACAAACCTGACCTTGCAACTGTGGACAGCTTTCAATTTCCATCGAGAGAAAAACCCCGTGAAGATAACTACAAGCCGGGGATGGTACCAAGTTTGTGGCTTGAAATAAGTCCGCATCTCACGATGAAACGGTTGAATGAAAATCTCGACAAACAGATCAATACAGGCCTGAAGTCGTTTCACCACAGGCGGGGCTATTATCAAGCCTTTTTTGGGGGGGGGGGTGAACAATATGGAGAGGGAAATGTGAAACTCTTGTGACAGCGGCGAGGCTGATAATGTTTCTGCATTCTGGGATGATTATTATGCATATAGCTTATCCGAGATTTCTTAAGGCTCGTATTATAAGCGGAACCTTGCGGTAAGGGCCGCCGATTATTTCCTGTCCCAAAAACAACAAGGTGACTTTTCCCTGACCCGAAAAATCAATTCGTTGTTTTGTTTCTACCCCCATTTTTATAAGGAATGGGTCGAATTTCCAGTGGTCAGTGCGTGGCCAGAGTCCAGTTGTATGGTTGTGCAAACAGATTAGTCTTGTCAAAGTTTCTGCTTCATTTTCTTGATGTATTGGAATTGGCACGAGGACAATGGAAGTTGTGTGTCGGTCAGTGTTCTGTTGTGCAAAATAGTCAAAGTATATTAGTCTTACGCTTGAAACGCAACTCTTCGGTCAAGGAGCGGCAGAGCACTTTGATATCGTGGTCAGAATATGTCAGCTGTGCAGATTTGAACTTTCTATTGAATATTTCCAGAAAGCTTTGTCAATACTTGTTTTTGTTTTTTTACTTTTGCTATTTGTTTGGTTTATTGTTTGATAAAATATGAAATGTTTTACCATATAGTATGGAAGGTGCTTCCAAACTTTTCTGATATTGTTAACTTTCGAAATCAAATTTTATATAAGTTTTTGTTTTGCGATTGTAGTGTTTCATTGAGTGCCTTGTCGGTGATCGGACTGATTGAAAGTTTTGTAAAAGGACCTTCACCTTCATTCTCCATCAGATTGGAGGAATTGAATTTCTTGCACAATTTTTTTTTAAGATGATTGTTCTAAAAATGGGTATCGTGTCTTTCTTCAAAAAAAAGTTTGCTGCTTGTAAGAGGAATCTTTGACACTGCAATCACCCACATCAATAACTCCAAGAATATAATCTTTTTTAATTAAGGACCTCGTTCTTGTTCTGTTCTTTTTCTTTTTCGTACTTCCGTGCCATCTTCACGATGATCGCGGGGGCAAAACAGCAGCAGCGCAGGGCAAGTTATTGAAAGTGAGCGTGGAAGGCGGCGAGCTAGCTCCGGGGAGACGGCACGGCGGCGCCCGCCCGACCTGGGGCGGCAAGGCGGACTTTCTCCTTTCCATCATCGGCTTCTGCGTAGATCTGGCCAACGTCTGGCGATTCCCCTACATGTGCTACAAAAACGGGGGAGGTAGGAGCACCCAATTATTTATTAATTCCCTCACCCCTCCGGTAACCCCCTGAGTCCTTACATGTGTGCCTCTCTGGAGTAATGATTTTTGTGTGCGTGTGGTCTGTGTTTGTTTACATTCTATTTGATTAAAATCGAATGTTCTCATTAACTTTCATGTAACATTTTTTGGTTACACTCATGGAACATTTATTTCCCTCTCGTTCCCAAAATAGCCCAGCAAATGAATTTAACCACTTGGGGTCACTTAGACTCCTGTTGGGTCAAAACTGCCCTCGGTAAGGGTCAATATTATTGACCCGGATAATATCCAGAGCCTGCCTGCGCATATCTATACTCACCCATATGCTTATTACCATACTATCGATTGCTGCCTAGTGCGATGTTCATCAACTGTTGCATGTGTTTGTGGGCGTTCTAGTTCGGTGCAATACAAGCTGGCTTATCAGCATTTTGTTTTTTGATGTATTCGAAGCTTCCGCTTTACTGTAAGCACTTTGACAACGGTACGTTACTGTTTTGACAGAGTAGAGATAAAAAAAGAATTACCTCTAACTTTGTCAATGATAAACAGCATTAAATAACACATGTTTATTACCAGTCTAACCTATAGCTGTAATCAGCAAAATATAATTCACTCGATCGGTTACCAGACTTTCCCTTTTAACAAAGTAGGGCAATTCCAGTGTTTATGGAAGAAAATGTAAAGCCCGTGACAGAGCCAATTAACCATGATATGTGATTATGATTCAGAGAAATGACACAAACTCCCAGTGTGCTATCTCCTTGAACAGACAAGACGATGGATGAATATGAAGATTTTAAAATAAATGTTCAGTTTTATTCACCTCGGAACTCCTAAAGTGAAAACAATATGTGTCTGACCAGTCTGATTTAATGTCCGTGACGCTCAGGGTGACCGTAAGGTCATGACTACATTCTGCTAAATGCACTTCAAAAATCTGTCAGATTTATCGAAAATTTGCCCAATTCCCCAGAATTACTCGAAATACACTATAAATCACATACAGATGTTGTAATACTGCCTTAATTAATGTTCAAATTAAATTATAAACCACCCATAGCCACAAAAAGATAATATGGAATTGCATAAATTTCAGGCAAAACGCGGTTTCATTACTGGACGAAATACGGTTCCCAGTGAACCTCAGCATCTAGACCAGACAACCTGTCCTATTTTGCAAGGGTTTGCTTGAAAAGATTAAAGCTTTTGTAAATGAATGTACCATTTTTTTGTGTGCAAATTTGCTCTTTTTTTTCAAATCACCATGTTTTTTGCAGAATTCTGCCAGAAATCTGGCAAAAAAATCCATTCTGTCAAATTTTCAGTCAAACTCAATTTTTTTTGCAAAAAATATGTCAAAGTTAGCCAAAAATCGGCTAAAACGGTCACTATGGTGACGCTATCATTGCCTAGTATCAGGCATCCATATCAGACAGAGATACCTTCAAACATATATTGTCTCAGTAATTATGTTATGCTCACTGACGGAAAAGGGTCTCTCAAGAACAGCCTATTAGTACTTGAGTAGCGCAGCACATTTTCAAAATTCGAACACGTCTTAAAATCGTTTGTTATAATTCATGGCGCCCCTCGCCCTCGGAGTAGGTTTTTGCCGCCGATCTATGACCCTTTCGCATTGCTTTGTCTTGTCACATCTCAAAGTAAATGTTTCTCCCTGATACATGTGTTGAATCTGACAGATTTCAACCACCGATGTTTTGATATCCAGTTTTCGGAGTTCAGAGTTTCAACTGCACGACCGACTATAACTTCAAATTGGGCTAATGCTGTGCGATTACGGTTATTTGGGAATCGGGTATCCGGTTATACCCGCCCTGGACACACCTAATGCCGGTGTAGCATGGATTTAGGTTTTATGAAATACGAACTCTTTGGTGGTATTGCGCATGCTCATGCATAGATAATCAGGAGAGGGACCGGTCACGTGAGAGGGTTTAACCAATAAAAGGGAAAAAGAGTCCGATTTTTATACGAGTCCGATTTTCATATGACACCGGCTTGCTTGAAATATGAGGACGTGATAGGAAAAATATTTTACGACCACATTTTTTCACGGACCAACATTCTTGAAAGAAAATCGATTTATCAAGTCACAGCTATCTTTTGGGGGTGATTTCATGACATTTTAATTACTTGTCAAAAAGCAACAACCTGGGGAAGAATTTCAACTCTGAAGACAAAGTATCTGGATCAAACAGAAGCCTAGCAAAGGCACTAACCGGGTGCAGGAATCGGTTACCATAATCATAGATAGTTGGCTGTGGTCACAATAATAAGACACGATGTTACAGATTCGTCTATTGGAGGTACAGTTTTATGAAAAAAATAAACTACCGATGCTACGGTTAACGTTTCCAGCGCGAAGGACAACTTAAAATGTGCTGAGGGAAAATTTGAGTTATGGTGTTCAACAAGAGTTAAAATCAATGTAGTTTCACACACTTACCGTATAGGCCTAAGTAGGCCTTTACAGATTTAGTTCATACATTTTCAAACTGAGAATAGATCCCCAATTGGTTGATCATACGAAAAGAGTTCTCATTGAGCAAAAAGTTCTAGTAATGAATACTGTATAATGTTTGCTGTGCCATAAACAAGAAGGATAAGTCAATGCTCATATTTCTGATGACCCAGATACAACAAAGCCTATCAAACACGTGATCAGATTTCTATTTAAAAAATATTTACAAATATCAGTGCAGTGGATCATACGGTTTATAATGGTTAAGAGCTCTTGTGAAAACAGACATCTGCCCAAGAACACAGACACCACGATATCCGAATTGGATTTTGACCAACGTTAATGACTGCAGCATCAGACACCCTTCGCAAATGAGTAAGACATCATCACCACTGCATGGACAAAGCCGCTCTAAATGATAATTGACACGCACATTTGAATAAAACAGATCAGTGTTGTAGTCGAGTCATCACAATTAGTCCTAACAAGACTAGTAATTTCAAGTCAAGTCACAAGCTATTCAAATGAACCGTGTCAAAAGCACCCCTTTGTTATTGTTCATGCCCTGTTTAATTGTGACTATATTTGTGAAGGGACTTGTGATTTACCTGTGACCGGACTTATGATGAACTCAATAGTGATGACTACAACACTGAAACCGAGTTCTGTCCTCTTTTGGGACCCTCCTTTAATACTCTAGTGTATGTACTGACAGAGGGTAAAGTTGACATCAAACCAACTATAGGTTCTTGCAGTCTGTCAACGCCACAGCGCGCCTGCGTGCCTGGGCGAGTCTCCCGCAAGTTTAGCAGCAATTCGCTGTTTTTAATAAACACGGGTAATATCAACATGATTGGCCCCGGCTACGGAAATTAACAAATCAAAGGGTGGCCAGCTCACCGGCCGTAAGTCACGGGGGAGAGCCATAATGTTGCTTTAATTAAACACACCAACACAGGGTCCTGCTGATAATTGCAAATTGTCGGTTAGTGTTATGCTTATAGGCCCTAATTGCAAATTTGTCTTCGAACGCTGTGTCAAATGTACACCCCTTTCCAATAACGGTATTTTCAAGAACAGTTTTGTATTTGGCTATCGTGTTAAAAAGAGTATAATGCACACCGCTTCAAAACAGTCCGAGAACAGATGTATCTGTTCGAATTTACTTATACAACCGTAAATATTCCTGCCCTTTCTTTGTTCCGCTCAGCCGAATGAAGGCTTTACTCTCTCTCTCTCTCTGTTATCTTTGCAATTTCTGTACAAATACAATTCTCAGTATTATGTTCTGGTGCTCGCAAGGTTGATATTAGTGATGCCAAATCGATTTATCACGTTATATTTTTGTGTGACGTTTTGTAGTGAAAGAGTAAAATTCGTAACACTATTACGTCCATGCGATTCTGAATTTTCCCGACATCCATCGACTCGTATTTCCTGACTCAACATTAGGTTGTCACAATTTTATTCTTATGGTGCGCGAGTGTTAATCACAGGGGCAAATTGCTGTCTTCAAACAGTCAAAGATAAATGAAAGACATCAGTGAGTCAGTGTGTATTGGAATATGTTTTTTCAGGTAACAATCCCCCCAATTAGCACGAGGGGATGAAGCTAATATGGCAAACGGTGGGAGTTGAATCAGAACGTTAATTTACTCATTAAGTAATTGAATGCGTCAGCTCTGTTGCTATTGCCCTCCCAGGTCAGGTTCCCCTAAATTAATGTGTCATTCGACAAACGCATTACCACTATACAGAGATTAATGATGCCGGCAGGTAAAATCGGGCATTACAGTTCATTAATAATATTAAAAAATAATAATAATGAAGGTAGTGACGGAAAAACTATTTTGTTAGAATCGGTTTTTTTTCTTCAAAATGCAGAGCCCCACAAACTTTTCAGAACCTCACAAACTCACAGAAGAGCTTTTTCAAATGGTGCTTCCGTAAATCTTTATCTTATTAATTCAGAAAAAAAGTTATAAATGGGTATTCGTTGCCCTAATAACATATGCTGATATGTTGGAAATACCTGAAACGGAAATTCGACCACGGAGATATTGTGGTCAAAATATTGAATATATTTTCGTGAGACAGCTCCGATTCTAAAAAAAGAAATCGCTGCATTGAATTTTTTTCTTGGGATTTTATTGTTTCATTATAAACTGGGTCTGAGGATGACGAGTATAAGAGGGAAAATAGTTATAGATAGTATATTGCTTTATAGCGCCCTCTTCTAGCCATCAATGCGAAACAGAATCGACCCATTTTATTCTGTTATTGTATTTTCAGGTGCATTCCTGATTCCCTACACGATCATGCTTCTCATCTGCGGCATTCCACTCTTCTACCTGGAGCTTGCCCTGGGCCAGTATAACCAGACGGGCGCCATCACGGTCTGGGACAAAGTCTGTCCCATCTTCAAAGGTAAGACTGACACAAGTCTAATTCTCCCTCAGAACACACCTTGTTTAATTGTATAGGTTTTTTTCATTGTAATGTTGAAAGAGAAGTTGCAGTTGCTACTTTTTTAACTTGAATGTCTTTTGATGTAAAATGTAACTACCGCATACACTCTAAAAGTCCCGCTCAGATTTCACCCGAAATTCGTGTCCTATGGGGCCTGGCACTTGTCCGGGTCAAATGACAGTTTTCCGGGTCAACATGACAGTTTCCCGGGTCAAAGTGACACTTTCTGGGTCAAAAAGAGTCAAAATGAGAACATGAATCAGAGAAGTGTCATTAACAATTTGAACTGAAAATCCCTGAACTGAACAGTCTCTTCCTGAAATGACATCACAGCTACCGCGCCCTCATTTGTCAGGAAAAGCATGGACTATTTTAAATGTTTAAAGAATTGCACTTTTCAATAAGATTATTCAAAAAGGGGTGTAAAATGTTTGTCTATACATTTAAAATGTGTTCTCAAGTAAAATTCATGTCATGGGACCTTTTTAAGCAACACCCGCTGTTGCAGTGTACAATACTATTTGGAGCAGAATTTTTCATTATCTCAGGTAGTTTACGAGAAAAAAGCTAACGATTGTGAAGTAACACACCAGGCGTACGTACTGCATGGTCTGAGTTGACATAGTCACAATCCGAGAAACTCTAAACTCCAGTAAAGAACAGTCTTTTCACAGTTGTCAGTGGAATAGCAAGTTTCACCGAACACCGCTCAAACACTAACATTTGGATTGGCTTTTTCCCAGATCCAGGATCAAGGTTGTCTCACTCAGAGGCCCGGTCAAAAGCTAATGAAACTGGTGATCGAGTGTGGATAGAGTTTGCGGTTTTAATCTCTTGGATAGTTCCTCCGGCGCGGATATCAGAGAATCAAAGAACGCCAAAAAAGAGCAGCACAGTTTGCTTCGCGCTTCCGGTAACCCTAACCCACCATCGAACCGCCACGTAAAGGGATCCCCGGCATGCTACTGGGAACAACTTCGATTTCTCTCCTTAATTAAAACCTTTTGAAATCCGAGGGTTTTAGTGTCCGAAATCCAGTTCCTCCTTGCGTTTAAAGACGATAATTAGGGGGGAGGCTCGGGTCATCCTGAGCTCATCTACTCTTCCGAGAAATTGAGGGATTCCGACGGCGTAGGTTCGATGGATTTTCGCCCGTCCTCTTTTTGGGCCAATATATCCGCGGGCAATATGGCGTCCGGCCCCTGCAGTGCCGTATACGGTATCGAGTGCGTTAAGGTGCTGACACCATCCAGCCACTACATTTGTTTCTAATTTATCACGAGATTTATGGATATTTTTGGTTGCTGAGGAAATTCATTGAAGTAATTTGGAGAACAAACTAGAGGTCGTTGTCAGTGCAGATGGGCGTCTCGGCAGAATTACTCTGGTCTATACTTTGATGCTTATACAGCATCAATCACCATGTCCAACGCAGAAACTATTCCGACCTATAAATTTCATCTTTATTGACCAATAGTGTCACAAATATTTTGTATTAGTTTGAATTACATTATACTGGCATGTACACGCAGACATACCATCGATCTTATAAACATACACAAATCAATCATGTATACACAGAAAATTGAAAAATTATGTTCGTTGTTGAATTGTTTACTATAATTCTTTCTTGATAAAAAAAATGAAAACTTGAAATTAATAAAAGTATGCCAAGAATTTACTAATACGAACGAACAACAAATAGCATAACATCCCCTCCCCAATCCCTAGACAATGTGTTGTAAAACCGTTACAACGACATCGTTACTTTTGCAGGGGCATTCAAACTCATTTCACTATATTAAAATGACCGAAATTGCAAGATAAAAAGGTTAAAGGTTAAGAATCTAAGAACGAAGAAATGCTTACCTTTCAGATCAAATAAGTGTAAGCAAATTGTTTGACAGAATTTTCGACGGCGGTGTCAGTAAAAAAGAGTTGTCCTTTAAAACAATACGATACTTGTCTGTCGTTGTAATATACTTCTGAAATATGGGACCTACTGGCATAATATGAGTGCAGAAGCTATCGCCTGCACCCTCTAAAATATACCAGGATCGGCCGAGTATCAGCCAAGACACAGCACGAATCGGAAGTTATCTTGCTGCTTAATGTGTAGACTCCTAAAAAGCTATCAAACAGCTATTTGTGGTTTCTAGCCTATACAAAATAGCGAAAGTCACAGGCAGAATAAACAGAAACTCTGCGGCTTCACCAAGATTTACATTCGTGATTGAGTGCGCTCTATATAGGCCTAACGGTTTAATATATCTGTAACAGGCGTGGGATGGTGCGTTGTCCTCATCGCCTTCTTCGTAGACTTCTACTACAACGTCATTATCTCCTGGGCTCTCTACTATTTCTTCGCTTCTTTCACGACCGTCCTTCCGTGGAGTACCTGTGATCATGATTGGAACACCATCTACTGCTTCGCACCAATGGACGGTCCGGAGTACGAAGTGGAGGTGAATGTCACCGCAGAAGATGGCACAAATGCCACCATGGTTATCAACAAGACAGTATCAGCGGCTACAGAATACTATGAGTGAGTATATTTGCGTGTAAAATGAGTATCGGTATACTCTGAGTATATAGTAACAGAATATTTCAAATTATGTTACTTGATAACAGAATACTTCAAATAATGTACTTAATTAAACGAGTGGGTATGAGTAGATGCGAAACAGAATTCAGTTCAGTTCAATTCAATTCAATTAAACAGAACATTTATTTCCATACCTTGAACAGTATACACAAGATACGAGGCTGATACAATTATGAAAACACTTACTATAATGCTAAATGAAGAAGAGAAAAGAAAGAGGATCATTAATTATAGAAATAAATAAATACAAGGTGCATGATATGTACAAGATGAAAGCATGAAGGCACTTTCAAGAAGCTAAGGCTTGTACAGAAATGCCTTTCATGATTGATTTTGATAAAAGGGAATAAATGTGTGCTTGGGAGGTGTTAAACACTCTGTTTAAGACCGGTTGAAGTCTGGATGCTGATAATTTTCGGCTCGAGTAATTATCAGCAGCCAGACTCCAACCGGTCTTAAACAGAGTGTTTAATACCGACCAAGCAAATTCCATTCATAAATACGTTTTCGGTAAAAAAAAAATCAAAACTGTTCGGTCACAAAGTCAAAACAAGTCAAAAATTGTAAGTTGTCAACGATTTCGATCAACAAAACACCCCTGTAGCTGTACAATGGTAAGGGCCCTGAGGTAAAGAACTCCTTATATGGAGATTGGCGCGCACGTCGCGCGTACTGCGAGATTTGGCGCACATCGCAGATCCACCGGTGTAGTGTGAATTACTGACTCACTGAGTATTGCGCATGCCTATGTGAGGATTGTGAACATTCAACCAATAAAACGGTGCTGGCACAGGATTTCATAGGAGTCAACATTTTATGTGACACTGGAAAAATGTTTAAGACCAGCCAGCCATGTCCATCCCTAAAAGACCGGCCACGTGACGGGCTCTCGACAATAGGAATGGGCAAACTGTCTTAGGAATTTATGAATTTTACATACTAAGTAAGTGCGTGAATGAGTAACTTCATTAGTGAGTGCAAATACAAGGTTGCATTGTAATTATTTCGTTGCAGACGAGGTGTTCTTCAGATCGACCAGAGTGGTGGGATTGAGAACATGGGTAAAGTGGTGTGGCAACTGATGCTGTGCCTCTTTACCGTGTATGTCATCTGCTACTTCAGTATGTGGAAGGGCATCAGAGGATCTGGAAAGGTAACAACCCAGGGACTCTGCTTTGAGATTCTTCAATACTGTAAAAACTGACTGCACATTGAGCACTGGCACATTTTTGTCCCAAAAAATCAGGAACACTTAAGGCTCTTGACAGGAAACTGAGGCAGTTGAGGTGATATTTGCAACAACACAAAAATGACGCGCAAGTGCATGAGGTGTTAGGAAGTTGCCAGATATGTATCACATGGTGTACTTGAAGCACGTGGGGTGACAGTTGGCTTTACCTCAGGTGTGTGTTTTACCCAACTTGATACTTCACGTGCATCAACTTGTTCGAATCACATAAATGACGTGGAGTCACTTTTTACAGTGTAGGCCTATATCCTGCAGTGATCCGTCATCCCAGGCAGTTTGGGGTTTTCTCCGTTTTGACGGACACAGGAAGAATTCAAAAGATGGACTAATGCGACTCAACAATAAACATCGACAAAGTTACCTGCAAAATCATATGCTGAACTGTCCGATATCGGAGTTTTAGTCGAAAATGTGAATCGGAAGTCGGTTCAAGTCAAATCACTGTCTGGTTATTAGTACCAAGCTAGAGGAGATTGATGGGAAAATTACTGTCTTGGTCGGATTTCATTTCATTATGATATCAATCGACCTGAGACTGGACTAAGAAATTAAAAAGAATCTAAGGTATCACCGTGAACTGTGAACGGAAAATGTGAGGAGTATAATCACAATGCAAACTTCGACATAACCAGAATCGGTTTTCGGTAAATCAAAGTCGCAATAACTATACTGTCGCTTAGTAGATTTAGTTCTGATAAGAACAGTCCTACTTAATTATAAAACGAACTTGTCCTGCTTATTTTCTATTTTGGCTACCTAGGTTGAAAGGCGGTGGGACTTCTCGCAATTATCTCCACTTAGGCTGAGTGAGACAAGTTTTGGTCTCAACGTTTTGACTAGCTTGCTCTAGTCATCGTCAGGAGACTGTATTTTATTATTTGGTATTTACTATTGTGGAAGGAAATCACACGACAAGAAGACAGTAGGTCTATATCAATCACCGTAAGTCATTTAAAAAAAAATTATCTTATCGACAATTGAAATCGTATGTATCTTGTTCAATTCACCAGGTGGTCTGGTTCACAGCTACGTTTCCCTACGTCGTTCTCTTTGTACTTCTGATCCGTGGCATCACGTTAGAGGGAGCGGGAGTCGGCATCACGTATTACGTCGTGCCAACCTTCTCCAAACTCCTGAATGCTCAGGTAAGTCTCCGCTATTATAACCTTTGACCCAAGGCACGAAAGCTCAGCAGAAATCTACAATTTTTGTGCAGTAAAAAATTCGATTAGACTGTCCCCCTAAAATATGGTGACCGGTAGATAACTCCATTTAAAGCCATTGATTGGATCACCACTCTGCGCGCGAGCAGCATGATTGAGTGACGAAACTTATGAAACTTGGTGCATGCATAGAACAACTTAATATGTGCATACCCCCAAAAATTCATGACTATAGGTCAAAGCGTTTTGGAATTATCGGCTTATTAATTATTCATATACACTAATGGTATTTGTGCTTAGTGTACACTGCATATGGGGAAGTCCAGTTTAAAATGTTTCGCTAACCAATGGTCGGAATTTTATGTTTTTGGTATAAAAAAGCGCAAGACTCGTGGCTAAAAAATCAGGAAAGCTCGGATCGGGAATTTTTATTCAGTGATGCCCCCCTCTTTATTGATATTTGCCAGAGACACTTTCGAAGTTCAGCAAAAAATTGAAGCGCATCACCTCTGAAACTGCACATTTTGTGCAAGTTATTGTACAAAACAACTGCCGTGTGACAGATTATCCGAACAACAGATGAAATAATTAATGCTTCGTTAGTGTACATTCATAGCGTGCATGTTTAGCCTTCATGTTTCATATAGGCTTATTCACTTAAAAAGCAGTTTTTTGGTTCCGAAATTGATAACTCTGTTGTTTGTCCAACTGCAGGTATGGGTAGACGCTGCCACCCAGATCTGTTTCTCCCTGGGACCTGGGTTCGGAACTATGCTGGCCTACTCCAGCTACAACAAGTTCAATAACAACATATACAGGTTGGTTCTTTAATCTCAGCTTATGGTGATTAGTGCGTTGGAAGATCGAAACGGCACAGCTTTGTGACAATTGAAAATTGTAAAGCATTATGCACAGTAACAAAAGTCTTCAAAAATGACAGGCAACTTTGCCAACAAATGAACAAAGAGTAATTGTTAAATTGATAAGACTTTAATTCAACAATCTACCAGGCGGTTAAGATTTACTTTGTCGCAACGTTCGGTTATCGTTTGTTTTGTTCATTGGTGTATGATTGTTTGTTCGTAAGTTGAATGGTTGGGTTTCTTTAGCATTTGTTTACGATTAATGTTACAAAATGTTACGAATCTGCATTTGTCTTGAACAGTTAGGAAACGCCGCTATTTGCTTGACAACGAGAGTGAGCGGCCCGATATACATAAATGGTATAAGCAAGAGGCCCGAAATGACACTCAATACATGACGGTCTGTAAAGTTGTTCTGCTTATACTGTATCTGTTTTTGTTTTCTTAATTACTCTCGTCATTTACAGGGACGCAATGTTGACAAGCTGTATCAACTGCGCTACCAGTTTCCTTGCTGGTTTTGTCGTCTTCTCAGTGCTTGGTTACATGTCGGTGCGTAACCATGTCGACATCGATCAAGTGGCCACCGAAGGTAATTATATGACACAAGAACACAGTAGAGGAGGGCAGTAAGTAGCATTGTTTCCCAAATTGTTATACAGTTTTGCCAATTTATATTTTGACTCTCCAAAACGTGTTCTATTGTGAGCCAGCATGTAGACTCTAGCTGGAGTGGAATGTAATACTATATAAATAGTGAATGCCTTTGAGTGCAATGGTTGGAATAATTTCATGAGGTGATAGATGGAAAGTTTGATTCCACTCGGCTTCGCATCGTGGATGGAACATTCCATCCGTCACCGATTATTTATTTTGTACCTCGCCTAAATACAATCATCATCATCTGATCGGTGTGCCGGGCCGATGATTGGAGCGAAATATTTTAATAATAACACGTGATCAACGATCCACCAATCAGATGACGGAGATTTATTCAGTCGTTGCATAATTGTTTCTAGTTGGTTTTTAAACGAAAATCACTTTCCATTTTTAATTTCGAAAATGAAATATAAAAATGAAAAACAATCGAAACAAAATGCTCCGTAGATCGTTTTCTTAACGATTGTGGCATATATGCCGATTCACACTAGGAAAGTTTTAGAGTGTTGAGTGTTGAGTGTTGAAGTAATGGCAAGAAGATGTTACCATTGGAAAAACACTGAATACTTGACTGGCCCCCTTTACTCTGTTTTGAGTCATGCAGCTGTACCTCCAGTTGTGAAAATCATCATGCTATGTTGATACATCAAATATGTTGCCAGATGTTGGCGTTAGGGATATGCCAACTGGCTTAACCGTTAGTTAACTGTCATATAGCTGAGAGCCTACCCCTAGAGGAAGGAGTCTCCATGGTATATGAGGTGTTTGAATCTGTGAGAACTTCTTGTGAGGTATGGGCACCGTGTGAAGCTTGACACTGGCGGCTCCGGGGAGGGGGGGGGGAGGTTGACCCCTCTCCCTTTTGGATTTTGTTTTTGTTAAGCTGAAAGGTAAAAGTCTACGACTATTTTTAGATCGATGATGCAGTGTACTCATCGGCTTTCCCTTCACGGATTCGTGAAACATAAATACAAATGAAAAAGAGTACCCCAAGACAAAAGACACCCAGCCCTTCTTGCCCTTAACTTTCCCCCTCCCCCGACCCCCGCCGCTTCTAGACTTTGCAAAAGTGGTGCGCCTCTGTCTACTTGGCTTCACCAAACAAATCGGAATCATAAATGAGAAGAAGGAGTGAATTTTCAAGAATGGGTTAAAATTAAGATCAGAATTAAATGGAAGGTTTGATGTTTCCTAGGGGTATTTTATTTTAGTTCATCGGTCCCTGGGGCACACTTGACCCAAATATAGGACCACATTGGGTTAAACATCGTACCTCGATGGGGGTAAGTGTCTCACCCCATCAGCCCAGGGGGACCGAGCCAGAGGGAAGGGGTCACATGCCCCTGGCACATCCGACATAACTAAGCGGGTTCAAAATGAGTACAACAGTCGTTTTGGGGGGCAGAGGTTAACAGTGAGTTTACACATTCGGTTTTTTTTGATTTGGGAAAATCATAAACCACACGGACACGAGATGATGGAGTGGTTGTTGGGGAGTACTTGATCCCATGATCCCACATTCATGTTTTCATGCTAACGCAGCATTTGGGGATTTTTTGTTTTTAAAATTTATTGGCATGAATCTCCCCATGAAGTCACAGAGCATTATGAAATTAATGGTGCAAAATTGCTGACGGAAAGGAAAAAGAATTTTTTTTCACAGTTTCGTAAAATTAAAATTGAAAGGGGCGTATAAGAGCAAATATCGATAAACAGATGTTTTCCAGTATCACTTTATAAACATATTTTTCTCTACTTTTGGTTGGTTCCTTTATTGTGTTTGTTGTTATAGTGTAGTGGGTTTGATCAGCAGTAGTCAGACACGCAAGTGTACGTGTATTTGGTTTTTGCCTGCAATCGGGGACCCCCTATTGTCCCTCTTTTGTTTGTACTGTTTAGGAAGACCTCCCATATGTTTTGTACACATTGTTAAATTGGGGACCATTCGGGAATTGGGGACCCTATTGTCCTCTATTGTTCAACGTCCCCTATTGAATGCAGAAAAACAAACTCACGCTTACACAAACACCCACAAAACTCGAAAAAGAGGGATAGGGTGGCTGAAAAACCTGTGATGTGCTAAAAATTGTGTAGGGCAAAAAAGTTCTCTCATTTCACTATAAATCTCCTGAAAATTTTTTCTGGAGTATAAAATCAATCACAACCACGAGCAAAAGCCAGAGGTTATGAAAATTGAGAGAATTGATGGTTGTCGACAACATTCGCGGGGGAAATTAGCTGAAGATGGTCTAAAGCGTCTTCGGTTGCCATGGAAATGTTTGTTTTCTGTTTTGAAGTCCAATTTACTACTATAGGGCCTAATACAGATTTATATCCGTGGCTTCAACTTTTTTTTCCTCCGTGAAAATGAAATATTTAAAAAGTTAACCATTGCTAAGAATTTTGGTTTCTTTTAGTTCTTTAAAGTAAACCAAAATATCGCCAGAATGCAAATTCTTTCAAGTTCTTCCCTCCCCTGATGACTGCGAAACTGAAGGATAATTAACTACCTATCCAATATCTGCAACAAATCAAGTCTGACGATGTTTACTTATTTTAAGTTCGTTCTTTTGTTTTGCGCAGGTCCGGGTCTGGTGTTCGTGACGTACCCCGAGGCCCTAGCAACGATGCCTGGCGCCCCCATCTGGTCAATCATCTTCTTCTTGATGCTGATTACCCTGGGTCTAGACAGCTCGGTAATTCCCTTTGCCGTAGTTCATTACGTTGGCTGAGCTTCCCCTTAATGAGCGAAAGATCACGTTTCACCGATCGCAGTAAACTTGAAATCAGAAGTTTGTTCGTTCAGACTAGGGGCAAGTATTCAGAGAACTGCTAAGCATGGAAGTATGTGCTAACCACAGAAAATAGTTGCTTAGCGAAATAGGTTAACAGCCTACATATCATGTCGTGTACTTATGGCTATAGTTCGCCGCTGATTTTTGATGATATTTGATGAGGTATTTTTGGCTAACAACTCCAGGCCATTCTGTACCGATTATAATTATGAAAATCAAAACCAAAGGCTGTGAATTCACTTCCCCTGAAACGGATGACAACACTCGCCAGCGGATTTGGTGTGTTTCCTGACCAGTGCCACATATGGAAGACATGTTGAAATAGTCGTCGGGTACCTCACATTTCTCATCTGGAACTGTCTGGTTCGAATCCAGTGCAGAACGACATCAGGTGGATTGGGTTCTCAGTTACAAGCTGAAGCTATGGTTTCCCCTGGAATACCATAACAGGGTTTGCCTCCCACTTTAATTCTTTATCATTCCATTTCTTCGGGTTTCTCCAGACCGTGCCTCTGCCTATGCAATTTTGAGGACCCCCAGGTTTAGTATATAATCAAGTAGTAAGGTGCAAAATATGAGTTGAACGAGATCTCTGAGGTTGCAATGATGCACAACCATTGCTCATCTGCAAATCACATTTTCGGTTTCGTTGAGTTTCGTTACATCCTATATTGAAGGCACTAAGGTAAAGTATAGGACTCATGATCGTGAGATTGTGGGTTCCAGCCCTGCCCATGCGTGTTGTGCCCTTGAGTAAGGCGCTTTACTCCTCTCAACCCAGTGGGTACCGGCATTATTCAATGCTGGGAAGTTAACAGATTCGCTGTGGAGGTGTGGCGACCCCCCCCCCCCCCCCCCACAGCAGCATTTCATGGACTCGAGTCTGGCCCAATCGCTTCGAAAGAGAGATGGGCACTCCGTTCCTGTTAACACAGGTTCGTTCCCTGTACCTTTTAAATCCCTTATTTTTTGTTATTTTTTTTTAGTTTGGTGGATCGGAAGCCGTACTGACCGCCCTCTCTGATCAGTTTCCGCGCATCGTTCGGGATCATCGCGAGATCTTCATCGGCTGTCTCTTCGCCGTCTACTTCCTGGTCGGACTGGCCTTTACTTCCCAGGTAAGTGCTCTGTATCCTTACCGTCACCATTCTTCATTTCCACCCTTGCTCACATAATACCTTTTTTTCTTGTAAAAGGAAATTTAATCAATAATATCGTGCCAAAACAGCTGACATTTCGTGATTTTATGTTGTAGTTATGCGCCTATCAAATGTTTCCCCCACCCCTCCCCTCCCCCGCGCTGCCCCAGGTCCGATGTCGGGATTTGGTCACGTTTTTTCATGCCCCAGGGTGGGGATTTTGGTCACTCAAATTACATTGTTACCATTGGCGTACCACATGGAAAGGCAATCACTAGTGCGCCCCACGTAATGTATGTCGGGCATTGTCACTTAAATTTTGCCCGAGGGGTGGGTATTTTGTCACTTCAAAAGTGACAATCCCCACGTCTTGGGTGGGGCAGCCCGGGGGGAGGGGGAGGGGGGGGGGACAATTGATAGGCGTATTACGAATCCTTGTACGTCCGAATTCAGACAACACAACAATCTGCAGTCTATGTGACCTTCCAAAATATTTGATGTTATTCTCGTCAAAATTGAAATGTATCGAACGTTTAGGAATTAATTCTAAGTTTAAAATAAGTTAATATGTCATTTTTAGTGGTTCGATTTTGTCACTTGATTTTTCACTGGATAGAACGTAACTATAAAACTTAGCAAATTCACTTTTTAACTTTTTTTTGGCCGTCGTATCAACCCCCAAAAAGGACATAAAGAAGAAACGTTAATGTTGCCATCATTGTCATCGTCATCAATTCCCTCACACAACTGTCATCCAACCTATATACAGGGTGAGAAAGAATGATCTGGACCCAAATGAAATAACATAATTATTAAAAATATGTAGCAATCATCAAAACAAGTGCAAATGAGATATGTTATGCTGGCATGTTGGACATATTTGTCGAAGGTTTCATGTATATCCATTGTACCATTTTGAAGAAAAGCGCTAGCAAAGAACACACGCTACAAAATACCCTGGTTCCATGGTTCAACAAATTTATTGAAATCGCGTACTGATTATGACTGCATTTCAAACAATGCAGTCACATTGTGATTATGAGGATCCAGATCATTCTGACTCACCGGCACCCTGTATTCCACGAAATTCCGTCTGCTATGAATTTGGCATTTCCCCCATTAACAGGGCGGGGCGTATCTGGTAAACCTCTTCGACAATTTTGCTGCCTCCTACTCCATCTTGATTGCCGTCTTCTTCGAAGCTGTCGCCATCTCTTGGTGTTACGGTAAGAGAAAGAGCCCTACTTTTCAAACAGCCACTCAAAAATGTACTTTTCTTTAAAAAAAGCAAGCGCAAAATAATAAAGGACTTTCGGAGATCTCAAACAAAACCGAGCCTATCTAATTATAGTCTATCGAATAGCCGCTTGCAGACAAACGTCTTTGATATTCACGCAGATTCGGCAATTAATTATGCAAAAACAAGACTGCGTCTTGATCTTGAGATTCTGACCATTCAGCGGGTGCCTTCTATCGGGTCTTGTGTTACCAGTTGTTGTATTACAAAAACATGCTATTAAAATATACCAATAAACAGCTAAGTCTGCGTTCCTGATCGAAATGATGTCTCGTTATTCTAAAGTCCTCTCCGATTGGCTGGCGCGCGGGGTCGCATAACATTTGCATGCTAGGATATATCAGACGTTCGTAGTGTGGCTCTGCATAAGTGAATGACTGATCCTCAGACTAATCTAATTGAGCCGCTATAAAAAGAAAATAGTGCCTTGCAAATTTAAATGCTCAGACCGAGTAACAAGCAATATATGTCGCGTAACATAGCCAGTGACATCAATAAAGTGACAAAGTTAAAAACAAACCGATTTTTTTTTTCAAATTTGTTTGATTCCAATATCGCAGTCGTTGCCCATGGAATATTTTTGTTTTTCACCAACAGGAATGTCGTTCCCACCGACCAAACGCATCAGCAGTGACATCAAGGAGATGCTGGGATATTACCCCGGTCTGTACTGGCGTGTCTGTTGGCCCGTAGTTGGCCCAGCATTCGTTCTGGTACGTTAACCCATTCCCTGAATTTTGTTTTCCCAGCAGCATCAAGCGAAGTAACGTTTAAGATGTACACTGTTTGTGTTATTGTCGACTTTCACCCCGCGGATCTGTTTATTGATATTTATTAGCAATACCAATAGTATTTCACTTGTACAAACTTATCGTGTACAAGACGATTTGACAATAGACCTGGAACTCAACAAAACTATTATTGACCTCAAAAGGTTCAATCCATTTATCAAGAATCTTAATTTACAAATAAATCACACAGGGAAACTGACTAAGAGCATTACAATATATATATATTTTAAGTTGAACAAAGAAATTGACCGAAGCGAAGTTTGAACGTGTGACCTCCGGATAACCATTCCAGGGCTATACCAACAGTACTGAGCTATCTAGCCCTTTGTTGGCGGTTCCACACTTTCTTACTTAACTTTGTTCAAAGGCGCTAGTCAAAAGCCATAAACCCGTACCATGCAGCCGGGGATCATACACCCAAAGTCACGACGCTAGAAACATTAGCAATGTTGCAAACCTGGGAAATGGGATCACTCAGAGAGGAGACAGCTTTTTATTACAAATTGTCAAATAATACCTAATTGTTAATGTCTTCTCCCCTTGCAGTGTTGTAGTGCATTCGGTCTAGCCAACTACAAGTATCCGACCTACGATGGCTACAAGTACCCACCATGGGCCATAGCGATCGGCTGGATGATTGCTGGGGCGTCCGTGGCGCTCATTCCCCTCACAGCTATCTACAAATTCCTCACCACTCCCGGATCCATATACGAGGTTTGCTGTAAAACAATTCTCCTCCTGAATTCCTCCTTGTCAATTTTTTTGGTCGCGATTTATTTCTGCTGGACGGTATTATTTAAGACGGGCCAATCTAGTTTATCCTTTGACTGACCAAACGACCGATCGACCGACCGACTGACTTGGATGATATCTTGAAAGACCATGTTAATTTCGTTTTAACATAAATTAATTAACACTGTATGCAGCTTGTAGACTTTAGTAAAACAGTCGTTTACTTTTTTCGTAATGTTCCTTCTCGACAATTGGGCTAAGACTATTTTATTTCGTCCCAACTAGACCACCGGTCCCAACTTAAGCTGGGACCTGCCCAACTTTAGTGTTCCAGTCTGAGAGCTAGTTGGGAGGGTTCCAAAAATAAGTTGGGACCGTCCAAACTAAAGATGGAACGATGGTCTAGTTTCGGCGTAACGGTTTTAAGAGGTCAAGGAATCAAATACAATTGAAATCTTTAAAGATTGTCGTAATTTATAATGCTGAAATCCCAGCAGATTGTCAGATAACTGATCAGGTAACTGAAACTTCTTTCACAGTTTCCAACTTTTTATTCTAAAAAGAGAAGAAAAAAAACCACTGTCTTTATAAAGCGCCTTTGAATTTTCGATTTTTTTTTCCACCAGCGATTTAGGGTGAACATGGACACACCACCGCAGTATCCTACCGAGTTACCGTCGGCCAACCACTATCCGTGCCAGCTGAACGGGGTCCCCATGGACACAAAGCCGGTCACACACGTCTGAACAATCACGGTAAAAGAGAAAACAATCCAGGGAGCAGTGGTGAATGTATGGGGATTGGGTGGGGCTGGGGGAAAGAGCTACGGGCATGGGCGTCGCTATGGTAGACCATGGGGTGACCACAAGATGGCCGGTCACCATCTGACAAAACTGGCTATAGGGGCGCTGTTAAAGGCGGACAATTCTCTTCTGCAACCAGGTATTAGCAGTTAGTATTATACGCCTGCATAAATCACGGTGATTGATACAAGGTGGAAGCTTCCCTGTGGCCTTGTGGTCCGGGCTGGTGGTTTCGGATTAAAAATTGCCGAAGGTTCGAATCGTCCTTTTCCGCCAACAAATTGTGATTTGCTTTCTTTTATCTCGTTTGTTATTACATCCTTTTTGTTAATGAAATTAAAAATCTCTCTGACTTAATACCCTCGATGAATTTTTAAAGGGATGTAAGGTAACAACTGACGCATGTGAGATTCTTTCTGCATTCAATATGGGACGTTGAACAATAGAGGACAATAGGGTCCCCAATTCCCGAGAGGTCCCCTGTTTGGATTCGTGTACAAAACATATGGGAAGTCTTCCTAAGAAGTACAAACAAAAGAGGGACAATAGGTGGTCCCCGATTGCAGGCAAATACGCACCTCTGTACGTTATGGTACGTAACTAGTCTTGGTTGCAGAAAAAATAATTATTGATGACTGGACAACAGTTGGACAAAATCTGGAACTAGGTTGCGCCATTCATGCGGACTCTTGGCTGACAAACGATTTTTTGCAGACAAGAACGAAGATCTTCCGGCAAAACGACGGTTGGGGGAATGCAACACCACCCCTCGCGCCTTGGTGACGCCCCTGCCGGCAGGTAATTCGTCCAAGTGTTCATGGTGGGTCTCATCCTCTCCCGATAACACAGAGTGCTGATTGATGTTTAAATCCGTCACAGTTACTCGATTTTGTAAAACAAAAAGCAAAATTATTCCAAGACTGACATGAGGGTTAATATGACAGCATTGAATTTTCATCGCCAAAATAGGCAATAATTACCACAGTTAGAGATATTTCATGTTTTCTTCATAAAGGCAATCCCGTTTAATGCAGGCTGAGTAAAAAAAATCAGAAACCAAAATGTCGGGACTGGGATCAAGTTCTGCATGTAGCACTTTCAAAATCTAGGATGTGAAAGCCCAATTCAAAAGCTTCCTTGAAGTATAAGATTTCAAATCACCCATGTACTTATTTGATTTAAACACAACCACCGTTTTACAGTTCTGTCCACGGATCATCAAAAAGGTATGTGTTCTTTCAGCAACACGAAAACAATTCACGTGGAGATGAAAAGTATTTTTTTCGTTTTGCTAAAAGAACACTTACCTTTTCTGTGATCCGTGGACAGAAATTTTAAAACGGTGTTTGTGTTTATAATTCCGTAACTTGAAAAGTACATGAGTGATTTCAATAATCATTGTACTAAAGAAAAGCTTATGAATTGGGATTTCATATCCTAGATTTTGAAAGTGCTACATGCAGAACGTCACTGAAAAAATGGTCCCGACATTTGGGTTTCGTTTTTTTTTTTTACTTAACCTGTACAGAAGAATAAATGCACTTGACATTCTTTTTGGAATCAAATATAAAAAAGGGCATTTGCGGATGAAATCATTATGTGGCTATCAGCATCTTCTATGAAGAAGTGTTAGTTCAGAAAGACGTAGTGGTTCGAGGAAGTTTTCAAGGTTTCGAACGGTATTAATCTGTCTGACCTCAGGCAAACGCCGAGTGACGGACACAGACTTCGTCCCCAAACGCTCTCACCGTGTGCACCGGTTTTTCAGAAGGAACACTCCTTTATAGAACAACTTGATTGACACATGCTGATACATGTATCCATTAAAAATACAGATTATTCTATCATACAAAGAACCAAATCATCACACTAATATATCAAACTGAATTGTATTGTCTTGACTACAATAAAAAAAAATACATCACAATAGCATTCATTTTCCGATAAATGCTTTACTATTTCAAATATTTACATATTTGTAAATATGTAAAAAAAAAAAAAATAATAATAATAATGAAAGATATTCATGTTTTGTGACGGATGCATATACTCACCGCATTTAATCTTTTAAATCTTACGTGATTACTGTACAATCATTTGTTTAATCATAATTATTAGTATCATGAGCGATTTATGAACGTGCAAAAGTCTCAATGCATGTTCATAACATCACTGCTTGCGTCATTTGTATTGAATGTAATGTTACGATTTTCTGTTAGTAACATATCCCTTCTTGATCCGAGAGACAATGCATTGTAAACCGGGAAAAATTACTTGGTTTTATTTCTTAGTGTTCTTTTTGATTTGTATTATTAAGGTAACCGTTAATTCGTTTGCACTCGAAAACAAAGAAAGAAAAATGTTACAGATGCATAAGTATTTACACAGACCAAATATAGCCAAGAACTTTTAACTTATTGACAAACACCTCCTGTTAATGGTGATACAGTTTTTACAATTGAAATAATGTTTTCCACCTTTATAGCTTAGAGCAATTGCTAGTTATCTTTTGTTACTTTTATACATTTATTATCAGATTTGGAGTAAGATGTGTGTAAATGGCGAGATGTAAGTGTCGTGTGATATTAATAGATAAGATGTGATAACTACCGTGTTTCATAAATGTTGTCGAGGAATTTTACTTGAGTAATTCATGTATAATATATGTACCATACTATGTTAGCCTTTTTTCGTTTAGTCTTGGTACGCGCAAATCTTATGTGTAGAAAGTCTTCATCAAAAAAATCACACAACAAAAAGTCACCAACACCTTTAAATCAGTGTTATCTAAATCGAAGTAATATTTTGGAATTTCAGAGTTTTCATCTTGACACATACAGTTATAACTTTTTTCCTGAAAGGTTGTCAGAAGTTTAATTTTGCAGGAAAGGTAAATGTTGCATTGTAATACACCACATGAACGATTTTGTTTGTGTGAAATGAACTATGAATTAGTGTAGCAGGCGCCCTTTCAAAACATCAATGGGCAAAATCATTTTTAGGCAAATAACCGTCGTGAAAGTTTTGGTTCTGTTATATAAATGAGAAAATGTATATCACAGAGTCTAGGGGAACGTGATTTTTACATATTATAATGAGTTTCTTACTCTTATAAATCGATATCTAAATACCACATATGCTGCTTTACTTTTTACTCTTATACCTTTCCTCTTTTTTTGGGACTGATTATACACAATGTTAACAAATTTAAGTTTGGTAAAGTTGATTAGTCTATACACCGTGTATTGTCGTGTATCCTATATTGTATAGTTATCATTGATGGAAACTGTTCAAAAAATAGTAAAACATTGTAAAAAAGAGAGTATACAGGAAATTATAATCAGTAGCTGAAGTTATTACAGTATTAATACACGTAAAATGCATTGTTACAAGTGCATAAGACATACTTCGTACATAATGTAAAAAAACCCAATATTTTGTTTATTTGGTTATATTTCACTGCACGTTGTTTCGGGTTTACAATCCAAACAAGAGGGATTTTAGGTATAGAAATTCCAAATCACGGATTAAGATTAGGTCTGGTATATTTAGCATTTCAGGGGTCATGATTTCTATGACACAGAACATTATAGTGAGTTTAAAGGGAAGGATTAGCCGTCATATACACACGACGATTGCAGGGTGAGTAAGAAAACCCCGAAACCCAAATATCGGGACCATTGTTTTAGTGAAGTTATGCATGTAGCACTTTCAAAATCTAGGATATGAAAGCCAAGTTCATATTATTTTTTTTCAGTACAAGAATCATTCAAAGCACTCCTGTACTTTTCAAGTTACGGAATTTACAACCACCGTTTTACAGTTCTGTCCATGGATCACAAAATAAGGTGTGCGTTCAGCAAAACGAAAACAATTTACACAATTTCGCCTTTGTGATTTGTTTTCGTTTTGTTGAAATAACAATTACCTTTTTGTGATCTGTGGACAGAACTTTAAAACGGTGGTTGTGTTTAAAATTCCATAATTTGAAAAGGACATAAGTGATTTAAATGATTCTTGTACTAAACGAAAGCTAATATATGAATTGGGCTTTCATATCCTAGATTTTGACAGGGCTACATGCAGAACTTCACTAAAACAAAAGTCCCGACCTTTGGGTTTCGTTTTTTTTTACTCACCCTGTATAACAACCTTTTAGAAACTGCAATTCTTTGTTTTGTACACGATTTGTTATGTGTCCGCTTAATAAAATAAATCCCCAAATATTGAGATGAAATTTTGTCACTTGAGATCATTCTTCGTCAGATATAGGCCTAAACGAATCTCGTTTATATAAGAAAATCTTGCAATTTGTAAGCCTACATTGACGATTTTTTTTTTGAATTATTAAAAAAAAGATTCAATTTAAATCAATTTCTGCACATTACAATACAAAGGTAGAAAACAAAGAACAGTAGATTTTTTCTGCGATGGCCCCAAAAGCCAATAACATAAATATTCGCAGATTATTGTGTGACACATCAATGTAAGCTGTCCAAACTTTTGAGGGCGCTGTCCAATCTAGATGGTCACCTTGTTCAATGAAACATCTTTATACGTTTAATAAGTTATTAATGATATTATATTCATCAGTTCCAAAGAAACAATGCCACGTATTATAATAACCACTTGGACGTTTACATAGAACACTGGCTATAGAAGAAATGATCCGGTAAGCCATTCAACTTCTTTGTTATCTTGAGCGATCAGAAACATTCTAAATATCCAAAATAGTAGGCGTTCAGAATTTTGAAATCACGAGTGGATGGGAAGCATCATCAACTGTGTAAGATAAATCAACAAAATCAACCCTTAAAGCACGTTGATGTAAAAAAAAAATGGAAGTTAAAAATTAGTTTACATGTTCAAACAAATATCTGTGATACCAACCCACCAAACCCACCAACATGCCCACGGCGTGTTTCACATCGCCGTGGTAAAAATGTCATGAGTGACTACTCACGCCCGGTGGGTTGGATGCATAATAAAATAAAAGTCATTTGGTCAGGATCCAATTTTTGACAAGATTGCGACCAACTGGTCCAAAGCACCAAACTAAGAAGACAGATTCTTATAGCCATAGAGAAGATATTTAGAAGGGGTGACACCTGAAATTCTTTTGGGAAGGGTGTCTTATTTGCATAGATCGTAAACACCTGCCGTGTAATAAAGTTATGCTCATATTTGGCTATATCTCCGATATCCTTACACACATCTACTTACACATCCTTACTTCAATAACATTTTCTAAAGCATGTAAGTGACTGAAAAATAATGAGCACAAGGTAACGATCCAAAATGGCCACTGTTATACCCTAAAGTTGCGCGCATTAACCTTGTCTCCAGTTATCTTCAAGTAGCCTTGCCAAAACCTTAGTATTGATGAGCTTCAATTCACAAAATTGCTTTATACTGGCACAGTTACCCTACTAAAACATTATTGAAAATCATGTGAACAATGATAACATTGTACGTGATATTAAGCCCAGAAAACAAAAACGGGGAAAAACGCGGTGTTTGTAAATTGGCCTTAAAGGTAGGTAAGGGTTGCCTATTAACGTAGGAGACTTGAACAAGTTCAAGGAAATTTCTAAAATTATTGATAAGAAAACGTTTCGACGTAGATATAATTATTATTGTAAACAACAATGATCTCCTATTTTGATGGATTTCCTAGCACTTGTTCAGGTCCCCCACGTTAGGCAACCCTTCGCCTAAATTTTAGCCCAACTTACGGACATCTCATTTTTCCTTTTTAATTTTTTTGGCTAAATATCAATATGTTATCATATTGCACATAATTTCCCATTTATTTTTGTTAGGGTAACTGTGCAAGTAGGTAACTTTCCGAATTTGAAGCTCATCAAAACCGACGTTTGGCGAGACTACTTGATATCTGAGTAAAAGGTAAATGCGTGCAACTTTAGAGTGTAATGGCGGTCATTTTTTTATCTTTATTATGTGCTCATAATCATCCGGTCTGTGATATATTTAGAAAATATCATTTAAGAAAGGATATGTAAGTAGAATCCCCAAACAATACTTTTTTTTTCAAAACAAATATACCAAAATAAGGGAATAAATATATTACACGGCAGGTGTTAACGATTTAAGCAAATTAGGCACCCTTTCCAAAATAATTTTAGGTGTCACCCCTTCTAAATATCTTCTCTAGGGCTATACGAATCTTTCTGCCATGTTTGGTGCTTTGGATCAGTCGGTCATGCATGATTCTGACCGTATGCCACCTGATAAATGTAGGAAACGAAGCATAAAGGGGTGAGATACGTGCACTTCCGCAAATAAGTTAACAAAATTGGGTTGCTCAATAGGTGCGTTTGCCCTTCACCATACGTCGGTGTAATAGCCATGGGCTATGAAATGTAAACAGCTTCTATTCGGCGTGAAATTATGCAACTAAACTTCGTATGATCTCGAGAAACTGACCAATCAGCAGGCAGGCGCCTTCTATACGCGCGTGATCCGAGCTCCCCGCGAGCGTAAACATCACGCCCATGCACGATGAGTAGCATTTTTCTACAGGTTGTTGTATAACAAAAACGTGGCATCGAAATTTACCAATCAAACTCTTAGTTCAGGTTTCCGGAATGAAATGACGTCACACATGCTTAGATATATACCGTTCTACCGGAGATGGGCTGCGTGGAGAACAGGTGATAGTCAGACTAATGTCGGTGAAGGGCAAAACTAAATTATTGAGTTAACATCATGCACCCCGACATAAACAAATTCCATCTTATGAAAAATTGGGACAAATTCTGGTTTCTGTGAACACACCAACACAGAAGCATTTACACTGACAAAATTGTAAGTTCCTCGTGTTCGTCTAAATGAGGCATTTTAAAACTTATACATGTAGAGCGAATCTATTAGTATGCAGTTTCAATGCAGTCCAACTTAGTGGACCAACTAACCATCTTTTTTGTTTGAGGAATAAAAAACATTTAAAAAGGTTATTTTTACCGAATCGTGGCTGGCCAGCAGGAATGTTGTCGAACGCCGAACCCCGGGGCTGAGCCGTAACTACTGTTAGTGGTTGTTCGATCTGTTGTAACGACATGAAATAAAGCTTTAAACTGTATTACATCTTGTCGTCTACTTCAATCAAACCAGTACATTCAGCAGTAGGACTCGTCCGATTTACCACACTATATACCGTAACGATATCAACGACTATACATTTGCTTATTCAATCAATGATTAACTTGAGTTTTTTTCTACACCTGACACATTGTTTCCACTCAACTCAGCCGAACTAAGGCTTCTCATCACTTACTTTACACCACGAACTATTTGTTGTTACGGATTTGGCCAACACAATGAACATTACACTCTCTAAATTCCAAAGAGTGAAATTAAGACTAGACGTTTTAGAGTGAAAATCACTTTCATTTTTGATTGAAATAGTCGGAAAAAAGGACCACTTCAGACGAAGCTCGAGAGAAAACTCGATCTTTACGATTGAAGGAATTTCACTCTAAAACGTCTAGTCCCTAGTTTCCGACTGTGGGAGTGAATCTTCACTCGAATAGAGTGAATTTTCAATCTTTGGAATTTAGAGAGTATAGGTAGATGTACACTGCTGTTCCTTTATAAAATTTGCCGATAATAAGCGGGTTTCAAATGCTTAATGGAAGTGGTTTGCTCGCAGACGAAGAAACATGCTTTTATGTGTTTTTCCTCTACCACCTCCTTAATGAATAAGTCTAATGACAGCATGTCAGCTTGCTTCAGTTGCATCAGAAGTTTGCCGTCCACATTTTCACTAATGCCCAAAAATGTGACACCTTCAAGTCGTAAATATGATGCATTACGTTTCAATTGGTTTCACGGCACAGCAGGCCTGCATTGTCTTAGGCAACATACCTCAGTGTATGGCACGTGTGCAGCGTTGAAGACAAGTCTGCAGGTACTGATGACACCAAGGATTGAGACAATGAACTCCACCACGGAGAACACCATCAGTAGAGCATCAATCGTGTCGACTTTCCACTGAATAAACCAACCAAAGAGAAATGCACAGGTTCCCCAGACTGTACAAATGGCCACCACTGGCGTCGCCAGAACTTTTTCAACATATTCTCAATCTATCATTTTCCGACTGTTGGCAGGGGATCATTTGCCTATACCCCTTCATTAAATTGCTAGCAATATATGGCCTCTCACCTTTCCCCCTTCCCCCATTTTTCCAGGGGAGGGGGAAGCGCCCCCTGCCCCCCCCCTCGCGACGCCCATGATGGCCATAGCTTCCACTCCAAAGGCTGACAAAAATGTATGATTAATATCAAAGCCTTTGACGGAGCAGATTTTACTAAAAACGTTTGTTGTTCGCCAACCCAGTTTATATTCAATATCTTGACATGAACATTAAAGGCAGGCATCACTTTATCTACCGAATTATTATCGAAACGCTTACTTGGATTAAAGGTTGTATACTGTCTTGCACTAAATACCCCGTTTAACTATTCCGTCCGTAGTTGATTTTAAACCATCAGTTTGTTTGAGTAATTGTTTTTAAATGAAGCGATAAATAAAGAAATCGTCTTTTGTGATCCAAAGGTTGTTCCTTTATTTTTTCCCCACTGTAATGTCTATTAATATCCTCTCAGCTGAAACTTCAACAATATAGATTAAGGACATTCGTCTTAGGAATAATTTTGAGTGGTGTTATTATTGGAAATGAATGAAAAGCAAATTACATCACATTATGCTTTTAACAGGGGTGCGTTTTGGCGGTAATAACAAAAAAACTGGTTCTGTTGTTTCTCTTTGGTTAATTGTTTTGGGGGTTTGAGTATTGCAATGTCGTGAGTAATTCTCATCCATTTAAAATTCCCGAAGAAATTCGCCGACAAGAAACAACAGAACTAATTCTTGGTTATGACCGCCAAAACGCAACCCAGGTAAACTGTTCTTTGATCAAATATACACTGCAAAAACTGTGTTTAGCAATTAAACACATTTCTAAACATTTTCTTGCTATCAGTTTGTAAACATGTTTACATACTAAACATGTTTAGAGTGAGGATGGATAGCGTTTGGCAATTGAACATTGATTTAGGAATTGAACACATAATGTTTAGCTTCTTAACATGTTTACAAAGAAATAGCAAAATTGTGTTTAATTGCTAAACACAGTTTTTAGAGTGTACCAGGTCAATAGTGGTGCTGAAACGATCCGGCACCTTAGGTGAAACATAATAATGGAGAAAATGAAAAGATTGGTAAGAGAACGGCAGACTATAAATGTCTATTTTAACCGATGCAGGAAAAAAATGTTTACTTATCTTTTAAAAGGAAAAAGGAGACAAAATTCTACATGCCTTCACAACTGGAATGTCATCGAGTACGTTGCCTAAAATGATATTGGCAACGCTGAAGCCAACGACGACGCACGCACTCAACAAAGACAGGACGGACATGACCGTGTAACTGATAGCCTGACAGAAATCAGATAAAAACCCAATCACAAGTCGATGTTATGTGAATGCTGATCCCTGGAACACCATCGTGGGTAAGTTAAAGCTATAGTCCATCATTTGCAGCCATCCAAAAAGTAACTGGCGTAATTATTGTTCAAAACAAACTTGGTTGAAAGAAAGTGAGGGAACTAAACTCCCTGTGAAATTATTCTTTCTCTGGGAAGCTGTTATTTTGAAGTATAAATCAACGAAAGAAGGCCTTTCCAACGCTACGTCTTAAAGCTATAGTCCATCATTTGCAGCCATCCGAAAAGTAACTGGCGTAATTATTGTTGGAAAACAAACTTGGTTGAAAGATAGTGAGGGAACTACATACCCTGTGAAATTATCCTTTCTGGGAAGCTTTCATTTTGAAGTAATCAACGAAAGAAGGCATTTCCAACCGTGATTCTTAAGAAGCACCGTAGGAAAATTTAAATTAGTAGTTCGTTTTGTTATTCAGCGCAGCGCGCACAAGTATTGCAACGACGCACACGCGCGCGCGGTTGTTATAATTCGTCGGATCAGTGCACGACGCCGCGTATAGCTGCAATTCAAAACAATTCAAAACATGATTCAGTAACTTTTGATTTGAAATTGAGATCTTAGAATGCTGCTTTTCTCGGAATGTACAGCTGAAGCTTAGCTGAAACTTCATCAGGTTAGTTGCTCAGTATCCTTCATTAGATTTTGAACACTTTTGTTGCCTAAAACAAACAAAATGCACTAATTACAAATGTTGGACTATAGACCGCTTACAGACGCGTTCGATAATTGACGCGCGAAGGTGCGCGACGCCATGTTGTGGGACAAAATGTGCATGGATAGATATGCGCTTGACCCACAACATGGCGTCGCGCGCCTTCGCGCGTCGATTATCGAACGTGTCTGCAAGCGGTCTATAGCTTTAAGACGCACCGTAGGAAAATTTAAATTAGTAGTTCGTTTTGTTATTCGGCGACGCGCGCGCAAGCATTGGCACGACGCAAACGCGCGCGCGGTATAATTTGTCGGATCAGTTCGCGACGTCGCGTACAGCTGCAATTCAAAACAATTCAAAACATGATTCAGTAACTTTTGATTTGAAATTGAGATCCTACAATGCTGTTTTTCTCGGAATATACAGCTGAAGCTTAGCTGAAACTTCATCAGGTTAGTTGTTCAGTATCCTTCATTAGATTTTGAACACTTTTGTTGCTTCAAACGAACAAAATGCACACATTACAAATGATGGACTTTATCTTTAACATAATCGAACTGCGTGCATTTCTTGCATCCCGGTGTAACGGTCTCATTTATCCGGTGTGCTGATCGTTCCGGGGGAATTCGTAGGATAAATCAAGCAGTTACCGTTACCGTCTCAGTTACGTCCATGCATCGGGGCCACGCTGGACTTTCCAGTGAATAGGCAGCATTTTTTTTCTTTCTGCAACCAAGTTTAGTCAATGACCATAATACGCATGAGTCACATGGTAAATGAATGCTCGGACTTAACTTACCCTTTACAGAACCATGAATGAGAGGAATTACACGCACGTAGTAGGAGAGCTACATACACAATTAGGCATGTACAGTTACATGGTCATGGTCATTGGCAAAGTGTAATCGGCCTACATAACATGTTCATGCACAACAGAAGAACCCAGCACACTGCACAAAGCGTGGCGACGAAGAATCACAGCGAAACTTTGCATATGCGTATGTTACCGAAATTTGCCTTCAGGGAGGATCAGCATTTCGCTCGTACCCCCCGCCCTGCAAACAGGACGCTGGGATACTCTGATGAATTTACGATTTTGCGTAAGCAGTGACCTGCGCGTCATCAAGGTCATGACTCTGCAAGGTTTGAAACGGCCGTTAAGACTGATTCATTACTGTTTTATTCCAGTTTAGAGATGTTTTTTTCTCGTTGAAAAGTGTAACAATGTAGGAAATTTTGTAAAACTTATCTGTGTTGTAAATTTACAATTCCCATCACTCGCTCAGGCTCCGTTTTGAATCACGAACGGTCGGATTGCATTATGCGACGCTCAAAATTTTGTCCACATGGTCCGCAATGAAACAGAAATCACATCCAGTATGGAATGCGCACAATTCTATGAGAATTTTCGGATAGCATTTGCGCACATTGTCTAACTTCTTTCACAAGATTCTGTGAAGCTCATCAGAGTATCCCAGCGTCCTGTTTGCAGGACGGGGGGTACGAGCGAAGATCAGCATAACTGAAACCGTAACGGCGGGTCAGGCACACACGAACTTCGTCAGCTCCTGGTCACTGACCGTGTACCAAATGGAATGCCGTATACAGGGTGACCCAAAAAATTCAAACCTAAAACATTTGCCGTAAAAAAAAGGGGATCTGTGGATTTTTATATTCTTGGTATCAGATTAAAGCTGTGAGCTTTTTCTTTGAAATACTGACAAAAATCATTAAAATAGCACTTTGGGTTGCTGAGAAAATGCCAATTATGTAAAAGTAGTCATATTTCATCCTGTACACACAAAAAATACCACAGTTAGGGATTTCACTGTACTTATTTGTGCATGTCCTAATCCTTACAAACAACACGGCATATAATATGATAAAAGTGCAAATGAATTTGATGGAAATACCTTTTATTATCAACCTGAACAGGTATCTAATCCTTTTAAGTCCTATTTTAAATCCTTTCAGCATCATGTCAAAATACTAAAGAAATGGTGCACAAATAAAGGATGATTGCACAAGGATTGCATTAAAATGTTACAATGTTTTAATCACATCTTTAATCTGATACCCAAAACATAACAATCCACCGATCGCTTTCTTTTTTAAAGGCAATAGTTTTAGGGTTGCATTTTAGTGACCCTGTAAAGCGATGGGAACCAACGAATAGTCATTCTGCTGGGCGCCTGACGCCTGAGTTGACAGGAACCCATGCGGCTTCGGCGACCATTAATATGATTTAATTTGCGTTGGGGTGATCTAAAGTTGATTGGATTTTGCCCTTCACCGACATATTTTATAAACACTGATTACTCAGTGTTTGAAACACATTTTGCCTTAAATGGACGAATGTTTTTTGTTTAACTATTAAACACATAGAAACTCATGTCAGGAGAGGACGCCATCTATAGTGAAGGACTCTATAGATTTGTACATGTATGGGGCTAGAGGGCTCATGTCTTCCGCAAATCGGTCATGTGTGTTTTGTTTAAACTCACCACTTACAAACATTAACTACAGGTTTTTAACTTAAAAACAGGTGTTCTAGCTTTGGAATGACTGACTGTTATCATGCAGGTCTATAATTATGAGCAATAAAAGGCAAAAGGAAAAGGCACTATGGAAACAACTGCCAGTATAGATTTTCGCACCATATATCAAAGTTGGTGACAATTGTGTTGTTGGTGTTGCTGTAGTTTATTGCCTCTACAATACTGTAAAGCTGTAGTTTATTGCCTCCACAATACTGTAAAAGTCATGATCGCATACTCTTTTTATCAATAGCCTATTGATGTTCAGTTAATTTCAAATCATTGGAGTGAGCAATAAATGGACAATGTCTTACCCAACGTAAATTCTTCGCATATCCAGAAACCATGCCCAGGATTCCAGCAACGACGAACTGCAATAAATTCAAGACGGATCGAAGTTTAAAGGAAATCATGAACTCCGAGTATAGGATTTGGGAACAATATGAAGCTGCAGTCTTAAAGGCCCGTATTTTTAGTTTCTTCACTGACCATCTTTCCACAAAATGTCTTACCGGTACTTCAGTACGTGCTGGATTCGAGAATCCTTCATGATAAAAGAGAACAGATAACATGAACCCCAAACAACATGCACCGTCCGACTAATGTGAGTTTTGTAATATGAAACGGTCGTGGACTTTACTTTACTTACCAAGACGCCACCTACAATTGGGGGAGCGTAGAACCGGACGGAATACATTTCCCATCCGAAAATTATTACAAGAAGGACAAACCCTAAACTGACGGTGAAGAGACCCATAACCATTTGAATCCATCCCGTGCATGTGATTGCAACCCAGTTACAATAGCGAGACTGGTTGACCATGCTGACTCTATCTTGGGTTGGTGCTTGGGCTGATTGCGTTGTGACGTGGTGAGTGAAATACGATGGTATCAAATGCTGAATTATCAGTGAGATGCAGTTCAGTGGAGTAACTTTGAAATGGTATGGAATGCGAGCGTGCTGGAGCTGAAGGAACGAATTTCACAGCTCAAATAGAAGACAAGACAATATGAACTGACACATATAAAATATAGGGAAATATCAGACAATAGCAGTACTGTAAATCTCCCCTTTTCACAGCTGCGCGGTACGTGTGCTGAGACCATACAAAACCGAAACTTGCATGCTGCATTACCATATGAATTAAAAACACTGGGCACAAAAGGTTAAAATATGCCAGCATTGAACTTGTATTGTGAGTAGTCACGTATTAAGCCCAGTCCTGTTTGCCTACCATTCATGGTACCGTGCTTGGTAAGAAACACGAACAATCCTTCACAAAATATATTCCCCATCCCCCCCCCCAAAAAAAAAGAACAAACAAACTGCAGAGTTATTGTGTGCAAATAATAACATCGATCCAAATAAACCTCAGGTTATCGAACAGAAATGAGGATGATGAATTATTAATATTTTCTGGTTTTTTTCACCACACTGAGCGTTTATATTATGCGAGCAAAAAGTTCATTGCGGGTGACTAGTTGTTGCTGGCCGACGGGCCGCGCGAGGCGTAGACACGAAGGTGGGCGCTTCGTGGGGCGCTTCGTGATTTCTAAAGAATGAAGCCTGCAGGAACTAGACGATTTACAATACTCTGAAAACGAAGTAATGCAGTGGAAACTCAACTGAAAACTCGATCTACCCGATCGAATGATGTTCACTCTAAAACGTCTGCCCCCTTGGTTTCAATCGGAGGGAGTGAAGTTTTTTACTCGATTAGAGCGAATTATTCACCCTGGTAAAAGAAAGCAGCACAGCGGTTATTATTATGTCAAATAAAAAAAAAATGAAAAGGAAAAGAAAATAAAGCTCCAAACCATTACAACGCGCAGTGAATATCGGCATATATATATATTGTCAGTTTTGAAGAGCGCCCTAATTTGAAAGATGGGTACCAGCCCCAGAAACTTTCACCGTGGGTTCGAGCGACGGGTGAAAAGACTCTCGTCCTTCAGATATTCAGATGTTCATTGTGTCCATTGTACCCGCGCTGTGTGTGCCATTTTTGTCCCGTACTACTGCTATTGATTTGTGAGTACAAAAATAGCTTGATGTAATCGTTTACGAATAGGCCTACAACAATATATACCTGCCAGCGGTTTCAGCACTGAGCGACGACCAGCGCAGAAAGCACAATTGTCCATAGGACGTCGGCTTGTAATAGATCTTTCTATTGTTTGTAAACATTGGCGCATTTTATATGGGCTGCCGCAAGCGCATAAATTGAAGCCGTGGTTGGCAACCTATTTTGCCAACAAAATCCGAAAAAGGTCCTCATAACGCCCTTAGTACAAAGTGAAAAGGCATGTTTAGGAATTATGTCGTGGCTTTGTTGACAATGTTGTATTTCCATCAATCTAATGATTTTTGGTTACCTGTAATAACTCTTCTTCATTGTTGCATTGTTGGACCTGCCATAGTTTTGCAACCCGTGGTTGGCAAAAATGCAGTTTGCCAACCAAGCGTATAAAGGTCTATACACGGGAGCTTGTGGTATACACTTGCACCAAACCTCTTTAGTCTGATGAGGTCCTTTGCGTTTATTCTTCTGACAAGAGAAAAAAGGAGAAAGGCTTTTCATGTCGGTCTTTTCTAACAATAGTCCGCATACCAGACGTAACCACTCATAGACGGTTCCAAAAGACAACATTTATTGTCTTCATAATGTCAGCTACTAACAACAATCACGGCTATGAAACTTCGCTGCAGGGGACTATCGCCCAACACCAAATTGTAAGTCACTCGACGAGCTCTCTGTAATTTTGTGAAAATTGGAAGGACTCTGAATGAATGAATGAATGTAACAACAGGATGAGAAACATTCGATTTCACTTCTGCTACATAAGTGTTCACTTCTTAGAGTTTAGGCACTCTCCTGAAGACGATCAGAGCATACTGACCGGAACGTCAAGTTTATACCTCTAGTTCTTTTCAGAACCATTTTCCTAGTTGAGAAATTATTCGCACATGCATGTGTTTCGCAAACCTTTCATTACTTAGTATCTCCACCATGCAAAGCCTCAAATCTTACTTTGGATGAGAAACAGTTTAAAGAAGATTACGGCCTGAAATCCTCGAAAATGTCATGCTTTAGATTGTTTACTTACACTACTTTAAAGGTCTAGTTGAAAGGAAACTATTAAACCTAATGTCTTACCGTTCCCGAGAAGGACGGGGAAAAGACCTTATTCGCACTACCCTTTAATTCTGGTGGCATGGATCATTTTCAATAATACTTTTTTTTTCAGATGAGTGGAAGAACTTATGCTCTTTTAAGACGTACATGCATTTCATTGGTATATGAAATTGGATTGATTTCCAAGAACAAAAAATCATTTGTTTCAACATGGACTCGATCTGCTGATGACTTAAAGACAATCCTGAAAATTGGAGTTTAAAATAAAAAAAAAACAATTGAAAACATTGGACAAGGCTCCAGTGGTTTTTTTGACAGACGTAGGGCTTGATCAACCACTGCGTGCATACAGGTGACCTGCTCCTGTACTACTGAATAAGCTTTGCTTCCCCCCAAAAAAATTCAGGTCCAATCGGCTCTGGAATTGAACCATGACTGCACTCGTATAATGCTAAATTCAATGCCGGCTTACGTTTCTAATACGTTTAGAATAAAAGGTGGTAGCTGATGGGTGATATAAAGGATCGGAAAGGTTTTTGTTCACTGTGGAATGCCTGAAGTGAATGATGCCAGTTTGTTTCGATGGGTATTGGCTTACCCCCACGCAATAGCACCAGGGGCGTATCCAGTAATTTTCAAGGGGGGGGGGTTGTTTCATCAGCAAATCAATTAATGCTGAAATGTAGACATGTTTTTTTTTGTTCGGACACTTGGCTCCGTAAAATCAATAGGTGTGTTTGGGGGGGGGGGGGGGACGGGGGATTCGCATTATTTTAAAGAATTTCTCAGAAAAAAAGACAGGGCTGGTTTTTTTTTTAAACTCCCAACCCCATCCACCCCCCTGTAATCACCCTGGATGTGGCTCTTGTACTAACGGACAAGATCTGCAAGAACGTTGGTAAAATGATCAGGGCGGGCTTTTTTGTTGAAATCTTTGGATATATTATTATGGTTTTCACGCATGAGCCTGGTTTTTCCCTACTTTGTGAAGGAGGACGCAGCGGCATATGAGAATATAGCCAGCGAGAGAGCCAGCCCTCTCTTTCGCGGCCTATGCGCGTCTTTCAGAGTATCCGACAGGTGTTTTCAAGCTCTACTTGATGACGGCTGGGACCATCCAGATCAGTTCCGAGACCTCACCTCGGAGTGGCGGGATCATATTCTAGCTCTGGCTCCCAATGGCGGCCAGAAAAAAAATGTGGAGAAACTGTTGGACAGAGTGCAGGCTGGACTTGTCAGCGGCCCCGCTGCAAACGATCGGCGTGTTGACGCGGACGCGTCCACCCACCTGGAAGGCAACACGGCAGGCTCGAGTGGAAATGTGGGCAGGGACTCTGGCCTCCGCGGGACTGTGGATGTAATAGACCCCTCATCAGGACGCGTAATTTTTTTCCTAGGAGGGTTAGGGGCAATGTCATGAATAATTCAGTTTTTCCTTTGAATCATTGCAAGACTTAGGTTCTCGTTCTATTTTCCCCTTAATTTAAAATTATCTCAGTGATAAATTTGGAGAAGAAAAATAGCTGATGAAAATGAGCAGCGACGACGTGGATTCGAACCAGGGATCTTTGTATCCATAGCTCATTCTCGCTATCCACTAGGCTACTGTGTGGTAGCTCGATGACAACCGTTCTTTAAAATGCTTTAATGTATTGTAACTAGTTCAGTAACTAACAACAATGCTGTTGATGTCATTGTCCGTTCGCATGGATAAACATGAATTATTCATGACATTGCCCCTAACCCTCATAGGAATAAAAATTACGCCATCAGGACCACCCTCTATAAAGGTAGTGCAGTATACATGTCCAATATCTTTCAAGACAAATTGGTCAATCTTTAATTGACTTGGTTTCGCCTGCAACGCTATAGAAATATTATAGCTTGAGCACAATTTAGACAAAGGTTTCGTCATTGTATAGACGGGTCTTTAAAAGTACTCAATTCTGCCCTCGGATTTGATAAAGGGGAGGCTTGAACAGAGGCCTACTCCTCTGTTATCTCTGTAGGAATGAACAGATTCCTTTGTTGTAGGAAGGCCCAAATTGTATTTTTTTCCCGATGGAAAGTGTCCAAGCAAATTTGCATTAATGTGCCCTGGACCTATAGTTGTGTGGTTTGGAAGGGGAGTTCCCCCAAAAGAATGTTTTTGAATATCGTGCCGTGTCCGTGATGTACCGCGCCCGCATCCTGTGGAATGAATTGAACCTCACCAATTCTTCTTGCAGCTAATGACAATAGTAATGTTATAATTCACAGACGGGTGCCGCATCCATCGAGGGTTACCAGGCAGGACGGCGTACCTGGAAGGGCATTTTGTGGACAGGAATCGCCCAGGTTATTTTGGGATGTTTGATGGCCATTTTGGGTGGTGTTACAATTGCGGCCGTTGATTACGGATTGAGGCAAAACGTTGGTACTCCAATTTGGTGTGGCCTCCCGGTAAGTTTACGCATATCAATTCTAATGATTCCATTTGAAACCAGTTAATTGTCAACTGGTTCAAGAATGAGCTGGTCGCCAACTACTACCTGTTTGATTCAACGGGTATCAACAGAATCAACTTGTTATTCAACTAGTTCCAACTGATTTGAATCGAGTCAGTTTCAGAAAGGTCTAAATAACACATAATACTGGAATATATTAAGTTACAACTGCATTTTTGTTTGCTTAAGACTTGCAACATTATTGACACGGCTATTTCTGTGTCTAGGCCTATTGGTTGAATCAGATAGTTATACCAGCTGAAACAGTTTAATACCAGTTTAAAACCAGTTCAAACCTGTTAAACCAGTTGACAACAGTTCAAGTGGTACTGGTTTCGGCTATATCAGTAGGTGTTTTTTTAAAATGAGTTTGTTGCCATTACAATATAATTATGCACATATTTCTTTTACATGAAAAAACTAATGCATGTGATTAATTGTGCAATATTGTGTCACATGAAAAGTTACCTTAGCTGCGTATCATCACCTTCACTTTGCCTCCGCTACAAGCTTGAAGTTTTGTAAACCATTTCATGCCATTTCATTGCAGTTGATCGCTTTTGCTGGATTCTTTGGCATCATGTCTGGATGTAAGAAAAGTCATGGCATTGTGAGTATTGTCGTTTTTATCCAATCCAATTGGGACCAATTTCACGGCGCTGCTAAGCAAACAAATTTGCTTAGCACGAAAAAAGTTTGGCTTATAAAGCAGGTTACCAGCCAAAACTCCATGTGATTTTCATGCTAAGCAAACAACAGCTGAGTAATCACGTTCAATATACATCGCATGGAGTTTTGGCTGGTAACCTGCTTTTATAACCATGACTTTTTTTGTGCTAAACACATTTTTGTGCTTAGCAGCGCCGTGAAATTGGCCCAGGGGTGAAGGGGAAGTAGATGAATCAATTTATTATGTAATTATACGCAGTTGGTACCAAAGTATCATGGATCTGATTTTAAGAATGTGGATTCCTTTCTGTCAGGCTATTGCCTACTTGGTAATGTCCATCCTAGCCTGCTTGGGAGACATCAGCGTGTTGGGCTTAAGCGTAACTGCAATAGTAGTGCAGATTGCAATCTGTGACGAGACCGACAGCGATTTTTCGGCAGCCGACTGTAGCAAAACGGTAAAGTACATTGAATGATGAAATGTTTGTGGCTGCGCTGAAGGTCATAACATTTTAAACAGCTCACGTAATTACATGTCAAAGATTAACTTGTTGCGGGGATTATCAAAACGAACTTAATCTGTAGATGCTGCATGCTGTGGGCAAAATTGAGAGTAATTAATGGAAGCCAATTAAGAAAACAAATATAGTCTTGGGGTTCCATTCCTCTACAACTATGTAACATATTTGAAATTCACGCTGATCGCTATTCCTGGACAGAGTTGCAACGAGTCACTGATTTTTGTGTCTCGAGTTGAGTCGAGTAATTTTAAAGAAGCGACACGAGTCGAGTCAAGAAGGTTGAGTCGAGTCGAGTCGAGTCACAATATGTAGTCGAGTCGAGTCGTGCCAAATATTTAGCTCGAGTCGAATTGAGTCACAATTTGAACACTATAAATAAACTCAAGAGAGAAACAAAGTCATTTGGCTTTTTTAATTTTACATTCGGGCTACTACATCAATGAAGAGTTCTACATGTTGTGACACCACATTTGACTCAATGAAAATAAATGGGGGTGCTAGCTGATCGCCATTCAACTAATGGGGGCACTGATCAAACCACATGTATTATGTACACATGTACATTATTCGCTAACACTCTAAGTTAACTTGGCGTGTACAAAAACTGACACCGGCGTAACTCATTGGAAATACTTGTTCGCAAAGTTTTGCTGTTATTTTTGGGTTTCGAGTCTTATTAGCCTTCCTCGAGTCGAGTCGAGCCATTCTGATGAGGGACTCAGGTCCAGTCGAGACATTGACTCGAGTCATTACATCTCTGTTCCTGAATTGTAGGAAACGTTCAAACTTGAATCTTTCAGTGACACTATGCCCAATTTCTGACACATTTTGTAAATTTCAGACTAATTCAAACAAAATATTTTTGAAATTTTTAGGGGATGTGATAAGTGGTCTCAATTTTCAAAAAAGGTCGAGCTTGATGGGATTTTCAATAAATGTGCGCACAGAAATTGGCATTGGCCTACTATCATTGTTTGCAGGGTGGCGGTGTGGGCACGGGTGTTTATGCAACGCTGGTCATTCTTGCCCTTCTGGAGTTTTTTGTCTCAATCTTTGGTGCTAGTTTGACATGTACACCTGTCTGCTACACCGAACCAGCTAAGAATACTTCGGTAGGTAGACCATTACATATTTTGTGCAGTGTGGCCACTGCTTGAAATTTTTTTCAAGATCTTGAAAAATTGGGACCCAACTTGAAAACTTGAAAAAAAAAAAATTAAAAATCAAGAAATCTTGAAAATTTTCAACTAAAAGTACAAAACCATATGTTTTGTAGAAACTTTGACAACTTTTTCCACTGAACACCCGAGCTTTTTAGCGACTTTTATTTTTACTTTGTAATTCTTTTAGCATTGGCGCCCTATACTTACGGTCAGACCCTGCACTAGGCACTGCATGACGCGCGCTTCATTAGATGCCCTCTCCGGGAGAGATTTTCGGCTAACTTTGACAGAATTTTTGTTAAAAAATGAGTTTGACAGAAAATTTGACAGAATGGATTTTGTTGGCAGGTTCTGGCAGGATTCTGCAAAAATAGTATTTTGACAGAAAATTAACAGCAAATTAAAAAAAAATGGCACATTTGTTGAAAAGAGCTTCAATCCTTTCAAAAAAACCTTTGCATAATGGGACAGGTTGGCTGGTCTAGTAATTTTCATAGGCTTGAAAAATCTTGAAAAATGTTAGATAGCGATCTTGAAAAAAAACAAAAAACAGAGTGGCCACACTGATTTTGTGTTTACAGTGTGCTTATAGTAGGCGAGTTTGTTGGGGGTCCGCGCATAAGTCCAACGCCTCATTGGTCCGAAACACCGTTGTCCGTTGACGGAATTATGAGGCGTCAGCGCAGTAAGGCCGAATCCCTAAGCCGGCCTCAGTTCGACATAGATCAGTTGGCGACTGACTTTTCGGGATCAAGCTGCGCCTGAGCTACGACCGTCGTGAACGACTCAGTCGCCGATCTTGTGCGATCTGAGTGTAACTGCGATGATATTAAAACGATCGGCATCAGTTGGCGCTCAAGAAAATCACCAGTCGCAACAGGGGTTAACAATATCAACTTCTGCGACGTGTTCCGCGATCATCATTATTTTTCTGACTGATGCCGACGGTTCCGTTGTGGCGCAAGCAAATCGCGGGTTGTCCTGAGGCCGGCTAAGTCCAACATGCCTCATAAATCCAAAATTTCGGATGTATGAGGTGTTGGACTTACGATACGGCCCCGTTCGTTGTACCAAATTTTGCCAAAAAGATTCGATCGCGTGTGAGTGATAAAGGGAGAACAATGCGAGGACACCCACAAACCCCATTCGTAAGGATGTGTCGGGTTTGTGGGGCTAGTTTGTACGATCGTAAGAAGGGGACACTGCGTTCAATCTTATTTCAGTCTCAACGTTCAAAGCAATGTTTCCTCAGAGAAGCAGACGATTGGGAGAAGCCACCTCGTTTTAATACAGTGTGATGAATAGGTTCAACTCGCTATAGACAATTTTCATTTTGCGGCCATCTTGGTTTGTTCCCTTTCAAATCAACGTAGTCCAAGCGAGGCTGGAAGGAAAAATAATCATTAAGTACTGTTATTGGATACAGGGAGCATGACTGAAATGGTGGCAGCATCATAAATGTCTATTGGATGACTTTGGCTGGTGATTTAGACATGGTAATAAACTTAGCACAGGGATAGGCATTTCGAAAAATGGCATAGGCATTTTAGAAAAATTGCTAATGTGGTATTCTTTTGGCGACTTGCAGATGAAATATGAATCCGAACAACGTCTGGTGGTTTCTGGCCATCCCCAGAACGTGGCTGCCCACAGTACTCATGCCGCTACTGGCCAGGCCCAATCTGGTAAGATTTTTTTTAATTATGCGTTACGCTCTTATATATTGAAGGGATTTTTGTTTCAGTGCAATAGATCTAAAATATGTTGTTATAGCGTAATTGAACGAAATTGAAATTTAGAGACAGTTCAAAATGTTTTGTTCAGTCAAATTATTGTGTAAGATTTGTTTCGGGTTGATGTCCACTCACATACCATGGATGTAGTCGAGTCTATAATAATAACATGTCCATGCGAATCCACCACAAGTCCCAGTCCAAATTCAACTCGGCAGCTCTTACAAATACAATGTACATTAAACGAGCGTTGACAAGGATATTCCTTTGTTATTGTTCATCAAGTGCTTATTGTCAATAGACTGGTGAATGGACATCATAGGCGTGGGGGGGGGGGGGGGGGGTAAGGGGGATCTACATTACCCCTAATATTATGTAAAGACTGCCCTTTTCCATTGCAATGCCCTTTTTCACCAGCGCGATACCCCCACCCCATATTGTAAATAGTGCCCTTGGCTTCTGCCCTTTATTATACTGAACAAGTGCCCTTGTGGAATTGAAGTCGTGACTTTTTAGTGCCAGTCGGCCGTTGTGGGTGCCTTTTTGTGAATTTTGCGTTCATGTATCGCCCTAAAAGCACCATATATTTTATGTTAGTGTCATAATCGTCGGTTGTGAACAGCGCCCCCATCGACAGATGGTAACCCCCCCCCCCCGTACTATTTTATTTTACGGAGGCCAAGTGTCCGGAGAAACAAAGTGTCTACACTTAAGCACGGATTTTCAAGTGCCCTTTTCAAGAAATCCCCGCCCCCTATAAAAATGACCTTGGTACGCCACTGGACATGTTATGTACTTGTGACTGATTTTGATGGACATTTGACAGAGTTTTCCCGCAGAGATTTCGAGATTAGCAGTTATAAAGTTCACAATAACAGGTCTGACAGTTTAATTTACTTGTGGCCTGGATTAAGATTGGATGACGCGTTCTTGACCGGTCATGACTCGTGACGATTTCTAACTTACTCGATTTTAAGTTAACTCTGGTGTTGAGGATTAAACAGTGTGATTCCGAGTTAAATTTCTAATAATGTGTTTACAGAGAGAAATAAACCTTTGATCATCCCACTTGCAGAAATGTACTTCCTTTTTAATCTTTCGTATTTCTTTCCCCCTTTTTAATACAGCCTCCTCAGCCCAGCAAGGTCAGTTGCCTCAAACTCGAGCGCCACCAACCGGCGAGCAGCAGTATCAGGAACTCATTAGATAGGCCAAATTTAAGCTATCCTCTGAAGGGTGCACAGCGGTAAATAGGCCTCAATCCATCCGCCGAGCTCATTTCAAAATACTCTAAATTAGAGACTTCTGAATTAGTGAATTTAAAAGATATGGTAATGAACCTCTGGCCCGGAATTGGGGTTTCCAATTCTGAGCATTCTGGATGCTATTGGGGTCGAGTGTGGTTCTATTTTGCCATGCTGTGGAGGGATCATTTTTCCGCTTTGGGGAAAATAGAAGTCGTCTTCTTTGGGTGAGAATATCTGGAAAAGTCAGTGGTCAACCCACCAAAAAAAATGAAAAGAAGATGAAAGATGACTTGTTCACCATAGTTTTTCTGTGCAGCTTAAATACCTGTGAGAGTTCTGAGTATTTGCAAAAGATTTTAAAGTATGAGCATTTAGCACTATAGTCTAAGAACTTGCAGGGGCCATTCCCTTCACATGGGCAAGCATATTCTGTTTAGTGAACACCAATACCAGAAAGATGTTTCCGTTTTACCGGTGCCAAATTTGAATCGGGCTGGAACTTTAAAACCTTGAGCCCAAGTTATAAACCAATCTCAACACGATTTCACTCTACATTCATCATGGTGACGGCTCCGCCGTCAATACTAACTGTCCAATGACGGATTATCTGAGCAAAAAAGTTGGCACGATGTTTCCGCCACTGAAGGGGCCTCCACTACCGACTGGTCCAAAACACCAAACTTGGCAGATAGTTTCTTACAGCCCTAGAGAAGATATTTAGAAGGGGTGACACCTGAAATTCTTTTGAGAAGGGTGCCCTAATTTGCATAAAGCGTTAATCCCTGCCGTGTAATGTCTTTATTCCCATATTTGGGTAGATGTTAATTTTGTTCATGGGCTGGTGGCAGAATGTTCATCGGTGGGTTGGTGAGGGATAAGGGAGGGTGCCGGGGTGGGTATAGGTTGATGGGTAAGTGGCTAAGAGGGTGGGTCGGTGATGGGTCGGTTGGTACATTTTACGTTTATTGTTATTGAGCAAGGATTGAATCTGTGCCTTTTAATAGAAAAACAAGTCACATGTAACTATCGGTGTAATATAAGCAACAGATTTATGGTGAACAGAAGTCAAACGTGGGTTATTTTAATGTTTTAATCAGGCCTATACTGCTGATAGGAAAAAGCTTTGCGCTAACAGGTCATTTTAATAAGTGAACAGGTTGGTGTACAAATTCATCGGAAAAACGACAATCACCACAAATAAAAGTCACTCCTTGAGTTGTATCCATTGAGTTCCCGGTCTGCATCATAGTTCAGTTCCGCTGGGCAAGTTGCACTAGTAAATGTACGAAGGATGGTTTATCTCTTCCTTGCAACATTTGCAGGGCACACAAACATCGGCAATAGGTGTGACGACTGTTGTCCTGTTTAGCAATGAAATTTCTACCTTATTCAAAAGAACCCATTAAATCCGTTCATTGTTGGCTCAAATTTCCAAACAGACGTCTGATGTCTGGAAACAGTAAGAGGTTGAGAACTTTTATATTAACGACAACTTTGGGCCTGAAAACTACAACATAAAACTACCATTTTAAGACGATAACTAGAGATTTGCCTTTGTTACAAACGCAGGGTGATAAGAGGGAGACAACACATATTGTTCAATATTAAGAAGTGAAAGAAGTTGGTCTTTTTTATGAATCGCTTGTAATTTGATACCTGATGACGTCATCATGACGTCAGACTAATATGCACGCCTCGAGATCAGGGTTGATTTTTGATCGCAGTGGGTGTTCGATGTAGTTTAGCAAAGACAAACCTATGAAGGCAACACCTCGCTTCAATTTTACTTTATTGTTTTCGAATAGTTCGAGATTTACAATGTAATTCAATCACATTACTTCAATCGAGCTCAGTACATCTATCGACGTCAGTGACTGCTGAGATTTGTATATTAATTTATTATGTACAAAGTACTGACTTTTTTTTTCTTCCAATGTATCCATGAGCTAATAAAAATGTCTCCATAGGTAAAACTGATTTTGGAATAGAATTTTAAAAAATATATTTGCTAAGGGTTATCTATGGCAGTTTGTTTGCATCAGAACTGCCGTACGGGGGCCAAATACAGTCGAACACCGTTTTTACAAGGTCCTTGGGACTCGAGTTACGAATTACCTTGATATAACAGGGACCTTGTAATATTAACAGTAATGGAAAACAAAGAAAACCAAAAACTTCGGAACTAAAATGTTGCTTGTTATAAGCAGGTTCTTCTTAATTATCAGGGTTCGACTGTAGTTAGATTTTATGCTGCTGACATTTTATTCCCATTTCTGGAGTGCCTGCTATACAACAACGTCGTTAAGTGTTAAAAACCCTATTACGTGACAGGGATTAAAACCAGAATTCAGTAAATCACGTTCATTTGTTTCTATTCTTAATTTTTTTTTGTAAGTTCGTTTTGTTATTATAAATCTCAAATAAAGAAAAAGTTTGGATTCCGGCCTGAAATGAGGTAAACAAAGAATTTTTAAAAAGGTTGAATTTGCAATTGATTTATGTACTTGCATCCGTTTATGTTTATTTGTGAGAGTTTTCATCATACCTCGACAAAATAATATTGGATCCTCTAAACTCCACATGTTCTTTCCAGTTGCTGCAATTTCCGGGGGCGGGGGGGGGGGGGGGGGCTCAACTAGGGGCCGGGAAATTCAACATAACAAAAACTAGCTTTGCAATGTGCATTAAAGGCTTGTGCGCGTGCGCCGGTGTTGGTGAGTGTGGCAGGGCCAAGTCCACGTACTTGTGAATTTCCATAGTGAATTAAATAGGAGTAGCCCCCCTAGAAAACAAAATCCTTTTAGTTGAGGTTTAGATGTCCCTGCTTCCTTGGTAGTGTGTCCCCTGTTACTTTAGCCCACATTTCTCCCTATTATAATATAAGTTGTCACATGTTGAAACCTCTTTTAGTTCAGTTCAGCAGACCAGCAGAGAGACTAATTAACATTATAGTCTTTTATTTTCCTCTTGGAGAGTGGTTTCCCTGCATGGGTTTGTCTTCGTGTTCAGTCACACTGGTTTTTAGTTAATTTCTGTACCCCGAGTCAATTTCCACTAGTACTGTGTGGGTTTGGTTTTTAACTTTTTTAGGTTTTTGACACAGATTTAGATTTTATTTAAGTATTTGAGTAAACTCATTTTATCTAAGGATGGGCATTGTTGCCTATTTTTTTTTGAATCTGTATACACTTTTTATTATAGCGCCCTCTGTAGTTACAGAAAACTGCATGCGTCCGTCCAGCTAGTCTGGTTCCCAGACCAAAAGATTCTGACTATTCCCGATGAATCTGTGGTCCAGTAGCCTTCGGTAATACATTGTATTACAATTTACGTCACGTGACTAAAACGGGAGGAATTCCTCCTTTTTCAGAAAATTTCCGAAGTTTGCCGAATTCGTTTCGTCGACAATCGGATAGCGCCCGATTATTTCCGAATATAATGTAGGTTAAGTTAACTGCTAATTGCTTATTAAATTTTAAAAAATGAGTTGATAATTAATATTCATTGCTTTCATTTAAAAAACTTGAAATTCAACGGCGATTTTGTGCGTCAAATATACTCGGATCGTATGGGCGAACTTTTTGCTGCGTCATGTACAATTTTGAATTTGACGACCGTTACTGAGATTTTCCAAAACTCGGTCTTCATTCGGCTCCGCCTGCTAACAGTGCTATTTGCGTGCCTAATTTTGAAGATTCCAGATCAACATTAGTCAATGTTATCTTACAGAAACATCAAACTGTATTTTAATAACTGTATGATATTACGAAGCAAGTGATTTATTTAAAAACTTGATCAGATCGAACATTAAAAGCTAAAAGTGATAAAGCGAAATCGGAAACGAAGCCGAACTTTGAAGAAGGGCCATCAATGTCGTCATGTATATTTTTAGCCACGGAGGCTGCCTGACCTAAGATTCATCAGGAATAGTCAGAATATTTTGGGGGGTGTCACAGCGGTTCCAGCATGCATTAAGCACGTTCTGTATGCTGCATACACGCACGAAACGCTGGCATTCACAGGCGCGGATCCAGAGGGGGGGGGGGGTCAACCAAAAAAAGAAATTCTCATACAAATTCTTAAAAAATAAGTGGAAACCCCCCCCCCCCCCCCGCTGTGACACCCCCCCAAACAATTATACTGGTCTAATGTCCGCCTGTTCAAAATACAGTACACCATTCTGTAATGAGTGTTAATAATCGTCGAATTTGAACAGCGCCCCCTATTGAAATTTTCACTGTTAACTTCTTTTTTTTCCTGAAGGGGACATGCCAAGAATAAAGAAAAAAATATCGGTGGCAGTGTGTTTGGGGCGGGGGTGCACTGGGACCCCCCCCCCCATAGCCCACGGACTATGCTTTGTGGCAATTTTTAGTCAGTTCTAGACAAAGTCAGAACGCACACGATTCAATACTGGGGGTGGGGGGGGGGCTGTGAAACAAATGATACATCCCTTAAAATGTCTTGCTCCTCCCTCCCCGGCAAAAATGCCACAGAAATGCGAAAGTATTGTGTTATTTTGCAATACGTTTTTTTACTTTTTAAATCAGGCACGAACGGACTTCAATACAATTCTGTCACTTGTGCAGCCTCACAATAATAATAATAATAATAATAATGAAATTAAACAGCACTAATTTGGCACACATTACAAAATGACAAAATGCCATTCAAGGGCGCTGGTCATTGCAAAGAAAAAGTCAGTCCAGGAGTCAAAATGCCAGGTTGAAGAGATGAGTTTACAGCTGTCGTTTGAAGGATGACGGATTATTCTGTGTTTACAATAATAAACCATTGTGAGTAGGTGATTGTATTATACAGTCCGTGCATTTCGTGCGCATTGATATTGGTGGTGCGTCGGTAAAGTGCTGACTTTAGGTTACTGGTTTTACAGTATGAATCCAATGAGAGCTCAAAGACATTTGTGGCAACCAAGGCCTTTCTTTATCACTCGGCCGTACCATACCAGCGCTATGGCGCTGGGAGCTATACGGACCCTGGGATGGATGATAATGGGAGGCTTTTCCAGCCAATATTAGAGCAAATGCTATATTAAGAATATGACGTAATGGCGCGCAATAATAATTATTGCCTGACAAACGCAGTCGGTATGCGCTTTGTACAGTACGCCGTGCCAGGCAGTGACGACGGTGAAAGAAGCAGGAACACTCCAGCGTAATTATAAGGTAAAACCATTGCGTTTGTTTTTCATTCCGTAAAATTCAATGCGATCATTCATCACAATTTGTACACTCACGTATACAATGATATGATGTGTCATAGATACTATGTACACAGCGATTTAACAACAAAGCAGCAAATGAAATTACATTGACGTGTAAGGTTTAACCGAAAGGCTTTGTGGCTGTAAGGTACTGCATGTGCAAGTGCAAATTCCATCTAGTGGATGTCCAGCACAGGGCGCTGAGGCGGGGCAAAGAAGCAAGTATTTCTGTATATGTTCTAATATAATATGCAAACTAACCTATAGACACTGAGACAAATATAGGTTACAAGATACATGTACTGTGAAATGGACATATAGGACAAACAAAACACAAGATAAGACTGACAAGTACGTGTGAGACGAGACATTTTTTACAAAGACAGATAGATAGGGCAATGATTTAAGAGAATCACCTAAATTATTCCAGTGTAAAAGTTGCCTCGACGAACAACACTATTTAGCCATTGAACATAATCTGTTACAGCCTATACATGAAATTTATGTGTGTTTTTTTTACGTCAAACAAGAATTAATACAGGGAGGGAGTAAATTATGCATGAATGTATACATGAGCTATTGCCGTGATCAGAAGTGCTATTAGTCATTATAATGGCATAGATTTTAATGTAGCAAACATTGGAGCAGAGTGATCACGATAGCCAGAATTCGAAATGACACGAACTGCTCGTTTAGGCAAAGTAATTAATGTGTTACATTAGAGAAACGTCTCGTAAATGTATTCACTGCCCCGATTCAAGATGAAGTAATTTAGATATCGTAAAACGAATAAAATAAAATTGTACTGGGGAGGTACTATTTTAAACTGGTATTATGCCAATGTTCTTGGATATTTTTTGTTGCTTCTTCATCAATATGTTTTTTTTGGAGTACCTTTTTCACCTTTGGTAATACTCTTTTAATCTGAATTAGCCTTGTATTATTAAAAATCAAAGGAACAAATTGTGTGTACTTGAATTGAAAGATACGAAATTATTATAATTTGATTGGAGAACATCAATACATAATTTGTTTATGAAATGCGTAGCTGCACAGAGGTCATCTTTGAAATGCAAACATAGATGAACCAGACCAACAGACAATTAACTGATTGATTGATTGATTGATTGATTGAATTACAGAGAATCCAGAGATACTTTCTGTCACAGTGATGGCCACTACTAACGCCCCACCTGCCTACGTGGCTGTGCCCCAGCCCGTTGGCCAGCAACAACTGGTAAGCCAGTCGCTCTCCCAGAATATATAACAGTTTTAGTGTAAAGGAAAATCCAATGGGGCCAATTATTGTGCACTGAGTGCATTTCAGTAATTAAATTAGTATAAGCCATCACTTCTTTTAAGATAATTATTGTGTTTTGCGATTGATGGTGTTTTTATGTTTTATCCGGTATTCACTACTATGCCGTCGCCAAATTGCTTGCTTTGCACCATGACTACACACGCACAAATACAGTTCAGTTTTGCTGTTTGCAATGTCATGTACGTACTCGGAGCCTATATTCATATGCTAATTTTGAGCAGGAATACAAATATTGTCCACCTCCAGGACGTGGAGTGTGTTGCGGAAGTGTGTTGTGTGAGTGTACAAATGAAAAAAAAATATTTCGTTTTCGGTTTGTTTTTGTTTGATAGGTTTGCATTGTGCCTACACGAAATATGCTGTAGTGGCTTTGTTATAACAAATATCACATGTTTTTTTATTCTCAACATCACTCTTCATAACACCCCCAAAATTAGTCAGTTGACTTATGGTAAAAAAAAAATCATCCCCCATATGCAATGTCAGGTATAATTGTTTGACAATTTCAGGGACTATTTATGAAACACTAAAGCCGTGTTTTCCTATCCAAGAAGAGTGTTGTCCGGGCGTTGTTTATGAGCCGAAATGAAGAATGTACAATTGAATATCCACATTATTCCCTAACCTTTTTTGTGGGCGGGACGTTCGTTTGGAAAATTTATCGAAATAATCCCAAAAGGGAAAGGGGTCACTTATCAAGACATTTTGCAGCATGGGAACTATTTGATATTATAATTTAATACCGGACATACAATTTTAGACAAACTGTCTCTTAAGGGGGCTGAGACACATTTCATAATTTGGGGATTAGAGGAAATGAATTTACAAGATACTGCACCATTACTCCATACTCATGTCATTTTTTTCTTCTGAATTTTGACTTGGCGGTCTAAAACAGTAAATTATACGGCAACATTTCAAATTTTATTTCGTTTCTATGAAGAGGAATTATAGCACATATGTTTTTAAGAAAATGAAAAATGATAAAAATGTACAATTTTGTCCTGAAAATCTATTTTGTTTCACTAAACATAAATATAAGAATTAAAAAAAAAAACATTGACACTCAACCTGATTCACCAGGTGACGGTGCAACCCGCTGCCGGCGTTACTTTAAGCACGGTGAACCCACAGCTTCGAAGTGGTAACTGGAAGGGTATTCTATGGACAGGAATAATTCAAGTGGTTTTTGGTTCATTGACCGTCATTTTGGGGATTGCCACCGTGACTGCATTTGACAGCTTCTACTCTACGAGTGACATCGGATCTCCAATTTGGTGTGGTATATTAGTAAGTACAATGTCCACCCTCATTCCATGCTATTCTTTGTTTATTGACAGTACTGATTCGTTTGTTTCTTTGTTTCTTGTGTAGGTTTTGATGCCTACTATGATCGTACTTTTAAACAGAGGCTTATGTGGAGAGCGGGGAATGAATTTTGCGGAATATTTCTCATTAAAAAAGACGAACAGTTGTGTACGAGGTTTACAGTGGGGTAACGGTGTACGTGTGCAATGATACGTTCAGGTTGTACAACAGACACTTTCGTTGTGTGTCCACATCGGATGCTAAAGTGTCCAATATTTTGCCAAATGAACATTTTGGCTGCATTCGTATACATCTGTTGCACACGTGTGCACGCCAAATAAATCCTCTAGCCCTTCCTAAATCTCAGCAATGCTTTTTTTGTACAGTTCTACGTCGTCGCTGGAATCTTGGGCATAGTGTCTGGATGGAAGAAGAATTCCGGAGTGGTAAGCTAATGGTGTTCGGTTGTTGCTACCTTAGACTTGACTCGAGTCGGAATTGCCTTAAGTCGGTATCTTAAAAAAAAGTAGCAAAAATCACTTCGTTTACGTCTTTCCAGATGCCCGACAAGGTACACTTCAGCGCGCGTTCCACTTCAGTGCCGTATAACATGAATTCGCACGCACTGTATGTACATTGTACAACACGCGTATTACACGTACATGTGTGTACATGTATTGCAGAGCATGTGCATACATGTGGTGCAAAAGTTAGCAATATCACTTGAAAATAACATGAACATATACTTTTCAAACTTGATAGTCCGGATTTGACGCATGAGGGCGCGCGTTATGTACTGTTAGGACGTATGCGAAGGCGATATGCGCTGTGAGTGGATTTACAATATGGGTGCAGACCAGTAAATCGGTCCGAAATTGCCTACGCCGGCCGAATCACGATTTGCCTGCCCTCAAAATCTTCAGTATTTGAGCATGCTGTGGGCCATGAACTTGAGGGTTTGTAAAATAATATGGGTGGAAGCCGTGCACAGGACTGGGAGCTTGCAGTTCTGTGTAATTTGGATGTAATTTGGACCCTAAAAGCGCTCTATTTTGCAATGGAGTGTAGGCATCGTTTTTCAAAATGGCGATGGGCTTCAGGACTATTTTCAGGGGTGATCATCTTCAGATGGAAATTTCTCCTAAAAGTCATCAGTTGTCCCCCCGAAAATTGAAAAAAAAAGGAAAGATGATGAAATAAGCTTTAATTTGATGTGTGTCTCGAACACCTTGGAGAGTTGTGAGTATTTTTCCCGAAATTCTGAAGTGGGAGCATTTACCATTGGGGTCTATGGAAGTTTATTTACTGGTCTGCTACCTATAATTTCAAAATGGCGCCTTCCAACGTTTGTTGTCAAAATGTGTGCGCAGGCGCTTTACATTCCACGACAGCGTGTTTTTTTTTCAAGGGGGCGGAACCTGGGTGGGGGGGGGGGGGCAGCGTTTCAAAAGGGATCAGCAATGGCGGTTCCACAACAAATGCGCCCAAAATCTGAATGGGGCCGATGGACGTCCCGTCGTCCGATCACAGCAATTTCGAGCAAACCAGGGGGGGGGGGGGGATTTGGGTTCGGAAGTAGCAAAAACTCAATTAACTCCCGTTGGGGGCGCCCTACAGCAAGGTAGCCGCAAACAGAGCGCTTGTTTTCATACCAGACATGGCAGTCAGAGATTTTTTCTCGCAAGGTTTGATGAAATATGAGTCATCCATCCTTCCTCGTGCCGTACAAGTGGTTTGGGGAAATTTTTCAAAACCTCGCTTCTTTATAGGGTGCAGACCAGTAAATCGGTCCGAAATTGCCTACGCCGGCCAAATCACGATTTGCATGCCCTCAGAATCGTCAGTATTTGAGCATGCTGTGGGCCATGAACTTGAGGGTTTGTAAAAAATATGGGTGGAAGCCATGCACAGGACTGGGAGCTTGCAGTTCTGTGTAATTTGGATGTAATTTGGACCCTAAAAGCGCTCTATTTTGCAATGGAGTGTAGGCATCGTTTATCAAAATGGCGATGGGCTTTAGGACTATTTTCAGGGGTGATCATCTTCAGATGGAAATTTCTCCTAAAAGTCATCAGTTGACCCCCTCGAAAATTAAAAAGAAAATGAACGATGGTGAGATAAGCTTTAATTTGATGTGTGTCTCGAACACCTTGGAGAGTTGTGTGTATTTATCCCGAATTTCTGAAGTGGGAGCATTTACCATTGGGGTCTATGGAAGTTTATTTACTGGTCTGCTACCATATAGGCACAGACCGAGCGCAACCCAGACTTGGCCAAGTCCATTGCTACCTTGAAGTGGGAAATCTTCAAAATGGGTGGGGGTGTAACAATGAATACAGTCCTGTGATATTTCGCAGATTTGAGGACTGAATATTAACATATGACCACTTTAATGGACTTGGACCAATTTCACCAATGGACAAAAAGTCTTTTAGAAAGATTTTGAATAAATTGTGATTTTTCTGCACAGGCTGTCGGCTACATGGTCATGTCCATCTTGGCTTGTTTGGCGACGTGCTGCGTCATTGGTGCTGGGGCTGCCAGGATGTCAGCCATCAATCAAGTCTGTCATCCAATTTATACGCGTTATCGTTATAGCTACACTTATAGCTATCCTCGCCAGATCGTCTCGTACTATGACTACCCTCCTTCATTCTGTTATTTGCAGGTGAGTCGAACTTTAATCCCCTAATAATGAAAAAAACGTTTTCGTGTTTGTGCCTCCAGGGGTGTCCTTCTTTTTTTTTCTTTTTCTTATTTGTTACATTTATTTATTTCTCAGCGAATTTGCCGTCGTTGCCTCACTTTCGAAGCGCTATATTAATGAGAATCACGTCTCCATTTTTCTTGATTTGAAGTATTTAATAATAATAATAATGATAACAGGTTCTTATATAGCGCTTTTAACTAAGATCAAAGCGCTTTACATTATTATTACCCCTAATCATTGGGCCAATTAAACATTCCATATTCCATCTCAGCTCCCTGTGGAGTATACAGCTCGATGCTGCCTGTTAGGCGCAAGGAAGCTAATTCAATCACAATAACCATCACTGCCCTCATAGGTACCCATTTACTCCTGGGTGGTGAGAAGCAATGAGTGACAAAGTGCCCTGCTCAAGAGCACACGCACCATGAGCCCGCCAGGACTCGAACCCACGACCTGCAGCTTTACCCACAGACCACAAATCAGTGGCCTTAACCATGAGGCCACAGCAATAAACATTCTTTCAGTGAAAGAATCATTCAAATCGCTCGTGTACTTATGGAAACTGCGATTAGTGTTTCAATGTGTATGATGAAGTTAAACGATTTTGAAAGCTACCTAGACGTTTACAAGACGGAACGTTAGGCCTACGTACCGCAAAGATATATAGGTTTAATATGTGTTGAATTGTGAGATACCCTGAAGTGTGAAGGTAACTAATACATCATCTCTTGCAATGATTCTATGCAGGCGGCCATCAATGGTGTTTATGCTACACTGATACTTCTCGCCTTAGCGGAGTTTGTTGTCGCCATCATTGGTGCCAGCATGACCTGTGGTCCCCTCTGCAGCGGTGGATCAGCAACTCAGACAGTGGTACGTGACAACACCAAGTTATGTCCTTGTAGATTGCATTGCTTTTTTTTTTATCTACATCAAGTAAAATTCAGTTTTACGGGGTTTAAATTAGCTCATTGTGACTTGTCTTAGGACATGGTGCGTTGAGATTAGGTTATTAAGGACTTTTGAGACCTTGTGATTGTACGAACCGAGCATTTCATGCTTTTGAGGTAAACTCCAGTTTAAATTCACCTGATAATCTATAGTGGGCTCATTTCTAACGTATGTATCGCGGCATAGATGTATCACAGGTATGGCAGTTATTATTGCATATGGCTATATAAGCCTACCTTTCATCCTTTGATTGGCTTTCTTTCGAAAGCACTTCTGACAAAAACAATCTACAGGATGAGTAAAAAAAAGGAGACCCAAATGGTGCTCCCATTTTTTTTCAAAAGACGTTCTGCATGTAGCGCTTTCCAGGGGTGCGTTTTGGCAGTTATAACCAAGAATTGGTTCGGTGGTTTCTCTTTGGTTAATTGTTTTGGGGATTTGAGTACTACATGATCATGCGTAATTCTAACCCAATTAAAATTGCTGAAGAAATTCACCGACAAGAAACTACCGAACCAATTTTTGGTTATGACCGCCAAAACGCACCTCAGATCTACGATGTAAGAGCCCGATTAATAAACTTTCTTTCAGTGAAAGAATCATTCAAATAGCTCGTGTACTTTTCAAGTTATGGAATTTTGAGCACAAACACCATTTTGTTTAACCTTGTCCACGGATCACAGTAAGGTACATGATCTAGGTAAGATCTGGCAAGCGCTACATGCAGTACTTTTTTTTTTTTTTAAATAGGGGGCCACCATTTGTGTTTCCTTTTCTTTTCTTTTTAACTCTCCTTGTAGTTATTGTCCGTTTCATGCCCTTAACTACCACGGAAGCTAGTAGACGAAACTATGAAAGGATAAATAGGCCTATATGTTACAGCGCGGAAACAAATACTCGGGAAAATAAAGCGAATGCCTTTTAGACCTAAATTTGCTCAGAGATCATAATAATTCGACCACTTAAAATGATAACATTATGGTAACACTGAGGTGTCGGGGATTTTAAGAGGAGAGGTCAATGTAAAAAGAAAAACACATTCAGAATTGGGATGAACAATTACACGTACGATAGCAAGGTGGTAGGTATTTATTTAGAGGATAATGTATTTGAGAGAAAAAAACCACGCAAATGAAGTATAATTGTTCTAAAAATGACAGATTCAATACCAAGCTCAACCACACATGGTGATTGCCACACAGCCCCAGGGACCGGCCTTCTACAACTTTGCTGGTCAGCCACAAGTTGGTAAGAGACGTCTTAAAAAATATTGTTTTAAACTATAGTACTGATCAGATAGAAAAATCCCAGGGTTATGGTCTCTCCTATGCAGTCTCTTGATTCATATAATGTGTTTCCCCGTTAGTGTATATGTCTATATATAGTATACCACCCTTCTTTAGTCGCCCATTTTCCCTTGTTCTTGTTTAGCCTACCCAGCCCAGCAGGGGCAGTATCCACAAGCTCAAGCGCCCCCAACCGGTGAGTAATAGTACCAAGAACTCATTAAATAAGTCATCGATGAACTTTGACCTGAAGGCATGATATCTAGGGGTTGAAACAGAATTTAAGGCTTGACTTATTCATGTTAAGCTGCATGTGGATGTACATTAGGTCTAAGCATTTTGCCTACCTTAGGGAGCGTCTCATAAGTCGGGAACGTTCGCGGTCCAATGGAACGTTCCGTAGGAACGCCAGGCGTTCCAATGGGAACGTGCCGCGTTCCCAATGGAACGCGGGTGCGTTCCGCGCAATGAATGGCCCAGCTAGAACGGGGAGGGAACACCGTGTTCCCGGCGGAACGCTCCGCGGATGGGTATTCGCGCTTGGGTATAGACGAATCCGATAGACTATGCATGGAGGGGCGCCCTCATTCGACACGGACATTGTAGGGGGCCAGTGTCGCTTAGCAATCGCGGCGGGCGCCAAATATAAACAATTTTGTACAGCGACAATTTCCAGTCTAGTTTTTATTAAGTGCGAACAAATACAAACACGCACGGTTGACTGTGAGTTCTGTATCTAATAATATAGTCGGTAAAACATCCCAGGGGAAACATCACACCAACTTAGAGAGGAGACAGTGAGAAGAAACTATAGTTTTAGAGGTTTATTTATTTATTTTTTATTTGTTGTTAACTTGTAAGTTGTAGGCCTAATCTTTAACGTGAGGGTAGGCCCCCCTAGTCCATTCCAGTTTTAAAAAAAACTGCTTTCCAAAGGAGCCCTCACAAACATGACAAAGAGGTGAGAGGAAAAGCCCAGCCCAGAAGCTATTCTGGGAAAACCCATGGAATCAGGTAGGGACTGAAAACCCAATCCAGATATTGGCCGAGGCGGGATTCTAACCCTGGTCACAGCGGTGGAAGGCGAGGAAAGTACCGCTACGCCAACCTGGCTCCCCCATAGTTGAGCATAAGAATTCTGCAAAAAAAAACTATGGATGCGTGGAAGGACGACGTTCGTGACTGGCCAAAGCTTGAATTTCAAGGTAAAAAGCCACTGTTTACGTGGTGTTTTAGCATGTTTAGGCTAGGCCTAACGTTAACTTGCTTTTGGAAATCGGATGACTGTAATCACTGACATGAAACGATGATGAACTTTACAAGGCTTGGATCATTTTTAGGAAAGTGATTGATGTTGATGAAAAACAGTGTTGTGGGCAAATTCATTGCATCAAAAGGGAACAAATAATTAGTGTAGGCCTACAGCATTTATGCATTCATGGCATTCGGACAGTGCCGCTTAATAATATTACTAGTCCTATTACAGGAAAGATGTAGAAACAGTTTGGGATTCAACGGGTTTGTTGGGTTCAGGAATCGAAGCCGGTGTCAGTGGGGTGATCAGGCCAACTTAATACTCACTCTTTTGTCAGCAAATTTCTCCAAAAATTCCATTGGGCAAAGAAAAGGTCCTCAGTATTTTACCAACCAAAATGGCAGACTCAATCCATGGTCTGACTGTGTCAATTTTTTACTGTCATATTTTTTGGGGCTAGTATAATTCTAGTTTCACAAATTTTTAAGGAAAACATGTATGCCAAAGATTAAACAGACATGCAGCTTTTCCAGGGTGACTGTTTTGTAAAAAAAAAAAAAAAAACGAGTTTGACAGAAAATTTGACAGAACTGATTTTTTTGGGCAGATTTCTGGCAGAATTCTGCAAAAATGGATATTTGACAGAAAAACAGCAAATTTGAAGAAAATGGTACATTTGTTTAAAATAGATTCAATCTTTTCAAACAAACCCTTGCATGATGGGACAGATTGGCTGGTCTAGGTGCTGAGGTTCACTGGGAACCGGATTTTGTCGTGAAGCAACCACGTTTTGCCTGAAATTTACGCAATTTCGTAACATTTTTTTGTGACAATGGATTGTTTGTAATGTAATTTGAACCTTAATTAAGGCAATACTACAATATCTACTTGTGATTTTAAGTGTTTGTAGCGCATTTCGAGTAATCTGGGAAATCTGGAAGATTTTGAATAATTTTGACAGATTTTTGAAGTGCATTTAGCAGAATTTGGTCATGACCTTACGGTCACCCTGAGCTTTTCCTCTTTCCCATTCATTGTGCCACTCAAAGTAAAATTTTATTTGAATTTTCTTCACAGATATCTATGACTACTTCATTAATGCTCCAGCATGTGATGAGCAGCCTAACCGAAACTTTCGAAGCATCAGCGAGGGTATCAACTACCTAAACTCAGGATGGGTGGGCACCATCAAGCACCGCCATCATGAGGATGGATCAACTGTCATCTTGAGGGGGACAGTGAGATTTTCACAGCAAATCTCCAGCTATCATCAAGTGGAGATCAGTGTTGACAAAGAAAATAGAACAATCAAGTCTGTGAAATGCGACTGCATTGCTTCGGAAGGGAAATGTTGTAGTCACTCAGCAGGCCTGTCCTTCAAGATAAATGAGGCATACAAGAAAGGTTTCATCGGCATCACCTGTACAGACAGACCTTGTTTGTGGAATCGGAGCACTCAAGGTAACGTGGTGCCCGACAGTGTTGAAAACATGTGCGATCCAACCTCAAAGTCCACAATGAACAGTGCTCTTGCATTTGACACAGACGAGGCACTGAAAAAGCACCTGAACAGTCCACACATGTGTGAGCTCGCGTCCATACCGGGCACAATTTTAAATCAGGTGCTGACATCTACACAAACTTGCAAACCAGCCAACAGTGATCAGCCCCTCCCTGCTCATGGACATCATGATGTCAATCTTGAATGCGAGCCTTGTCAAGAAATTTTCAACAACTACATCCAGTTGAAAGACCACGAGGCAAGAAAACTTGCCTGTCAAACACACAATCAGAACTCGGCTTTGTGGACATCGCAGAGGAAGCTCCGAATTACAAGTAGCTCAGCAGCAAGTGTCCCCAAGAAAACAGAGACAGACCCAACAAAGTGGATCATGAATCACATCAGGCCACACTTCCTTGGAAATGCGGATACTTGTCACGGGCACACATACGAAGCTACTGCAAGGGAAGCCTTTGAACATCAATTTGAAACACTTGTAGAAACCACAGGTTTAGTTGTAAACCCAGAGGAAAGTTGGCTTGGAGCAAGTCTGGATGGAATTGTTGACGACAACACAATTTTAGAAATAAAATGTCCCACTGAGAGGAAGTTGGAGCGATATGGTGGTACTGTTCGAGGACTAGTGGAAAGTGGGACTTACGATGTTCGAAGTAGAGAAGGGAAATACTTCCTTCGTCAAAGTTCAGCAGCTAGTGGTTACTACACCCAGGTACAAATTGCCATGTACTGTTCGAAGCGACCCATGTGCAAATTTATGGTTTGGTCAAAGAAAGACTACGTTATAGCAGATGTCAACTTTGACAATGAGTGGTTTGAGCAGCGTCTAGGTCAACTGCGAAAATTCTACTTCAAGCATCTTTTGCCAAAGCTTACAGATTCAATAATTTCAAGGGAACTAAAAATTGTAAAACCAAGAATCTAGATGCATGTAAGAGGCTTAAACTGAAAACAATAAATGACCACTATTATGTGTCGGGGGAAAAGATTAGTCGATACATCACACTTGTTTAGTTGAGGACTGTGTTGACCGTGACTTTATTCCATGACAATATTTAATATTCATTGATTATGATCAACTGACCTGGATAGTACTAGTTTATATGAACTATAGCTCTACTGTAAAGTTTGAACTGCTAACTGGGTACTACATTGTATATGAGACTGAAGAGGAATGTGAAACTGAACTGCTACTGAGAAAGTGTGCTATTGATGCAGAGGTTAATATACTCTTCAGTATGCAATTAAAGACAAATCTGTTAAGACACAACATTTTCACATTCTATATTGAACTATTCTGAAAAAAGCAATGTTATGCTAGGTTCACACATTCCCGAATTAGTTATAAATACAACAAAAATTAATCAGGAATTGAAATTGGCTCCTGAATCACCCCAACAATTTGAACATGTTCAAATTTCAAATTAGGTTTTGTCCTTCACCGACGTTTAAACACTGTATACTCGGTGTGTTTCCTCCCGAGTGAAAGTTGGAAAAAAGTTGGTAACACACTGAGTATACGGTGTTTAAACATCGGTGAAGGGCAAAACATAATTTGATTTATATCACCCCGACGCAAATTTCCATCTTATGAATGTTCAAATTTGTCAGGGCGCTTCTCGATCTTTAACCTTACAAACAAAATCATCATGAGGCAGCCAAGAACCATCGCCAATTTACTAAAAAACTGCTATTCGTGACGATTCGGCTTAAAAATGAGGAATGTGTGAACCTAGCATTACAAATCAATTTTTTAACAGTGCCATACTGCTTAATTTGAGGGGAAAGTGACATACACACGTAATAATGTACTCAGGATATCCGGTAGAGGCCTGGAGTCCCCCTTCATTTGTGTTGGTCATTGTGTTAACTGGAATCTGTAGATGTTTTTGAGGTACATGTACCTGAGGGGGATGTGTGAGGTAACAATGAATGAAGTATCATTTTATTATTACTTAATTATTATAACTATTTTATTATAACTATTATTTATTATTATTATATTTTTTTTTTTGGGGGGGGTGTGGCAAACACGGGTGTCCGAGACACTCCGAAACACACGCCAGATGAACAGTAAAATGGGGGGGGGGGCTGTTCAAAACCCTTAATTTTTATGTGAGGGTTTCCTGTCTTAATAAACATTCACTGTACAGTACAGTAAAATATACTTGTATTGATTAAATGTTGTTTCTTTTCTTTTCCCTTTCAACTTTTTTTCTTTAATACTTGGGAGATTTAGTAAGGGGGGACAAATGGTGGGGTGGCAAGGAAGAACATTGGGGGATGCCCCTTGCCAATGTACAAAAAAAATACTTCAGCACAAACCTGATGATGTTTAATTATACTTGCAATGTACATGTACATGTATGACTTGAGAAGTTGAAGGTTTGCAGCCCGGTGGAAGGACAAATGCCTATGCTTTGCAGTAGCACCATGTTCATAAAGTCTAATCGCTTTTGTGACTACTACTGTACATGTATGTGTGGTTCTGAAAAGATCATGTTTTGTTATGTGACGGGTTGGATAGAATGCTTTGTCTGTCTTCAGACTCCTGAAAATGGACAGCACACTGTCTAAAACTTTGTGTAACAAAACACATGTTGTTTTCAGAACCTACATGTAATGGCACAGTCACTAATTAGACTACATGCACATGTACATGTACTTGCTGCAACTGCAAACCATCTTTATGTCAAGCACATTCATACTTTCAAATCTTGTCATTTGTTTTGAAGATGGAAACACACATTCAAAATCAATTTCAGCAAAGTCATACATGTAAATGTACTTATTCCTCCACTGAAAAAACGTTTCCCTCCTCGTCATTAGAATCACTATCACTTGTTTCCTGGGCTCTGTCCTCATTAATTAGGCAAGGCTGTAAATTGCAAAGTCCAGCACATGTAATCAATATGTCATCTACATTTTTTACACGCATCGGAATGATATTGGCTAAAATTTTGAAACATTTCAATCGTCTGATTGCCCTTTCAACATGAATTCTTACGTTGGCAATACGTCGTGTTTCTGTCACACTTTCCTCTGGTAGACGCCTGTCCTTGAGTCCTCTTGTGAAGGCTGGGATAGATAACTTCACACCGTGTGGAAGAATATCTTCGATAGTGAAGGCACGGTCAGCTAGAACCTCGTCACCGGGGAGCAAGTGGTCCAAAAAGCCAGAGTTCTGAGAGATGAAAGTGTCACTGGCACGACCTCCAAATAATTTGGAAACATATGTCACCAAACCATTTGGTGCAATGCAGTACAAGGCCTTGTAGGTATTGTGATGTTTGTAGTTAGAATAAGTTTGGGCACGTTTTCTCAAGTTCTTGGGTCTCTGAACAAAGATTTCAGTGCAGTCTATGATGCAAGTAGCCTTAGGATGACAAGACTCAAAACATTTGGGACGTATCCTGGCAAGCGTGTCACGTGACGGCCAAAATATGACATTTTCTCTCATGAATGTAGCCAAACGTGGTACCCAGAAGGAGATAATGTCACAGACTGTGGAACGAGACACTTTGAAGCGTACTCCAAGATCCCAGATCATCAGGGCTATTCTTAATCTCATCAAAACAAGCAAAAGTTGGTCTGGCACTGGTAGTTGAAATTTAGGGGTGGTAGTAAGAGTCACTACAAGCGCATTCACAAGCGCCCAGAATGATCGCACGCTAAGTCCGGTGTAAAACTTCATATCAGATTCTTGAAGATTAACTGCTGATACTTCTGGAGCCTTGACTGTTTGCGTACCTTTTGCCTTGGATTTAGTGATAGGATTAACATGTGCATAAGTATGGTCAGCTACTCTGGCATCATACCACTGTACTGATGCATCCTTCGTCTCTAATCCTGCTGTTTGTACACATGTAGATGTTCTCTCAACACCATGCGGACTCATATTTGCAACCCCTCCAGCCTTTTCTTGCACTGTCACTGCTTTTGTTGCTGTGGAAACTCTTCTCCTAGGGGGAGGTCTTCCTCTTGAGAGCTGTTTCTGTAAAAAGAAAAGTAAACCTGTACATTACATTTGTTGTTGAATCCTCAAACCCCAAGTCCAAGCCCCAAGTTTTGAAACTTTCTGTAATTTCATGCGAGCCTAGGATCTTACATTGCCAAGAAATTAGAAAGAAAAAAACCCGACCTCAACACAACAAGAAACGTACATTTGTACGAGCACAACTTTTGATTTTTTCGAGGTCACACAAAACGCTTGTATTCTGAGTCATGCACGTGCAAAATGGTAGGAGCGGATCTGTCCGGTAACCCGTACAATCATGTGCATCGAGTGTTTCTACAGTACTCTGGAGCATGGCGTTGTTGATGACACGTTCACGGGTCTAGGTCAGTAGGTAGCTGTTTTTTGTTATATGTAATTACAGATGTACCCAGTAAAATAGAATATTTGTATAAATTGGAGGAGTACTAGACAAGAAGAAATAAATGTTTCTTTATAAATATTTATATTTGTTGTGGGGGGGGGGAGATGCTTCCAAGAATATTTCTTTGAAAACCAACCACAAACTCCATACTGGGAACGAAACTTGACTATTAATTTACAGGACTACATGTAGCTTGATTTAGACTTACATAGGGGATATATCCCATGGCCACAGTTGGGTAAGGGTGAGCTGATGTTGGCTTCCCTTCTTCAAAATGGACAGAACATACCTGAAAAAAAAAGAAACAAACAGACAGCAGATCAGATGGTAAGTTGTGGACAAATTCTGACAAAATATTTTGGATGGGAGCAACCCATGCAACACAAACCTTTTTTGTACGGGGGCCGAAGCACTCAACAAACATGCAAAACATACATTAAAAATAAATTTGATTGCACTTGTCTTTACACTGGCATATCATTAAAAAATGGCAATTGTGTACATGTATCTATGGACCCAGTTCCCTATAGGGAAAACATCCACTTTAAAATTATTAGACCGACCAAACTAGTTTGTGACATTAGGAAATAGGAATAAACCGGTACTCCATAGATAGAGGGCAATGTTTTGAATTTTTGAAGGGAAATTGGGGGGTAAATGAAAATGACAGTGCAGTGACAACACGCAACCCGAAAATAAAGATGGTGATCACTGCGCGATGTACCGTGAACTCAAACAGCGCTGAATTGCTAGGCACCAACTGGCAGAAAACCGTGCAGAAAAATTGTGATTTCTACCCCAAGAAACTTGGTTCAGAATTACAAAAACCTAGAATTGAGCGAAGTCCGCTCTTGATTGAAAACGTCATTTTGGAGCAACAACAAACATCTATGAGTATATGACACTAATTTGATCAAAACTAAACAGGGGCCCTTCACTACACGATTGCTCCCCCCCCTATTTTTTTGTTTAAACATACAATTAAATACATTAATTTCCCAGGCTATATTCATACTTACTAGTACCGTATTAGTAATATAAATAAAAAATGGGGGACATAATTTAAAACTCAAGCCACTGTCACTGAGTGGCAAAGACGCACCTCTACAAGGCGGGAGGTCAGGGGTCATCGGTGTGTCAGCAACGTTTTCAGATAGCTCTGTGCTATCTTTTTTAAATCTGCGTTTTTAGCTATTTTTTGTTTGCCATCTTAATTTCTCTTGTTCATGAATGTATTCTTAACTGCTCCAAGTTTCGACTGAGCCGTGCATTTTTGCACTTTTAACTTTTCTTCGATGATATTTTCGCTGTTTTTGATGTGACCACCTGGAGTCTTTTTGATGTTACATATGTGCATGCACCCTGTTTCGTCATCAGACTCGTACTCGTAGCAAGTGGAGTGGACCCCTTTTTACTTATGTGCAGTTTGCACTTTTTAACTTTTTAACTTTTCTTCGATGATATTTTTACCATGGGTAACTTCAAAGTGCCATTCTTCGTTATTTTTGGAACATTTTTGTGTGTGATTCTGAAGCTGTTTTCGCCTATGGAGTTCAATGACACAGCCATCATCAACTCATTTGATCGATCCCACTGGTCATCTACCTTCCACCCGTATCACCCTGGGGTCACCAAGGACATGCCGGTGAGTTTGTTCCATGTTGCAAGGTTATCATCAAATTGCTACAAGTACAACTTTGCCGTCAAAAACTTTAATTTAACTGCACACATGAGCCTCCTTTTGCTACTCTTGTCTGGGGACGTCAACACAAATCCCGGCCCCTATCAACCTAAGTATCCATGTGGGATTTGCAACAAAGCTGTCAAGTGGAAACAACGGGCAATAGAATGCGAAGAATGTAGCATATGGTTTCACTTTGATTGTTTGTCCATGAACAGTGCTACGTATGAAGTTTTAAACAATCATGAGTCCTACGCATGGGTGTGTTCCACTTGTGGTTTGCCAAACTTTGCCTCATCCCTTTTTGACTGTACCGAACAATTTGATCTGTCAAACTCGTTTGAGGCCTTAGCGGGTAGTAATGGTGGTGACTTGAGTATGGAGATTCCTGATACAGTGAACTACGGTCGTGGTGTGGGCAATCCCACCCATAGATCTAGCCCCAACCCTCGTTCAGCTAATGTCAGACAGAAGAAGACATGTAAACCCAAGACAAAATCCTTCAAGATTCTCAATGTAAATTGCCAAAGTGTGAGATCAAAACTTGACAGGTTCCATGTACTTCTTGAAACTGAAGATCCAGATATAGTGACCGGTACCGAATCATGGTTAAACAGCACCATTACTAATGGAGAAATTTTCCCAACGTCTTACCAGATATTCAGAAAGGATAGGCAGACAGGGGATTCTCACGGTGGCGTCTTCCTTGCTATCAAAAATACACTGATTGCTAATGAAGAGATTGATCTCCAAACTGACTGTGAAGGAATATGGGCTAGCATACGTGTTCATGGTGTCTCGCCACTGTATGTAGGTGCTTTCTATCGTCCCCCTACATCGGATGTGGAGTACATAAAAAATCTGGATTCTGCCCTCAGTAAAATCCCTCGTAATGCATCAATTTGGTTACTTGGGGATTTTAATCTCCCTGATGTGAACTGGGATCAGCATAAATTCAACCCTGGAGGGTCTTACGCTGGACAGAGTAAGACCATGATTGAAATTGCCCTTGACAACAACTTGAGTCAACAAGTAAAGCAACCTACCAGACTTCATAACATACTGGACTTGTGCTTCACTAACTGCCCTTCCTTTGTGGAGAGTACCAATGTCATCCCAGGTGTAAGCGACCATGAAGCGGTTGTGGTTAACATACTAGTTAAACCAAAATTAGTTCGCCCAGCAAGAAGGAAAATACTGCTGTATGCCAAGGCCAATTATGCTGCTTTTGCCGACTGTATTAAGGATTTCGACAACAAAATGACACCCGACTACGTTGCTCAGAAGGACGTTAATCAACTTGTGAATGAACTTGACCATGTCATTCAAGATTCCATCAGCAAATTTATTCCATCCAAAATGACATCAACCAAGTGGAAACTGCCTTGGATAAATTGTTCTATCAAAAGGGACATATGTAAGAAGAAGCGCCTGTACAGGAAAGCTAGACAGCGTGATACACCCTCTGCATGGGACGCCTTCAAAAAACACCGTAGAACGACTGACCGCAAAATTCGGAAAGCCAAGAAAGAATACATCCATGATGTCATCGGCTGTAGTCTCCAAAGCAACAACACAAAACCATTCTGGAATTTCATCAAAGCCCAAAGGCAGCAGATGTTTGGAATCTCCACATTGACTGATTCATCTGGTGCCACTGTGATCTCTCCGATTGACAAGGCTAATGTGCTGAATGAACAGTTTAGTTCAGTTTTCACAAACGAAAACCTGGACAGTTTCCCTACATTACCAGACTTGGACATACCCGACATGCCAGAAATTCAAACACATCCAATTGGGGTAGAGAAATTACTGAAAGATCTGAAACCAAGCAAAGCACCAGGACCTGATGCCATACCTCCTAGAATCTTGAAAGAGTGCGCCTCAGCTTTTGCACCAGTTTATTCCAAGATCTTCCAAAAATCACTGGATACTGGATGTTTACCTAAAGCTTGGCTTGAAGCAAACGTCACGCCACTTTACAAGAAAGGTGATAGGAAAAATCCTGGTAATTACAGACCTGTGTCGTTGACGTCTATTCCATGTAAGATACTAGAGCATATTTTATATCATCACATAATGATTCATCTCGACAAACATCAAGTACTGACGGATGCCCAACATGGTTTTCGCAGAGGTCGCTCTTGTGACACCCAGTTAGCTGCTGTGACCCACGACTTGGCTGGAATTCTTAACAATAAGAGTCAAGCTGACTTAATTGTAATGGACTTAAAGAAAGCATTTGACTCGGTGCCTCACCAACGTCTTTTGAGGAAACTCCACAACATCGGCATCAGGAACAATGCTCTGAAATGGATTGACTCATTTCTCACTCAACGTCACCAGCAAGTTGTTTTGGAGGGCACTTCTTCAAAAAAGTCTAAGGTCATTTCTGGGGTTCCACAGGGGACAGTGCTGGGTCCTCTCCTGTTTTTAGTATACATTAACGATCTGCCACAGAACATCAAATCGCATGTGAGACTCTTTGCAGATGACTGTGTCATGTACCGGGAAATAAAAACTGCAGCAGACCCTTGCATTCTTCAACAGGACATCAACACACTTGAAAAATGGGGAAAAGATTGGCACATGTCATTCAATGCCTCCAAGTGTCACACCATGAAGATCACCCACAAGAAGAACTCAGTCGACTCCAGTTATCACATGGGTAATGCCAAACTACTAGAGGTTAAACACCATCCCTACCTGGGGGTTGAACTCAGTAATGATCTCAAGTGGTCCACTCACATTGATCAGATCATCTCTAAAGCCAATCGTATGCTCGGGCTACTCAAGAGAAACATCCACCACTGCAACAGTAATACCAAGTCCATTGCGTATCAGACACTAGTCAGACCAAGGCTAGAATATTGTTCCGCCATTTGGGATCCTCATCATGCGTCGGATAAAAAGAAATTAGAAAGCATTCAACACAGAGCAGCTAGATTTGTTATGCAAGACTACAGCAGGGAGTCAAGCATCTCAGCAATGATGAATAAACTCAAATGGGACACTCTTCAAGATCGAAGGACCAAAGTTCGATTAGTCACACTCTACAAAGAAACCCATGGGCTTACACCGAGTAATATGGAAGATTATCTGAACATCGTCAACTCATCAAGGGGGGTTTCTACTAGACAGACCGGACCTTTCTCATATAGAGTCATCACCACAAATAAGGACTGCTTTCGTTACTCAATGTACCCAAAGACCATCCTAGAATGGAATCAACTTCACCCTAACATCCGCTCTTCACCTGACATTAAGACTTTCAAACTGGCACTGGACAACATCAACATTCAAGACCTGGCTTCCAAAACCCAATCAAGAATTTAGTTGCTGCACACCTGACCCTGACCAACGTACGTCGACAACCTTCTAGGTGTTTGTACGTTTATGGAACAGAAACAGAAACTACCACAAAAATTAAAAGCTGATTTAGGCCTACCCGTAAACCCATGTCCCAAATTACTGGATACCATTCCAACAATCATGACCAAACATGAAGCATGTAATTGAAGTACCGTCTGATGAATTACACAGTCCTTCCCTGAAAAAGGAACTTACAGTGCTGTATTTTGAAGGTCTGAAGTCCTTTCGGTTGATATTCCTCACCCACTGCTTTCGATTGGCTGCGGAATTGGCGTTGGAACAGTTGGGGAAACGATGCATTTTGTACGGCTGTAAACACACACAATATTCGTGCGTTTCTGGTGCATGCAATTCGCATGTTGCAAGCTTCCATTTTCTCAGCTTTTTGCTTGTATTTTTGCAGCCAACGACGACACAGTGTTTTCCTAATCCTTCGTTATTCTTCTTCGTTGATTCTTTAGCCATAATGTTTTCAAGAATCCCGATAAAAGCCTGAAATTGGAGCTCGATACGCATGGTTCCAGTTCGTTCACTGTTGGCGTTGCCACTTACATGACTCACACGTACACAAGCCCGTCGTTTAGCGGTTTTTAAAAATGGCCCCTCGGAATGGCAAATGCAACAGCGCCGCCAACGACAAAGGTAACAAAATTGTCTCCGTTGGATTCGTCTATACGTACGTGAGTACGTCCGTGCAGCAGGACCCGGAGTCAGAGTTTATGCTCAAACGCAGATTTTTGTCTGACAAAAATTATATCGTCTAAAGTAAGCTCCGCTTTTATCCTTTTTTTATTTCGTAAAAGCATAGCATAGTACCATGCCAAAACATTCAGGCCCCTCAAGTACATTTTATCAGCTGGGCTGTTTTCGAGATGAAGACTATAGTTCTTGTTTGGAAATGATTTGTTTTTAATTCAAAATCCCTCACTCCTTCTACGCTATTTTTGTTGGGTAATTTCAGTAAACCTATCACGTAGTGTCCAAGACAATTTTTGTCCTTGAATGCATTCTACAAACATGCGCCCTGTATCAATTGTAAACGAGAAAATACAATCACCGTAGCCATGTAAAAGTTCAGGGCGAAATTTCACCGAAGAACTTCACATCTGCCGTAACAATAGCCACTGCGTTTCGTAATCGATTATAATATTTAACAGAAATTCACTTAACATATTTCGAAATCCCCTCACCCCTTCTCTAACTACGACTTTTTAGGAGATTCCCTTAATCTCTCACGCATTATCAAAGTATTATTTTAAGAAATATTGTTCTTGCGCAAGCATACTTTGACGTGAATACACTCACCACAGCGTAGCGATTGCATGTGATGGTAGGTTCGGGGCTACCGACATTTCACCACAGAAACGATATTTACATCATTAGATTTACCAAGATTCCATCCGCATTAACGCTCACTCGTACCTTGTGTCGAACTTTTTACCCAAACCATCACAGAAATTTCACATTTACGTCCAAATATGACATATAAATCCTCAAAAACAGGCAAAACCTACCATTCAGTGACGCACGGTTTGCCGGAGATCGCGACGCCATTTTTCCTGACGCAAAATGGGCAAATATTCGAAACTGGGCCATGGTATACGCGATTTGCTGGGAACGTTCCGCTGGAGCGCGCAATAGCGTGTGCCCGACCGTTCCGCTGGACCGTTCTTGCAAAGGGATTTAGCCGTTCCAACGGAACGGTCCCGTGTTCCTAATAGGAACGCCGGAGCGTTCCAGTTCGGGAACACGCCGTTCCAATGAGAACGTTCCGAGCGTTCCAACTTATGAGACGCTCCCTTATGTGTCAATAAAGAGATGTTGCAGACGTTTAAATTTCATACAGTGAATGAAGAAAAGTGTACTCAGATATTTCCTCAAAAGCTGTTGTTACATAACGGAGAATGTACACACTGTCTTATCCTTAAAACTGCATTCGACCATTTTCCCTTGTATTTTTTTGGTTTGAATGTATAGCCTACCCAGCCCAGCAGGGGCAGTATCCGCAGGCTCAAGCGCCCCCCACCGGTGAACAACAGTACCAAGAACTCGTTAAATAGGTCATCGATGATCTTTGACCTGATGGAATCATGATATCTGGAGTTGAAAGAACAATTAAATTCTTGATATTTTCATGTTAAGCTGTATGTGGATGTACATTAGGTTTTAGCCGTACATGCAATGGGTCAACAAATAGATTTAGAGGCAGTGCAAAAATGTTGTCCAGCTTTATTTTAGAATAATTAATCAAATGAAAGTTGGTGAATTGACGCTTATTTTTTTATAATTGAAGAAAGCATGACGTACTCAGATATTTACTGAAGAGCTGTTGTTTCATAGAGGATAATGTATATTTTTACACAGACTAATATTGAAATATTTCCCGAAATCACGGCATCGGATGCAGACATTGGCTTAATTTGTTGAGCTCCCAAGCACTGTAGGGATGTGGCAGCATCGGATTTTGTTGCCACATATTCAAAGTCGTACAACAATGAAAGCCAAAGCCAGGTTTGACACTTAACAAATAAAGGAATCACCCTTATACATTTTACATGGGGCAGGATAAAATCCTGCGTATTGGGAATATTGAGTTGAAGTTGTTTTTTTCTGGTTATGGAACTTACTATGCAATATGGAATCGGAAGGGTTCAATTCTATTTGAGACTTGGCGGAATTTTGTATTATAACGAAATAAAAATATGGCACTCTAGTCTGTACAACACATAATGAGTTACTTCTTCGATTGTGACCATTAGATCCATTTGGTTAATCTAGGTGATGGCTGACATTGATTTTAGGTTGTAATTCACGAACTTTGTGTGAGTTTAGGCCCACAGCGTGCTCAGTGACTATCCACGTCAGTGAATCTCAGATTTGTCTATTATTCAGGATGAGTGAAATAGAAAGTGACCTGGAGTGGTTGTTTGCCTCTTAAAAAGCAATAACAGTTGACACACCAACGAAGCGTACATTAAACAAGCATGCTTTTTCCACTCATTTCAACAAATAGAATACTGAAATTGATCCATACCATGAGAAGTTTACTTAAAATTTTACAAACAGACTATATTTAAATTTTTTACTAAAAGATTGCATTTTAGCGCTGTCAATGGAATGCCCTAGGAAGCTATATTGTGTTATGTGATAACCACAGATTACACACATACATTCAGATACAAGTGAAATTTTGATAATATTTTTCTGAAATAATGATGGTGATTTTTGTCCGGCACGAAAACGCATGTACAAACATGTTCATTTACTGCTGAATTTTTGGATGTGTGTATTAAAATATATTAGCTTGTCAAAATAGCGCGCAAAATACATGAAATGTTCAGTGTTACTAGGTAGTAATATGTTCTTAATCGCCCTATGTTTATTAAACTGAGCGAGCCACATATTTTTTTAATATGTCTTCTTACATTTACGTTTTAGCAGTCATGTGCCCGAAATAGGTTAAGATTTAATGCAATTTGTATGGCTCCATTTTTCACTAATTTTCATAAAATTACACTAAGAATGTTGGAGAACTGATGCTTAATTCTTTATATAAGTATAACGTACTCAGATATTTACTCAAGAGCTTTGTATGATGGATAATGTATATATTAAATATAATGATATTGTGCCTTTCCCGAAATCATGGCATCGGCTGATGCATTGGCTTAATGTTTTGAGCTCCTAAATATCGTGAACTCAGTTGGCTCAATCTGATATTCTTTGACTGCACATTCAAAGAAAGGAATTATAGCCTTGTACATTTTACAGGGGCCGTGATCAAATCGGTCATATGTGGAATATTGAGTTGATGTTTATTTGTTCACGGTCTGGATATGGCATCGGAAGGGTTCAATTTATTTTTGGTGAGACTTTTTTTTACGGATAAACACTGAAAAAGAGAGCAGTGCCCACTTGTACGAAGGAACCAAAATAAGTAGTGCAGTAATGATAGTTATACAGAACATTCGTACGGGCAAAACCTTAATGTTTGTTTTGCTTGGGGTATGCTGCTAAAATCTGAGTTGCATTGGTTTCATTTTTGTGATGCCTTCTATATCAAAAATCTCTTTAGTCTTAGGAACCATATTTCAAGGAAAGTGTTTTAAAACTGTAAAATCAGGATATCACGTGCATTTTGATTATTCCTTATATTTCCTTTTCTATCGCAAAGTTCGTTATGCAGACCTTTATGGAGGGTCTAAAATAAAAAAAATTTGATTCTGATCGCCCTCAATTGAGGTCAATAAAGAAATTAAAATGTCTTGAATTGCATTTGATTTTTGTTTTTGCACCGTTATAATAGTTGTGAAGAGTTTTCGTCATGCCTTGATGCTTGTATGCCCAAAGTGTATAAATGGGTTACAAATTCAGTACTGAGTTAGCCTTTCACCAACGCCATCGTGGCTTAACTTGCCCACATTCAAAGCTTGCTTCGGGTCTTCGCAACTCCGCCGCTCTAAGCCACGAAGGCCTGGGCGAAAGGCTAGTACTGAGTAAGAGCAATTCAGATTCGAGATTAAACATTTTATTCGTACAATTCCAACATGGCGCGGCCCACTCTTTTCGACTCCAGCGGGCGCCACAGCACTCGACAAAATACTATTGGATCCGCGAAACCCTCACGTGTTCAGTGCAGTCTTACAGTTCCGTCCAGGTTGTAGCTTTTCACCACGAGACTTGGGCTTCCTCGAATCGGGTAAAGGTACTGGGGCAGTCAGTCCGGAATCCAGACCCCCCAAAATGAGTTAATCCTACACAATTTCTTCCCCACAATATTTTTTACATTTTTTTTTAATGCAGTAAAACCTGCTGATTCAGAATCTGCACGGGGGATTAAAATTTGACCCCTGCGAAAACGCATTTTTAAGTTAAAATCCAATATGGCCGCCATTTCCTCCCAAAAAACATTAAAAGTATGATTGTTTTTACTAAATTCATCATTAATCGATCGAAGGTGGCTCAGAATGTCACTTCGGTAGATAAACATGTGTACACAATTTTACATCAGGCCTCAGGGCTATCTTAGAATTTTAGCAAAACCCAAAATGTCGGCCATTCCCCCCCCCCAAAAAAAGCAAAAACAACACCTGCGGTTATAGTCCAAGAGCAAGGAGTCCTTTACTTTTTCAGGAATGACCAAGTGTTTGGTGGGTATTTTGGAAACACCTTGGTTACACTTTGGGGAATTTGAATTGGCTAGTCTTATGGTCACCTGGTGGTGGACCTGGTTTATGTGACGTCACATAAGGAGATACAACATATGGCCAATGCGCATTACTGAGAAGATTACGTGCCATGTTTAAGATTTCATTCCTTTTCAAAGGAGTTCATATCAATATGAGCATTTAAGCAAATAATTTGAATAGTTTGAACCACATCCTCCTCAGCAACATCCATTTGGAGCCTAATTAACTTACTAAAAACGAATCTTCAGTGAGAGTGACGAAGTATTTGGGCTTATTTCTTAAAAGGTTACACCTTGGGGTATTCGAATTGGCTAGTCTTACGGTAGTCTGGTGGTGGACCTGGATACCAGGAGCAGATAAGCGACGTCACACAAGAAGATGAAAAATACGGCTGATGCACAACATTAAGAACGCGAGCTATGTTAAGGATTACTTACTTTAAAATGAGTTAAAATCAACAGATTAACATTTAGAAGAAATGTGTGAGTAATTTTGATAATTTGAATAGAATTTTAGACGCCAAGGATCATTCAATCAAGCTAGTTTAAATGTTTGTTGCCTAGCAACCGCAATCTCCTTAGCAACAACCCTTTGGAGCCTGTTTAGCTTACTAAAAATGAATCTACAACGGAAATGACTAAGTAATTGTTGGTATTTCTTGAAAAGTGATCTTTTGGGATATTGAAATGGGTGTATCTTACGGTTACCTGGAGGTGGACCTTGATGCTAGAAGTAATTACGTGACGTCACACAAGTAAATGAAAGAATTGGGAAAACTGCCCGTGTTCAAGAATTATTTCCTTGCAAATGAGTTCACATTAATAAAAGAACCCAAAAGAAAAAATCGCTGGGTAATTTCAAAAAGACAGCCCATCTCCGGTGCAATGTGATCATAATAATAAAGATGCCCGTCGCTAAGCAACACGCTTCATTCTAAGCGACAACCTTATTAACTCACTTAAAATTAATCTACAACAGAAATCACTGAGTGTCTAGTGGGTTTTTGGAAAGTTTACACCTTAGAGTATTCGAATTGACGTTTCTTCCCTGGCAAATTTGTTTCTTTCAGACTTTTAATATTTAATTACATTTATCCTTATGGAAATATCTAAAAACGTAGCATAACGTTCGTGTTGAACAAAAATGTTGCAAAATGTGCCAAAAGTGTGACCATATTTGCGGACTCCATTTGTATGTTGAAGGTGGGCACCTGGGGTCAACATAAATATGGAAACCGCAAACGTCACAATTGAGTGGGAAGCTGAATGTTGGAAGGGAGTTGAAACTGTTATTGAGCAACTCCAGACGGAGAAGGTCCAAATGCAATAGCAGATAAACTCACTAAAGAGGAAAAGAGTGCGATGACTTCCATTGACAGCTTTCTTTCGACAAATCCGGTTCCACACATCAGCTTTCCAACAACTCGAGCAATTCATGAGATGGAAGCCACCGAGCCGCAATACAGGATGGATTGAAAAGAAATTAACCGAATTCTTAAAATTATGTGGCTCCATTTTGATAAAAGAAATAGGGATAAAGTACATCTTATTGACTTTTATCTGTGAAAAAAAAATCACGTAATTTTCATACTCTATTACCACGTTATATCCACATGTATTTCAATATAAAAGATCACAAAACTCGGCTGTCCATGGACGTTCAGATCCAAGTTTTCGTGGGCAAGTGGTGGGACGATTGGACACCATCTTCTTATGGGGGCTCTGTTCAGACCGGCCGATCATGGGCAATATCGGACAATTTCATTTTCATGGCGGCAAATTTACCGACTTTTGCGCAACATTCCAAAAAACGGGCGCTCGTTAAGAAAGAGCGCTCGTAAAAAACGGCACTCTTTACAAAATATATGGGAGGGGGGGGGGGGGGTAAATATCCCCCATCCCCTCACCGGCAAAGAAAGTACAATTGGGGGTGCGCGGCCACTGCGTGTACATATAACGTGTTCGCGCGTCTTCTCACACAAGGAACGGTGCACGTCAACCACTGATCTCTATGTAACGACTGGATAGCGAATAGAGAGCCGCACAATGAATGAATTTGCCATATTGGTGAGACCGGTGAGACCGGCTGGTGATCTACAAAGGACAAGTTGCCGAATTTATAGACAGCATGATTTCTTTTGTAACATCGCGGTTCACTTGACTTATATTTTGACCACCACCACTGACCAAGGTTTACAATTTTTCTAACGACGTGATTTACTTTTTCAATGCCGCAGTTCACTTTTTCGGCGTTTTGGAAATAATAATCACTACGGAAATGTGTCCCTTTTAGAACATCATGATATGTGTACGTGACTAAAGTGCGCGTCAACTGTTGATACAACGCGCGCGTATATACGCGCTGAACGTTCGTATTATACGCAGCCATCTTCGTGAAACCGGGGGCGAATTGGTCAATATGTTAAGTCTACTGTGTGAATGCTGTATGGATATCCTCTATCCCAACCTCGTGCCCCGTGGGTACGATCTTGCAGCGCCATGGTGTTTCCCATCATGCCTTGTGCGATCGTTAGTGTAAGGAACTCTCCCTTTTTTTTTGGCTTGCCCTCCCCCCCCCCTCAAGACGCCCATGATAGTTGTCATTTGATTATTTTGATTGTTTATTTCGCGTGCGATTGTAATGAATCTGTTGCTTATCATTCATCTGGTTACAAATTCGTAAATGTTCACTTCCTTGTGTTGGATTTTTTTTATTATTGAATCGGCTTATTCATCTGTATATTTATATTTTTGTTTCGATATCGTTTTTACTTATTTTACAATATTGATGCTTAGCTTTAATTTATGACTAGCAACATGATTATTCATTTATGGCATTTTCTATTTTCTCTAACCCTCACATTTAATCCCATGTTCTCTATTTGTGTTTGTCCGATTGTTAGTCTGTTTCTGTAATTGTTGAGTTGACATTTCGGTTTTGTTTTGTCAAGGCATCTTCATATAAGCCCCCGGCTTCGAAAGATGCCTGTATAATTGCCTACATAGCTATATACATGTTTGATCTTGTTGAGTGATCGGGCACAACCCGACCACTTTCTCCGCGGGTTTTCTCCTTAACCGTTCGTGATATTGAAGTTAAAACGATATCGAAACAAAAATGTATATAAACAAATGAATCAGCTGATTAAATAAAAAAAATCCAACACCAGGAAGTGAACATTTAGGAATTGTTTACCAGATGAATGATAAGCAACAGATTCATTATAATAGCACGCGAAATAAATAATCACAATAATCAAATGGCAACTATCATGGGCGTCGCGAGGTGTGTGTTGGGGGGGGGGGTGAGGGCAAGCCAAAAAAAAAACAGGAGAAAAAAAAGGGGGGGGGAGAGGGGCGAAATCATAACAACAATCATTGTTGTTTATTTAAGGGGTTGAGGGGGGGGGGGGGGCGCCGGGGGGAAATACCCTGCCCACCCTCGAAAAAATGATCAATCGGGAAAATGCAGGAAAACATATGGATTTGGGGGGAAATGTGCTTTGCCCCACTCTAGAAAAATCCTGGCCACGCCCATGGCAATTATATGTAAGGCAAAACATGTGTAAATAATAAACCATGCAATGGAGAACAAATTTTCTTAACCCAGTAAAACAAATTAATTTAAAACAAATTGTTAGAAGTTATAACAGAAAGAAATAGGTATAAAGATACAACTCAAAATAACCACTCAAATAAGTTAGGAAGTGGTGGATTTAGATGGGATGGCTCCTCATACCAAGAGCCTTTGGCGCAAGAGATAATATTGCAGATTGACGTTTTGACAGATGGCGGACAGCAGTCATCTTCAAATAGCAGGTCATGGCAGTCCCTGAACGTCAAAAGAACCATTCCAATGGGTTGTAATGCCAGAATTAATTGAAAATAACATCTTATATGTAAATTTTGCCCCTCTGGTTCCAGAGATATAATAGATGCCGTTTTTCAAGATTCGCTATTATCACTTGTTATGTATTTCAATATGGCGTCGGCAGCCATTTTGAAAAAAGTGCTATATAAAGTTGGCCGTCACTTTTGGGAGGTGTATAGGAGCTATTTTGTTCTTTACATTGGTCCTATTTGTCAAATACATCAAGAAAAAAAAAAGGTATCCGCAACATGGTCACGGATTCCAGGAAAATGACTCTACTATCCCTGCTCAATCTGTAATATTGTATGTGGGGACGGGAAGATGTTTTTCCTGATTAATTTGTAAAGTATTTTTTTCCATTTACCTTTTAGATAATTGTTTCAATCATTTGAATGAATCTCCATACAATTCATCGTGTGAGTGTTGAGTTAAAAAAATGTGACCTCATTTCAGAATATTATTAATGCAATTATTCATTTCATTATTGGAGTAAATCAATGTTCTCTGATGACCAATGTGGCAAAACTGAAATGGCAATTTACTTACAATCAATCTGGGGAGGTTTAAAAAAAAACAGGAAAAGGACATATTCGCAAATGTAAAATAAAGAAGTGTGGAAAAGCTGTTTGAGGTGATTAAGGTAACTCGTCATCGTTCATTAAATGTATTTTTTTAAATTATTTGTTTTTGAAGAGCGCTTCAAGAAAAATTTCTCCTGTAAGAAAAAATCTTACTCAATAATCCAGTTTCCAGGGTAAACAAAATGAATGCACAATGCGCGTTTACCCGTCTGACAGTAAACGCGCCGCCTTTGTTCGGCCGCGCATTCGTGCGCAAACACTGCGGGATGTCCTATCCAGTCTGTGTATATGGAGATCAACGCTTGCATTATACAGTCCATGCATTTCGTGCGCATTAATATTGGTGGTGCGTCGGTAAAGTGCTGACTTTAGGTTACTGGTTTTACAGTATGAATCCAATGAGAGATCAAATACACTAGTGGTAACCAAGGCCTTTTTTCATCACTCGGCCGTACCATTGCTATAGCGTAGGGATCTAAAAGCGGACCCTGAGATAGATGATGGGAGGCTTTTATGGCAATACTAAAGCAAATGCTATATTAAGAATATGACGTAATGGCGCGCATTAATAATTATTGCCCGACAAACGCAGTCGGTATGCGCTTTGTACAGTACGCCGTGCCAGGCAGTGACGACGGTTGAAGAAGCAGGAACACACCAGCGTAACTATAAGGTAAAGCGATTGCATTTGTTTTTCATTCCGTAAGATTCAATGCAGTCATTCATTACAATTTGTACAATCACGTACAAATTTTACAATGATATGATATTTGATAAATATTACGTACACAGCGATCAAGCAGCAAATGAAATTACATTGAGGTATAAGGTTTAAGCGAAAGGCTTTGTGTCTATAAGGCACTTGTACAAGTGCAAATTCCATCTAGTGGATGTCCAGCACAGGGCGCCGAGGCGGAGCAAAGAAGCATTTCTGTATATGTTCTATATACTATGCAAACTAACTTATGGACACTGAGACAAATATAGGCTACCAGATACTGTGAAATGGACAATAAGGACAAACAAAACACAAGATAAGACAGACAACTACCTTGTGAGACGAGGCATTTTTCAATGAGATAGGGCAATGATTTTTAAGAGAATCATCCTAAATATTCCAGTATAAAAGATGCCTCGACGAACAATACTATCTAATACATTGACGTTCTGTTAAATTGGACGAACACATTTTCCCTAGCACTAATTCGTGTATTAAAGCTTATAGGCCTACATACAATTTATAAATTAATACAAGGAGGGAATATCTTATGCGTGATTGTATACATGAGTTATTCCCGTGAAGTGATATAAGTCATTACAATGTAATAGATTTTAATTTAGCAAACATCATGATCACGATAGCCACTATTCGAAATTGGACGAACCGCTCGTCTTGGTAAAGTAAGTAATGTGTCACATTAACGTTTCGTAAACGTATTAACTGCCCCAATTCAAGATTGAGTAATCTAAATATCGTAAAACGAATGAAATGAAATTGTACTCGGGAGGTACTATTTTAAACGAGTAACATGCCAGTGTTCTTGAATATTTTTATTGCTTCTTCGTCAATACGGTTTTCCGAGTAAGTTTTTCATAAATGGTAATACCCAATACTTAAGTCCTTTTAATCTGAATTAGCCTTTTTTTTTTATTAAAAATCAAAATTATATAATTTAATTTCAGGACATCAATACATAATTTGTTGATGAAATGTATAGCTGCCACAGATGTCATCTTTGAAATGCGAGCAAACATAGATGAACCAGACCGACTGACAATTAACTGAGTGATTGATTGATTGATTGATTACAGAGAATCCAGAGATACTTTCTGTCACGGTGATGGCCACTACTAACGCCCCTCCTTCCTGCGTGGCTGCGCCTCAGCCTGTCGGCCAGCAACAACTGGTAAGCCAGTCAATTCTCCCGGAATATAACAGTTCAGAATAATAAATTATGGTGCAAAGGAAAATCAAATAGAGCCCCAATATCGTGCACTGTGTGTATATCAGTATTATGTTAATTACTATAAGCCATCACTTATTTTATGATAATTATATGAATGACATTGATGGTGCTTTTATGTTATATATGCGGTATTCACTATGCTGTCGCCATATTGCCTGCTTTGTACCGTTCAGTACAGGCAACCTGTACACGCCGCTGGTCTTCGTACATGAGTACACGCGCACAATAATACAGTCCACTTATTGTGTTTGCAATGTCATGTACGTACACGGACCCTATGCATGTGCTAATTTTGGCATGAGAACAATTATATCTACCTCAAAGACATGGTGTGTGTCGTGTTGCGCGAGTGTATCAATGAAAACATTGACTTAGTTCACTGTTGTTTTTATTTGTTAGGGTTGCATTGTACCTACACGAAATATTGTTATACAAAATATCACGTGTTTTTTTATTCACAATAATCACTCCTCTTAACAAACCCCAAATTGGTCAGTTGACTTATGGTAAAAAAATATTAAAAAAATCATCTCCCATATGTACGGCGCTCCATGAGTGCCATCCACTTCTTTATTTACTCAGATAATTTATCACGTCATGTTGAAATATCACCGAGAGTAAGGCGACTTAATCACATAATTGTATCGCCCAGTCGACTTACCGAAGTCGACTTGACGACTTGGCCAGATGAATTATCTCGCCAAGTCGACTTACCGAAGTCGACTTGGTGACTTGTCCAGATGCATTATCTCTCCAAGTCGACTTCCATAAGTCGACATGACGACTTGTCCAGATGTATTATTTCGTCAAGTCGACTTTCCGAAGTCGAGATGACGACTTGCCCAGATGTATTATCTCGCCAAGTTGACTTCTCGAAGTCGAGATGACGACTTGTCCAGATGAAATATCTCACTAAGTCGACTTCCTGAAGTCGAGATGACAACTTGTCGAGATAAAAAACATCGACTTACGATGTGGAGATGATGACATGCAAAAATCTCGTTCTGCATGGATATCCCGTTTTTGAAGCACTGTCGTGGATTCTTTCTTGTTCGTCGGTGCATTTGAAGTTTTCCCCACCCGTTCTTATATGAACAATAAACTGGCAGAGGAACAAGAGATAAACTGTAGGGTATATTGATTTGATCTGGGTCGAAGTTGATTTGTGTTTTTTTTTACTTTCATCTTGTTTCAAATTACTCCCCCAAGCTTCGTAGGAAATCACACCTCTGCCTTGTTTTCCCCTATTTATCCCGTTGAAAAGTTATTCACTTCACGTTAAACATTAACAATCATAAATTCCCAAAAATGTCTTTATTGACAGGTTGCATAAAAGTTGTTGCTTTCTTAAATGACACTAACAAATTCAAGGTTTGCTTTTAATCATATTGGGATCACATTGAAGATAAAACGACTCTCATGGCTTAAATTGGAATATCGGAAATTTAGCAAACCTCTTGTCTGACATATTACGAGAAATGATTTGATAAAGATATCACTATAAAAACTCTTATTGTCAACACTAAATCAATGTTTTATAAAGGACTTTAGCTTATGATTAGCCTTAGCACACTAAAATCACACTGTGATCATCACATTATGATAAAGTTCTGTTCCTAGCAATATAGAAGTTGTTCACTTTTGAATGAGACATCGGCCTCAATATTACTGTGACGTTATCCTGATGTCATGGAGTATGAAATTACAAGCGATTTTAGATCACAAATCGACCTAAATCGTTAAGGCTGAGAAAATGCCTCGGGAAGAATGAAATTTTGTCAAACATGTAATTCAAATTCCCAAGAACCTAAACAATTTCCCTCTTAACAAGTTAATGATACTTTCCTCCTTGACGAAAGACACCAGGTGGAAGACGTTAAAAGAGAGTACTTTTTTGTTCATAGGTATTAACAGTCAGTGGGGTGAGGCTTAACCTAATTCCGGTGGGTGGGTGGGGGGGGGGGGGGCACACGGGTGCACATAATTTTTAATGGGGCACTGAAGGCAAATGACAAATTTTTGTTCATTTCAAGATTTTCAACGGGGAGCGCCGGGCGGGGGGGGGGGGGGGTATGGCACGGACATTCGTTGTGGTGGGGGGGGGGGCACAACCCAGTTACGCCACTGATAGTACCGGTATGTTTGACCTTTTTTTCAAGAAATGAAAGAGAATTATCACTGTAAATATAATCAGCATGTTTTTTAATATCCTTCCTTCTTTATCACCATGCAAACGCAGGTCATATTTTACAGCATAACCGGCTAATTCGACAATATTATACTTGTATCACATCTGCCTGTGAGTTGCGCAAAAGGAACGTTTCCCTTTGGAATGTTGTTGTCAATCTCTCTTTTTGGAAAAGCCGAACATATTGGCTAATAGTACATGATGCAAACCGCCATGCGAGTGATCGGTTTCAGAGTACAGGTTACTGATGAGGCTACCGTGTATACAACCATGCATGCGGTGCTCAGCCGATACCGATTCACAAGGCTTTCTACCGGCTTCTCCTTGCAGGGGAGTCAAAAAAGAAAATGACTGAATTTGAAAATATTTAAAAATATTCGGCTTGATCAATTTCATTATGAAAAAATGATAAAGTACATCTTATTGACTTTTAACTGTGAACATTTCACGTCATTTGCATACTTTATTCCCGCGTTATGTCTAAAACAAGATAAGTTTGCGGTAGCACCATGTGAATAAATCTCTTTTGTGTTCTGAAAAGAACCGAGGGACTCAACGTTTCGAACAGTATGTTCTGCCCGTCTTCAGGAGAATGTTATTCACATGGTGCTACCGCAAACTTTTCTTGTCTTAGTATCTTTCCATCATGCAAACCTTCAAATCTCACGTTATGTCTATTTGAATAAAAAGATCACAAAAGCTCGGCTGTCCACCTCTGATAATTCTACGAACTGGTTAATACACAATGAGTATTATGAAACATGGACGTTTTCCCACCTCGATGAATGAACGACAACTTGCAAAGGATTTTTATATCGCTAACAACATTTTAGAAGAAAAAGAGTTGACTTGTTCCTCATATGCAAACCATTTCAACTGACAGTAAAAACAATGGTCTTGATTTCAATTATTAATATCTCATTTAAATGAATGCTTGTGTGTATTATCACTACGCTCAATGGAACTCCAAGGACAGCTATAAAAAAAAATGGTTTCTTTAAATAAAACATGCATAATTTCTGTTGGCATAGATCTATGTCAGTGATTGCTTTTTTCAGATGAGTGGAAGAACATGCTCTTATTAGACATACTTCATTGTATCAAATTTGTGTATCAAATTTGACTGCATTTTGAATCACCTTGTAGACGATAATAATTGCCGTATATGCACAACAACAATCGGGGGCAGAACCAGGAATTTTTGTGGGGGGGGGGGGGGGGGGTTCATCAGCAAATCAATGCTGAAATGTAGACAGGGTTTTTTTGTCCTGACACTTGTCTCCTTAAAATCAATAGGGGGGGGGGGGGTGGCTCGTACCATACTTTCAAAGCGGTCGCTGTTCAAATCCGACGATTATTAACAATATGTTACGGGATGTACAAATACCCCCTAACCCAACAGGTTATGTCCGTATTTTGGGGAAAGGCGTATAATACCAGTATAATTTCTCGGGGTGTCGGAGTAGGGGCGCTGGGCAGTACTATTGTACAGGATTACCCCGTAACGTCACACGAATGGGCTATTGTGCATGCAAAGGCCTCAATCGAATAGCCATTCGGAACCAGTTGAATTTAATTTTTTTTCTGTGATTTGGGAAAAGCTTGGCTGGGCTGGACTTGTCTTATTTTTATTGCCACAAGAACATTTAATTTTACCTGCAAATAAGTCATCAACTATTATTTACATCATTATGATGTTAGCAAAATATAAAACAACAAACCAAAAAATTCGACGTAATTTATTGCTTTGTAGACTGTGTTTATCCAGCTTACAAACTCATGGGGCATCGTACCGGGGACATCTGTGGTTTAGTCGAGTAAACACACACAAAGACATGTAAAATTAGAACTAAAGGAAAGTTGAGTGTCAATACGTTTGTGGTACATTTTGAAACGTGTAAATTATTTTCGCAAACGGACTTGATATTTCTTAATTATTAAATAGCATTCCTAGAAACTAATACCCGACGACACTGAGACTGAAAATTTGATCAAAATGCGGCGCACAAAGGCAACTAATGGTTGCGTCTCTTTTGTTGATGTTCATAAAAAATGCAAAACGTCTGCTCGTCTATTTCCTTTCCACACATGAAGCGGCACAAGCGGATGATTAATGATGTCATTAGAGTTGAAAAGGTATTGTTGCTTTGATGCAAAGCGTTTGGGTATTATCATCTATGGAGAAGCTGTTAAGCATGACGAATATGCAACGCATGATTGAATAGTTTTGGGTATTTGAAAGGTTAGGCCCAAAAAAAAAATATTCGGTCTCTGGTCAGACCAAAGTTCCGGAATTGACGCGGCCACGCGGCTTTTTTTTTTTTTTTTTGCTTTTTTTTTCTTTGCTTTTTTTTTTTTCTTCAAGCTTGGATTGTACAGACAAGGTGGGTACTATTTTCCTTTTTTGGTGTCCTCATGTACATTGGTGTCCTCCACAATTTGCCTTGGTGCTTTCGATCATTTGCCTTGGTGCAATTTCCCATTCCTTGGTGCTCTTTGGTAAAAAAAAAAATAAGGAGGTGCGGAAATAGAGGGCGCTGTTGGAGCTACCGCGGAACATTTTGGAAAAAAAAAGATCGACGCGCATGATTAAAATCGACGCGCGCGCTGACCAGAGACAGACCGATTTTTTTTTTGGCCTCAGTGTTGGTATAATTATTTTATAATTTATTTCTCGTAATATATCAGACAAGAGTTTGGCTAATTTTCCGATATTCCAATTTAAGCCGTGAGAGTCATTTTATCTTAAATATGAACTCAATATGATTTAAAGCAAATCTTGAATTTGTAAGTGTCATTTTTAGGCAACCTGTCAATAATTAAAAGACATTTTTGTGAATTTATAATTGTTAATGTTTAACGTGAAGTGAATTACTTTTCAACGGGATAAATAGGGGGAAACAAGGCAGAGGTCTGATTTCCTACGAAGCTTGTGGGAGTAATTTAGAACAAGTTGAAAAAAAAAAACCACAAATCAACTTCGACCCAGATCAAATCAATACCCTATACAGTTTATCTCTTGTTCTTCTGCCAGTTTATTGTTCATATAAGAACGGGTGGGGAAAACCTCAAATGCACCGACGAACAAGAAAGAATCAACGACAGTGCTTCAACAACGGGATATCCATACAGAACGTGATTTTTGCATGTCATCATCTCCACATCGTAAGTCGACTTGGCGAGATAATTTATCTCGACAAGTTGTCATCTCGACATCAGGAAGTCGACTTAGCGAGATATTTCATCTGGACAAGTCGTCATCTCGACTTCGGAAAGTCGACTTGACGAAATAATACATCTGGACAAGTCGTCATGTCGACTTATGGAAGTCGACTTGGAGAGATAAAGAATCTGGACAAGTCACCAAGTCGACTTCGGTAAGTCGACTTGGCGAGATAATACATCTGGACAAGTCGTCAAGTCGACTTCGGTAAGTCGACTGGGCGATACAATTATGTGATTAAGTCGCCTTACTCTCGGTGATATTTCAACATGACGTGATAAATTATCTGAGTAAATAAAGAAGTGGATGGCACTCATGGAGCGCCGTACATATGCAATGTCGGGTATATTCTTTGACAATTTGAATAGCCACATTTTTCTCTGACCTTTTTGTGGGCGGGGCGTTCGTTTGGAAAATGTATCGAAATAAACCAAAAAGGGAAAGGGGGCACTTATCAAGACATTTTGCAGCAGGGGAAATATTTGAATTTATAATTTAATATCGGTCATACAATTTTAGACAAACTGTCTCTTAATTAAGGGGGCGGAGACACTTTTCATAATTTGGGAATTAGAGGAATGAATTTACAAGATACTGAACCATTTCTCCATACTCATGTCAATTTTTTCTTCTGAATTTTGACTTGGCGGTCTAAAGCAGTAAATTATACGGCAACATTTCAAATTTTATTTCGTTTCTATGAAGAGGAATTAGTGCATATATTTTTTAATGAAAATGGAGAATGATAGAATTTTGTTTCACTTAACTTAAATGTAAGAATTAAAAAAAATCTTAAGGGAAGGAAAAAGAAAAAAAAATTGATGTAACAATCAAATTTGAATGTGAATTTCAGTTGCCAAATAAACATAACTATTAACTTATATTTCGCTGATTTTAAACCTAAAACCCCCATAAATTTGGGTTTTTATATGAAATACTCTCTTCCTATACCACTTTTGGAAATTTTTGTTTTACGCCTAAGGCAATGACATGCCAACTAAAATTGCTAACAAATAATAATGAGCTCCTTATGTTTTGTTATATAATGTCTTTAAAAAACATCATCAAATTTTCGGTAAGATTGCTGGGTTTTTGGTCATATTCAAGATTATGATTATATTCATTTTTTTTATGAAGAAAATTGTGACACGCTCCCAAAGGGGAACAAAAACTTTATAATTTGACATGTAAATATTTTCTTCATTCCGTTCACTATTGCCTGTTTCAGGTAGATTTCCTGTCACTTTTATAAAAGTTGGCCCCAACCAAAATGAGGAAAAATTCTGGAACTTTTTTTCTCGTTATTTTGCACTTGGGTTGTCAAAGTGCGAAAAAGAAAATTGAAATTATCTGAACAGTTTGTTTTGCATGCGAAGCCCCCCCCCCATTTTAAATGTTATGGCCTCGCCCATGAAAGGGTAAGAAAACATTGAATCGATTGGTTTTGAACTTGTGGAGGCATCCATATGTGATCCTGAGAGTTTCAAAGAGTGTACCGAAAAATGCATATGAGCCCACACAAGACCAATGAGTCATACCCCGAAAACCATTGACACTCAACCTGATTCACCAGGTGACGGTGCAACCCGCTGCCGGCGTTACTTTCGGCACGGTCAACCCACAGCCTCGAAGTGGTAACTGGAAGGGTATTCTATGGACAGGAATAATTCAAGTGGTTTTGGGTTCCTTAACCGTCATTTTTGGGATTGCCACCGTGACTGCATTTGGCCGGTTCTACTATATCAGTGACATCGGATCTCCAATTTGGTGTGGTATATTAGTAAGTACAATATTCACCCTCATTCCATGCTATTCTTTGTTTATTGACAGTACTGATTCGTTTGTTTCTTTGTTTCTTGTGTAGGTTTGATGCCTATTATGATCGTACTTTTAAACAGAGGCTTATGTGGAGAGCGGGGAATGAATTTTGCGGAATAATTCTTATTAAAAAAGAAGAAAAGTTGTTTACATGCACGAGGTTTACGGTGGGGTAACGGTGTACGTGTGCAATGATACGTTTACGTTGTACAACAGACACTTCCGTTCAGGCGCGTACGCAGGGGGGAGGGGTGTTTTGGCTGTCAAACACCCCCCTTTGCCATGTAAAAAATATGGAGGGAAAAGCGGGCCCCGGACCCCACCCCGTAAGTGCTTCGCACTCCGCGCTCGCATTGGTCCTCCGGCCAAATTCCTTCTATGCTATAATTTCACCCTAGCGGTGCCCCCACCATTTTGTACCTTCAGCAGTGAACGGCTCTACAAGTGGCCTAAATCCCTTTCCAAAATAGAAAATTGTGAAAAATACGGATATGAACATGGTTCTCAACTTTGAGTACATAACAAACTTTGTAAACAACAACAAAAATAACAAATTTAAATGGAATTTTCGATGTTTAAAACGTTTTCTAAACGGTGGAAGTGGCCAGGAATCGCCTCAGATTGCACCACAGAGCATCTAAAATCTCAATTTTTCCGGGGCCCTTAAGCGGGCCTTGGACCCCTCGCCGTAATGGCTTCGCAGGTCATGGACCCTTCATTACAATAATTCTAGGCCCCCCGGCAAATGGCAGTCTGAATCCGCTCCTGTGACCAGAGCGCATATGTATCCCGTATCTGAAGTTTGGCCTTAGGGGTGGGGGCGGTTTACACAAAGATTCCCAACGGATGAGAATCATGAGATCCAGGGGACGAAGCTGAGTAATTTTAGCCAATTACAAGAACAGATTCTAGCACTTCCGCAGCCCGTGTCACTTTTTTTCTTGAATTTCTTCTTTTGTTTTTGTTTAAATGCTGTTGAGGGGGGGGGGGGACTGCCCACATTGACTCCTTTACTCATATGTTCATCATATACTCTAAAGACACAGAACATTTTTTTCCCGATTTACTATGCTTTAGCTCAAAAAGATAACTGATGGTCGTGGGTTCCCAGCCCTTCGAGTTTAACCCGTCCAAATATACCCTCTTTTATTTCTGGCGCCAACACAAACTCCTGACTTTTATTTTAGCGTTAAGTTTAGCCCACTGATACTATCTTTTATTTCTGGCGCCAACACAATTTACCATCTTCATTTCTTGCGTCATAAATGACGACATCCAATTTTGAAACACCCCCCCTTGAAAAAATCCTGCGTACACCACTGCTTCCGTTGTATCTACATCGGAGAGTTAAAGTGTCCAATATTTTGCCAAATGAACATTTTGGCTGGATTCGTATACATCTGTTGCACACGTGTGGACGCCTAATGAATCCTCTAGCCCTTCCTAAATCTCAGCAATGATTTTTTTGTACAGTTCTACGTCGTCGCTGGAATCTTGGGCATAGTGTCAGGATGGAAGAAGAATTCCGGAGTGGTAAGCTACTGTTATTAAAGGGTTTCTTACTCTGCAGTTTTACTAGTGTGTAGTTGTTGCTACCTTAGACTTGACTCAAGTCGGAATTGCCTTAAGTCGGTATCTTAAAAAAAGTAGCAAAAATCACTTCGTTTACGTCTTTCCAGATGCCCGACTGCAAGGTACACCTCAGCGCGCGTTCCAGTTCAGTGCCGTATAACATGAATGCGCACACACTGTATGTACATTGTACAACACGCGTAATACACGTACATGTGTGTACATGTATTACAGAGCATGTGCTTACATGTGGTGCAAAAGTTAGCAATATCACTTGAAAATAACATGTACATGTACGTTTTAACATGCTGGTCCGGATTTGACGCATGAGGGCGCGCGTTATGTACTGTAAGGACGTATGCGAAGGCGATATGCGCTGTGAGTGGATTTACAATATAGGCACAGACCGAGCGCAACCCAGACTTGTCCAAGTCTATTGCTACCTTGAAGTGGGAAATCTTCAGAATGGGTGGGGGAGTAACAAATGAATACAGTCCTGTGATATTTCGCAGATATATGGCCTAAATATTAACATAGGACCACTTTAATGGACTTGGACCAATTCCACCAATGGACAAAAAATCTTTTAGAAAGATTTTGAAGGAATTGTGATTTTTCTGCACAGGCTATCGGCTACATGGTCATGTCCATCTTGGCTAGTTTGGCGACGTGCTGCGTCATTGGTTTTGGTGCCGCCAGGATGGCACTCATCAATCAAGTCTGTCATCCAATTTATACGCGTTATCGTTATTACTACACTTATGGCTATCTTCGCCAGAGGGTCTCGTACTATGACTACCCTCCTTCATTCTGTTATTTGCAGGTGAGTCGAACTTTAATCCCCTGATAATGAAAAAAGTTTTCGTGTTTCTGCCTCCAGGGGTGTGTATCTTTTTTTAATGGTCTTATTTGTTACATTTGTTTATTTCTCAGCGAATTTGCCGTCGTTGCTTCAATTTCGAGGCGCTATATTAATGAGAATCACGTCTCCGCTTTTCTTGATTTGAAGTATTTCCAAACTGCGATTTGTGTTTCAATGTGTATGATGAAGTTAAACGATTTTGAAAGCTACCTAGACGTTTACAAGACGGAACGTTAGGCCTACGTACCGCAAAGATATTTAGGTTTAATAAGGATACCCTGAAGTGTGAAGGTAACTAATACATCATCTCTTGCAATGATTCTATGCAGGCGGCCATCAATGGTGTTTATGCTATACTGATACTTCTAGCCTTAGTGGAGTTTGTTGTCGCCATCGTTGGTGCCAGCATGACCTGTGGTCCCCTCTGCAGTGGTGGATCAACAACTCAGACTGTGGTACGTGACAACACCAAGTTATGTCCTCTGGAGATCTGCATTGCTTTCTTTTATCTAGATCAAGTAAAAATCAATTCAGTTGACAAGTCCAGTTTTATGGGTTGTAAATTATGACATAGAAGTGGCTTTGTCACAACAGCTCACTGTGACTTGTCTTAGGACATGGTGCCTTGGGATTAGGTCATCAAGGACTTTTGAGACCTTGTGATTGTACAAACCGTGCATTTCATGCTTTTAAGGTAAACTCCAGTTTTTAAATTTAGCAGACAATCTATAGTGCGCTCATTTCTAACGTATGTATCGCGGCATGCGTATATCACAAGTATGGCGGTTATTATCGCATATGGCCATATAGGCCTACCTTTCATCCTTTTATTGGATTTCTTTCGAAAGCACTTCTGACAAAAACAATCTACAAGGTGAGTGGAAAAAAAAGAAGGAAACCGAAATGGTGCTCTCATTTTTTTCTTCAAAAGACGTTCTGCATGTAGCGCTTTCCAGATCAACGATGTAAGAGCCCGATTAATAAACTTTCTTTCAGTGAAAGAATCATTCAAATCGCTCTCGTACTTTTCAAGTTATGGAATTTTGAATACAAACACCATTTCAACTTTGTCCACGGATCACATTAAGGTACATGATCTAGGCAAAAGCTGGCAAGCGCTACATGCAGTACTTTTTTTTTTAATAGGGGGCCACCATTTGGGTTTCCTTTTTTTTTTTTTTTTTAACTCTCCTTGTAGTTATTGTCCGTTTCATGCCCTGAACTACCACTGAAGCTAGTAGACGAAATTATGAAAGGATAAATAGGCCTATATGTTTCAGCGCGGAAACAAATACTCGGGAAAATAAAGCGAATGCCTTTTAGACCTATATTTGCTCAGAGATCACAATAATTAGAACACTTTAAATGTTAACATTATGGTAACACTTAGGTGTCAAGAGGAGAGGTCAATGTAAAAAGAAAAACACATTCAGATTTGGGATGAACAATTACACGTACGATAGCAAGGTGGTAGGTATTTAATTAGAGGATGATGTATTTGAGAGAAAACAAACATGCAAATAAAGTAGAATTGTTCTCATAATGACAGATCCAATACCAAGCTCAACCACACCTGGTGGTTGCCACACAACCCCAGGGACCGGCTTTCTACAACATTCCTGGTCAGCCACAAGTTGGTAAGAGACGTCTTAAAAAAAAATATTATTTTAAGCTATAGTAATGATCAGATGGAAAATCCCAGGCTTATGGTCTCTCCCATGCAGTCTCCTGATTCATATAATGTGTTCCCCCGTTGGTGTATGTGTATATAAAAAGTATAACACCCTTCTTTAGTCGCCCATTTTCCCTTGTTCTTGTTTAGCCTACCCAGCCCAGCAGGGGCAGTATCCGCAAGCTCAAGCGCCCCCAACCGGTGAGTAATGGTACCAAAAACTCATTAAATAGGTCATCGATGAACTTTGACCTGAAGGCGTGATATCTAGGGGTTGAAACAGAATTTAAGTCTTGACTTATTCATGTTAAGTTGCATGTGGATGTACATTAGTTCTTAGCATTTTGACTACCTTATGTGTCAATAAAGAGATATTGCAGACGTTTAAATTTCATACAGTGAATGAAGAAAAGTGTACTCAGATATTTCCTCAAAAGCTGTTGTTACATAACGGAGAATGTACACACTGTCTTATCCTTAAAACTGCATTGGGCCATTTTCCTTTGTTTTTTTGTTTGTTTGAATGTATAGCCTACCCAGCCCAGCAGGGGCAGTATCCGCAGGCTCAAGCGCCCCCACCGGTGAACAACAGTACCAAGAACTCGTTAAATAGGTCATCGATGATCTTTGACCTGATGGAATCACGATATCTGGAGTTGGAAGAAGAAATAAATTCTTGATTTTTCATGTTAAGCTGTATCTGGATGTACATTAGGTTTTAGCCGTTCATGCAATGCGTCAAGAAATAGATTTAGAGGCAATGAAATAATATTGTCCTGCTCCTTTCTAGAATAATTCAAATGAAAGTTGGAGAACTGATTGACGCTTATTTTTTTTTTTATAAATGAAGAAAGCATAACGTACTCAGATATTTACTGAAGAGCTGTTGTTTCATAAAGGATAATGTATTTTTTACACAGACTAATATTGAAATATTTTTCGAAATCACGGCATCGGATGCAGACATTGGCTTAATTTGTTGAGCTCCCGTGCACTGTAGGGATTTTGGCATCATCGGATTTTGTTGCCACATATTCGAAGACGTACAACAATGAAAGCCAAAGCCAGGTTTGACACTTAACAAATAAAGTAGTCACTCATATACATTTTACATGGGGCAGGATAAAATCCTGCGTATTGGGAATATTGAGTTGAAGTTTATTTTTTTTCTGGTTATGGAACTTACTATGCAATGTGGCATCGGAAGGGTTCAGTTTTATGTGAGACTTGGCGGAATTTGTAGTATTACGAAATAAGTCTGTACAACACATAATGAGCTATTTCTTCGATTGTGACCATTAGATCCATTTGGTTAATCTAGGTGATGGCTGACATTGATTTTAGGTTGTAATTCACGAACTTTGTATGAGTTTAGGCCTACAGCGTGCTCAGTGACTATCCACGTCAATGACTGTCAGATTTGTCTATTATACAGGATGAGTGAAAAAGAAAGTGACCTGGAGTGGTTGTTTGCCTCTTAAAAAGCAATAACAGTTGACACACCAACGAAGCGTACATTAAACAAGCATGCTTTTTCCACTCATTTCAACAAATAAAATACTGAAATTGATCCATGCCATTAGAAGTTTACTAAAAATGTTACAAACAGACTATATTTAATTTTTTTACTAAAAGATTGCATTTTAGCGCTGTCAATGGAATGCCCTAAGAAGCTATATTGTATTATGTGAGAACCACAGATTACCCACATACATTCAGATACAAGTGAGATTTTGATAATATTTTTCTGAAATAATGATGGTGATTTTTGTCCGTTTTCCTGGGTAAATGTTTGTTCTTTCTTAAAATCAGGAAAACGCATGTACAAACATGTTCATTGGTTTACAGCTGAATTTATGGATGTGTGTATTAAAATATATTAGCTTGTGAAAATAGCACGCAAAATACATGACATTTTCAATGTTACCAGTGAATAATATGTACTTAATCGCCCTATGTTTATTAAACTGAGCGAGCCACATATTTTTTTTAACATATCTTATTACATTTACGTTTTAGCAGTCGATCATGCGCCAGAAATAGGTTTAGATTTAATGCAATTTGTATGGCTCCATTTTTTCACTACTTTTCATAAAATTACACTTAGAATGTTGGAGAACTGATGCTTAATTCTTTATATAAGTATAACGTACTCAGATATTTACTCAAGAGCTTTTGTATGATGGATAATGTATATTTTAAATACACTGATATTGTGCCTTTCCCGAAATCATGGCATCGGCTGATGCGTTGGCTTCATGATTTGAGCTCCTAAATTCTAAACCCAGTTGGCTCGATCTGATATTCTTTGGCCGCACATTCAAAGAAAGGAATTATAGCCTGATACATTTTACAGGGGGCGTGATCAAATCGGTCATATGCGGAATATTGAGTTGATGTTTATTTGTTCACGTTTTGGATATGCCACTTATTGCAATGTGGCAACGGAAGTGTTCAATTTATTTTTGGTGAGATTTTTTTTGCATGGATAAACACTGAAGAAAATAAACGAGCAGTGCCCACTTGTACAAAGGAACCAAAAGAAGGAATGCAGTAATGATAGTTATACAGAACATTTGTACGGGGCAAAACCTTCATTTATGTTTTGCTTGGGTATGTTGCTAAAATATGAGTTGCATTGATTTCATTTTTGTGATGCCTTTTGTATCATAAACTACTTTAGTCTTACGAAACCGTTCAGGGAAAGGGTTTTAAAACTGTAAAATCAGAACATCACGTGCATTTTTGTAATTCCTTATATTTCCTTTTCTATCGTCCATTATGCATACCTTTATGAAGGTCTAACATATAAAGAATGTTTTGATTCTGATCGCCGCGGTCCTCAATTGAGGTCAATAAAGAAATTCAAATGTCTTGAATTTACATTTGATTTTTGTTCTTGCACCGTTTTAGTAGTTCTGAAGAGTTTTCGTCCTGCCTTGATGCTAGTATTTCCAAAGTGTATAAATGGGTGACAAATTCAGTACTGAGAGAAAGAGCAATTCAGATTCAAGAGTAAACACTTTATTCACACAATTCCAACATGGCGCAGCCCAATCTTTTCGACTCCAGCGGGCGCTGTGTAAATAGACTGTGAACACAACACTCGACTATACTATTGGATCCACGAAACCCTCACGTGTTCTGTGCAGTCTTTTTTTTATATTTAATTTATTTAATTTATTTATATTTTAATATTACATTATCCTTATGAAAATATTTACAAACGTAGCATTACGTTCACGTTAAAAATAAATGTTGCAAATGTGCCAAAAGTGTGACCGTATTTGCGGTCTCCATTTGTATGTTGACCCCAGGTGGGCACCTGGGGTCAGCATAAAAATGGAAACCGCAAACGTCACAATTGAGTGGGAGGCTGGATGTTGGAACGGAGTTGAAACTGTTATTGAGCAACTCCAGACGGAGAAGGTCCAAATGCAATAGCAGATAAACTCACTAAAGAGGAAAAGAGTGCGATGACTTCCATCGACAACTTTCTTTCGACAAATCCGGTTCCACACATCAGCTTTCCAACAACTCAAGCAATTCATGAGATGGAAGCCACCAAGCCACAATACAGGGTGGATTGAAAAGAAATTAACCGAATTCTTAAAATTATGTGGCTCCATTTTGATAAAAGAAATAGGGTTAAAGTACATCTTATTGACTTTTATCTGTGAAAAAAATCACGTAATTTTCATACTCTATTACCACGTTATATCCACATGTATTTCAATATAAAAGATCACAAAACTCGGCTGTCCATGGACGTTCAGATCCCGGTTTTCGTGGGCAAATGGTGGGGCGATTGGACACCATCTTCTTATGGGGGCGCTGTTCAGACCGGCCGATCATGGGCAATATCGGACAATAGGTGCCGCTTTTCATGGCGGCACATTTGCCGACTTTTGCGCAACATTCCAAAAAACGGGCGCTCGTTAAGAAAGAGCGCTCGTAAAAAACGGCACGCTTTACGAAATATATAGGAGGGGGGGGGGGGGTAAATATCCCCCATCCCCTCAGCGGCAAAGGAAGTACAATTGGGGGTGCGCGGCCACTGCGTGTACATATAACGTGTACGCGCGTCCTCTCACACAAGGAACGGTGCACGTCAACCACTGATCTCTATATAACGACTGGATAGCGAACAGGGAGCCGCACAATGAATGAATTTGACGCCATATTGGTGAGACCGGTGAGACCGGCTGGTGATCTACAAAGGACAAGTTGCCGAATTTATAGACAGCATGATTTCTTTTGTAACATCGCGGTTCACTTGACTTATATTTTGACCACCACCACTGACCAAGGTTTACAATTTTTCTAACGACGTGATTTACTTTCTCAATGCCGCAGTTCACTTTTTCGGCGTTTTGGAAATAATAATCACTACGGAAATGTGTCCCTTTTAGAACATCATTATATGTGTACGTGACTAAAGTGCGCGTCAACTGTTGATACAACGTGTGCGTATATACGCGCTGAACGTTCGTATTATACGCAGCCATCTTCGTGAAACCAGGGGCGAATTGGTCAATATGTAAAGTCTACTGTGTGAATGCTGTATGGATATCCTCTATCCCAACCTCGTGCCCCGTGGGTACGATCTTGCAGCGCCATGGTGTTTTCCCATCATGCCTTGTGCGATCGTTAGTGTAAGGAACTCTCCCTTTTTTTTGGGCTTGCACCCCCCCCCCCTCGCGACCATGCCATGATAGTTGCCATTTGATTATTTTGATTGTTTATTTCGCGTGCGATTGTAATTAATCTGTTGCTTATCATTCATCTGGTTACAAATTCGTAAATGTTCACTTCCTTGTGTTGGATTTTTTTTTTATTGAATCGGCTTATTCATCCGTATATTTATATTTTTGTTTCGATATCGTTTTTACTTATTTTACAATATTGATGCTTAGCTTTAATTTATGACTAGCTACATGATTATTTATTTATGGCATTTTCTATTTTCTCTAACCCTCACATTTTTATCCCATGGTCTCTATTTGTGTTTGTCCGATTGTCTGTTTCTGTAATTGTTGAGTTGACATTTCGGTTTTGTTTTTGTCAAGGCATCTTCATATAAGCCCCCGGCTTCGAAAGATGCCTGTATAATTGCCTACATAGCTATATACATGTTTGATCTTGTTGAGTGTCGGGCACAACCCGACCACTTTCTCCGCGGTTTTCTCCTTAACCGTTCGTGATATTGAAGTTAAAACGATATCGAAACAAAAATGTATATAAACAGATGAATCAGCTGATTAAATAAAAAAAAATCCAACACCAGGAAGTGAACATTTAGGAATTGTTTACCAGATGAATGATAAGCAACAGATTCATTACAATAGCACGCGAAATAAATAATCACAATAATCAAATGGCAACTATCATGGGCGTCGCGAGGTGGGTGGAGGGGGGGGGGGGGGGGGGGGGGGAGGGCAAGCCAAAAAAACAGGAGAAAAAAAAGGGGGGGGAGAGGGGCGAAATCATATTGTTGTTTATTTAAAGGGTTGGGGTCGCCGGGGGAAAATACCCTGCCCACCCTCGAAAAAATGATCAATCGGGAAAATGCAGGAAATCATAAGGATTTGGGGGGAATGTGCTTTGCCCACTCAAGAAAAATCCTGGCGACGCCCATGGCAACATATGTAACGCAAACATGTGTAAATAATAAACCATGCAATGGAGAACAAATTTACTTAAGCCAGTAAAACAAATTAATTTAAAACAATTGTTAGAAGTTATAACAGAAAGAAATAGGTATAAAGATACAACTCCAAATAACCACTCAAATAAGTTAGGTAGTGGTGGATTTAAATGGTGGGTTCATCATACCAAGAGCCTTTGGCGCAAGAGATAATATTGCAGATTGACATTTTGACAGATGGCGGACAGCAGTCATCTTCAAATAGCAGGTCATGGTAGTCCCTGAACGTCAAAAGAACCATTCCAATGGGTTGTCATGCCAGAATTAATTGAAATTAAACATCTTATTGTCTATTGTACAAAAACCTTGTCGCACTTTGTCAAATTATGATTTCACATTTAGGCTTAGTTTATAGTTTATTTTTGCTTTAGAAGCATACTCACCCTCTTTAAAGTCTAATCAGAAAGTGCTGCCTTTTCAGATGTCTATATTTCGTGATATTTCAAGATTCGTTTGCACATGTTTTCGTATCAAAATTTTCAACATGAAATTTCACGAAAATTAGACATCTAAAAAAAGTGCGACATGTTTTTTTGTACATCACGTACATGTACATGGTGGCGAGTGGCCTATGTTACGGAGGTAGTCCTGTAAATTGCCACATTTATGGGGCTAGAAACTGAGAATCTCCTCTCGTTTAAGCAGTTGCTTTACATACTTGTCCATCTCTTCTTTCAGGTCATTATCCTCCTTCCAAGCGTCATTTCGAGAGTAAAAACCGTCAGCACTAGGCCCCACGTTCGTGTCTTCGGTTCCGCAATGACACCGATCTGTACTGTAAAGCTAGAGTTCTACTAGTCCTTACCCTGTACTAGACTGCGCGATATTGGATACAGCGCGCGGCCCATCACCCCCACATAAAATTGTTTAACTCTATGCATCCCCATCGGCAAAGCACTGTGGGATACTGTGGCAACCATAGGCCGTCACGAATATGAAGTTCACTTTGAAATCACTTTCATTTTTGTAAAATCTAACTTTCTTTTTATTTAAACATGAACTTGAAAATATTTTTATAAACATTTAAATTTGAAAATATTTTTATAAGAAATTTAAATTTGAAATTATTTTTAAAAGCAATTCAAATTTGAAAATATTTTTATAAGAAATTTAAATTTGTGAAATATTTTTATATAAGCAATTTAAATTTGAAATATTTTTATAAGAAATTTAAATTTGAAATTATTTTTAAAAGCGAATTAAATTTGAAAATATTTTTATAAAAAATTTAAATTTGAAATTTTTTAAAAGCAATTTAAATTTGAAAATATTTTTATAAGAAATTTAAATTTGAAATTATTTTTATAAGCAATTTAAATTTGAAATTATTTTTATAAGCATTTTAAATTTGAAATTATTTTTTATAAAAAATTTTATTTTGAAATTATTTTTATAAGAATTCTATTTTTTTTGAATTAACTAAAATAGTTTTTTAAAACATTTTGAAAAGAAAACTATGTAGAGCGGTAAATTTTGAAATATTTACTGAAAAAGGGGAACGGCAATGAACGGCCACCATAGTTGTCCTATCCAGTCTGTGTATATGGAGATCAATGCTTGTATTATACAGTCCGTGCGTTTCGTGCGCATTAATATTGGTGGTGCGTCGGTAAAGTGCTGACTTAAGGTTACTTGTTTTGCAGTATGAATCTAATGAGAGCTCAAATACACCAGTGGTAACCAAGGCCTTTTTTCATCACTCGGCCGTACCATTGCTATAGCGTAGGGATCTAAAAGCGGACCCTAAGATAGATGATGGGAGGCTTTTGTGGCAATACTAAAGCAAATGCTATATTAAGAATATGACGTAATGGCGCGCAATAATAATTATTGCCTGACAAACGCAGTCGGTATGAGCTTTGTACAGTACGCCGTGCCAGGCAGTGACGACGGTTGAAGAAGCAGGAACACTCCAGCGTAATTATAAGGTAAAACGATTGCATTTGTTTTTCATTCCGTAAGATTCAATGCAGTCATTCATTACAATTTGTACAATCACGTACAAATTTTACAATGATATGATATTTGATAAATATTACGTACACAGCAATCAAGCAGCAAATGAAATTACATTGAGGTATAAGGTTTAAGCGAAAGGCTTTGTGTCTATAAGGCACTTGTACAAGTGCAAATTACATCTAGTGGATGTCCAGCATAGGGCGCCGAGGCAGAGCAAAGAAGCAAGAATTTCTGTATTATGTTCTAATATACTATGCAAACTAACCTATGGACACTGAGACAAATATAGGTTACAAGATACTGTGAAATGGACATATAGTACAAACAAAACACAAGATAAGACAGACAACTACGTGTGAGACGAGGCATTTTTCACTGAGATAGGGCAATGATTTTTAAGAGAATCATCCTAATTATTCCAGTATAAAAGATGCCTCGACGAACAACACTATTTAATACATTGACGTTCTTTTAAATTGGACGAACACATTTTCCCTAGCACCATTCGTGTATTATAGCTTATAGGCCTACATACAATTTAGATGTCTTTTTCTGCGTCAAATACGAAATTAATACAGGGAGGGATTATCTTATGCGTGATTGTATACATGAGTTATTCCCGTGAAGTGATATAAGTCATTACAATGTAATAGATTTTAATTGAGCAAACATCATGATCACGATAGCCTGCATTCGAAATTGCACGAACCGCTCGTCTTCGTAAAATAAGTAATGTGTCACATTAACGTTTCGTAAACGTATTAACTAACCCCGATTCAAGATTGAGTAATTTAAATATCGTAAAACGAATGAAATGAAATTGTACTCGGGAGGTACTATTTTAAACGAGTAACATGCCAGTGTTCTTAAATATTTGTATTGCTTCTTCGTCAATACGGTTTTCCGAGTAAGTTTTTCATAAAATTATTTTATTTTATTTCATAAAATTATTTAATCTGAATTAGCTTTGTTTTATTAAAAATCAAAGGAACAAATTGTGTGTACTTGAATTGATCGATACAAAATTATGAAAGTTGATTAGAGGACATAAATACATAATTTGTTTATGAAATGCGTAGCTGCCACAGAGGTCATCTTTGAAATGCGAGCAAACATAGATGAACCAGACCGACGGACAATTAACTGATTGATTAATTGATTGATTGATTGATTAATTGATTACAGAGAATCCAGAGATACTTTCTGTCACGGTGATGGCCACTACTAATGCCCCTCCTTCCTACGTGGCTGCGCCTCAGCCCGTCGGCCAGCAACAACTGGTAAGCCAGTCATCTCTCCCGGAATATAACAGTTCAGAATAATTATGGTGTAAAGGAAAAATCAAATAGGGCCCCAATATTGTGCACTGTGTGTATATCAGTATTATGTTAATTACTATAAGCCATCACTTATTTTATGATAATTATATGAATGACATTGATGGTGCTTTTATGTTATATACCCGGTATTCACTATGCCTGCTCTGTACCGTTCAGTACAGGCAAGCTGTACACGCCGCTGGTCTTCGTACATAACTACACGCGCACAATACTTATACAGTCCACTTATTACATTAAGTTTGCAATGTCATGTACGTACATGTACATGGACCCTATTCATGTGCTAATTTTGCCATGAAAACAATTAAATCTACCTCAAGGACATAGTGTGTGTCGTGTTGGGCGAGTGTATCAATGAAAACATTGACTTAGTTCATTGTTTTTTTATTTGTTAGGGTTGCATTGTACCTACACGAAATATTTGTTATCCAAAATATCACGTGTTTTTTTTATTCACAATAATCACTCCTCTTAACAAACCCCAAATTGGTCATTTGACTTATGGTAAAAATATTTTTAAAAAATCATCTCCCATATACTTTTATAAAAGTTGGCCCGAACCCAAATGAGGAAAAATTCTGGAACCTTGTTCTCGTTATTTTGCACTTGGGTGACGTAAGCTGTCAAAGTGCGAAAAAGAAACTTGAAATTATCTGAACAGTTGTTTTGCATGCGAAGCCCCCCCCCCCCCACTTTTAAATGTTATGGCCTCGCCCATGAAAGGGTAAAAAAACATTGAATCAATAATGGTTTTGAACTTGTGGAGGCATCCATACGTGATCCTGAGAGTTTCAAAGAGTGTACCGACAACATGCATAATGGGCCCACACAAGACCAATGAGTCATACCCCGAAAACCATTGACACTCAACCTGATTCACCAGGTGACGGTGCAACCCGCTGCCGGCGTTACTTTCGGCACGGTCAACCCACAGCCTCGAAGTGGTAACTGGAAGGGTATTGTATGGACAGGAATAATTCAAGTGGTTTTGGGTTCCTTAACCGTCATTCTGGGGATTGTCACCCTGACTGAATTTGGCCAGTTCTTCTTTTTCGGTGACATCGGATCTCCAATTTGGTGTGGTATATTAGTAAGTACAATATTCACCCTCATTCCATGCTATTCTTTGTTTATTGACAGTGCTGATTCATTTGTTTCTTTGTTTCTTATGTAGCCTTTGATGCCTATTATGATCATCCTTTTGGTAGAATACAGGGCCACTCCATTCCATATCCGCGCATCCATGGCTGCGTGGATGCGCAGTCGGTTTTCTATAGGGCCCTCTATTGATTAAAATTTACTTCATGCCCCCTCCGCATCCGCGCATCCAGGCATCCAATAAAGCGCCCTCTATAATTGATTTAACTTAACTTCATGCCACCGGCGCATTTCTATAGCGCCCTCTATTGATTGAAACTTACTTCATGCCCACTCCGCATCCGCGCATCCGCGCATCCAGGCATCCAAAAAAGGGCCCTCTATTGATGAAAATTTACTTATGCCCTTCCCCGCATCCGCGCATCCGCGCATCCACACATCCACGCATCCACGTCAGGGTAGGTAGGGGTTGGTTTGAGATAGGGAAATAAAGTAGTGAGTCTATAGGGTAAATACAGTAAAAGGTCCTGGGGTAAATAAAACGCCCTCTATTAATGACTTCATGCTCATCCACCCCGCTTTCGCGCATCCAAGACATCCCAAGCCGTCACTCGGTGTATATACTACGTACTCGTCATTCATTCACTCTCTATAGCGCCCTCAATTGATCACAATTTACCTCACGCTCATTCACTCTTTACCGCCCTCTTTTTATATATATCTACGTTCATACCGCATGTTGTATACCCACGTACGTACGCGTTAGCATGGGGAATTCTCATATATACCAATGTTGCTTCGTTCTCAAAAGAGTGCCCAACGTCAACGACCCCACTCCTCACATCGCATCCAACTACCAAAAAAAAACCTTTTCCCGGCGTGGCCCTGCATTCTATAGTTGCTCCATACTTTTAAACAGAGGCTTATGTGGAGAGCGGGGAATGAATTTTGCGGAATATTTCTCATTAAAAAAGACGAAAAGTTGTTTACATGCACGAGGTTTACGGTGGGATAACGGTGTACGTGTGCAATAATACGTTTACGTTGTACAACAGACACTTTCGTTTTGTGTCCACATCGGAGGCTAAAGTGTCCAATATCTTGCCAAATGAACATTTTGGTTGCATTTGTATACATCTGTTGCACACGTGGGGACGCCAAATGAATCCTCTAGCCTTTCCTAAATCTCAGCAATGATTTTTTTGTACAGTTCTACGTCGTCGCTGGAATCTTGGGCATAGTGTCAGGATGTAAGAAGCATTCCGGAGTGGTAAGCAGTGTTAGGGTTTTTTACTTGGAAGTATAATAGTGTTTTAGTTGTTGCTACCTTAGACTTTACACAAGTCGGAATTGCTTTAAGTCGGTATCTTAAAAAAAGTAGCAAAAATCACTTCGTTTACCTCTTTCCAGATGCCCGACAAGGTACACCTCAGCGCGCATTCCACTTCAGTGCCGTATAGCATGAATGCGCACCCACTGTACGTACATTGTACAACACGCGTATTACACGTACATGTGTGTACATGTACTGCAGAGCATGTGCATACATGTGGTGCAATAGTTAGCAATATCACTTGAAAATAACATGAACATGTACGTTTTTAACATGCTGGTCCGGATTTGACGCATGAGGGCGCGCGTTATGTACTGTAAGGACGTATGCGAAGGCGATATGCGCTGTGAGTGGATTTACAATATAGGCACAGACCGAGCGCAACCCAGACTTGGCCAAGTCTATTGCTACCTTGAAGTGGGAAATCTTCAAAATGGGTGGGGGAGTAACAAATGAATACAGTCCTGTGATATTTCGCAGATATAAGGACTGAATATTAACATATGACCACTTTAATGGACTTGGACCAATTCCACCAATGGACAAAAAGTCTTTTAGAAAGATTTCGAAGGAATTGTTTTTTTTTCTGCACAGGCTGTCGGCTACATGGTCATGTCCATCTTGGCTTGTCTGGCTGCGTGCTGCGTCATTGGTTTTGGGGCTGCCATGATGGCGATCATCAATCAAGTCTGTCATCCAATTTATACGCGTTATCGTTATGACTACACTTATGGCTATCGTGGCCAGAGCGTCTCGTACTATGACGACCCTCTTCATTCTGTTATTTGCAGGTGAGTCGAACTTTAATCCCCTGATAATGAAACGTTTTCGTGTTTCTGCCTCCAGGGGTGTCTATCTTTTTTTTCTTCATTTTCTTATTTGTTACATTTATTTATTTCTCAGCGAATTTGCCGTCGTTGCTTCACTTTCGAGGCGCTATATTAATGAGAATCACGTCTCCGCTTTTCTTGATTTGAAGTATTTCCAAACAGCGATTTGTGTTTCAATGTGTATGATGAAGTTAAACGATTTTGAAATCTACCTAGACGTTTACAAGACGGAACGTTAGGCCTACGTACTGCAAAGATATTTAGGTTTAATATGTGTTGAATTGTGGGATACCCTGAAGTGTGAAGGTAACTAATACATCATCTCTTGCAATGATTCTATGCAGGCGGCTGTCAATGCTGTTTATGCTATACTGATAATTCTCGCCTTAGTGGAGTTTGTTGTCGCCATCATTGGTGCCAGCATGACCTGTGGTCCACTCTGCAGTGGTGGATCAGCAACTCAGACAGTGGTACGTGACAACACCAAGTTATGTCCTTGTAGATCTGCATTGCTTTTTTTAAAATCTAGATCAAGTAAAATTCAGTTTTACGCGGTGTAAATTAGCTCATTGTGATTTGTCTTAGGACATGGTGCGTTGGGATTAGGTTATTAAGGACTTTTGAGACCTTGTGATTGTACGAACCGAGCATTTCATGTTTTTGAGGTAAACTCCAGTTTAAATTCACCTGATAATCTATAGTGGGCTCATTTCTAACGTATGTATCGCAGCATAGATGTATCACAAGTATGGCAGTTATTGTTGCATATGGCTATATAAGCCTGCCTTTCATCCTTTGATTGGCTTTCTTTCGAAAGCACTTCTGACAAAAACAATCTACAGGATGAGTAAAAAAAAGGAGACCCAAATGGTGCTCCCATTTTTTTCAAAAGACGTTCTGCATGTAGCGCTTTCCAGATCTACAATATAAAAAAAAAACGATTAATAAACTTTCTTTCAGTGAAAGAATCATTCAAATCGCTCGTGTACTTTTCAAGTTATGGAATTTTGAACACAAACACCATTTTGTTTAACATTGTCCACGGATCACATTAAGGTACATGATCTAGGTAAGAGCTGGCAAGCGCTACATTTTCAAATAGGGGGTCACCATAAGGGCTTCCTTTTTTTTAACTCTCCCTGTAGTTATTGTCCGTGATGCCCTGGACTACCACTGAAGCTAGAAGACGAAACTATGAAAGGATAAATAGGCCTATATGTTACAGCACGGAAACACTTAATACTCGGGAAAGTATAGCGAATGCCTTGTAGACCTAAATTTGCTCAGAGATCATAATAATTCGACCACTTAAAATGTTAACATTATGGTAACACTTAGGTGTCGGGGATTTTAAGAGGAGAGGTCGATGTAAAAAGAAAAACACATTCAGATTCTGGATAAACGACAATTACACGTACGATAGCAAGGTGGTAGGTATTTAATTATAGGATGATGTATTTGAGAGAAAAAAAACACCAAATGAAGTATAATTGTTCTCATAATGACAGATTCAATACCAAGCTCAACCACACCTGGTGGTTGCCACACAGCCCCAGGGACCGGCCTTCTACAACATTGATGGTCAGCCACAAGTTGGTAAGAGACGTCTTAAAAATATTGTTTTCATCTATAGTAATGATCAGATAGAAAAATCCCAGGCTTATGGTCTCTCCTATGCAGTCTCTTGATTCATATAATGTGTTCCCCGTTGTTCTTGTTTAGCCTACCCAGCCCAGCAGGGGCAGTATCCGCAAGCTCAAGCGCCCCCAACGGGTGAGTAATGGTACCAAGAACTCATTAAATAGGTCATCGATGAACTTTGACCTGAAGGCGTGATATCTAGGGGTTGAAACAGACTTTAAGTCTTGCCTTATTCATGTTAAGCTGCATGTGGATGTACATTAGGTTTTAGCAATATGCCTACCTTATGTGTCAATAAAGAGATGTTGCATACGTTTAATTTTCATACAGTGAATGAAGAAAAGTGTACTCAGATATTTCCTCAAAAGCTCTTGTTACATAACAAAGAATGTATACACGGTCTTATCCTTAAAACTGCATTCGGCCATTTTCCCTCAGTTTGTTTTGTTTGAATTTATAGCCTACCCAGCCCAGCAGGGGCAGTATCCGCAGGCTCAAGCGGCCCCCACCGGTGAGCAACAGTACAAAGAACTCGTTCAATAGGTCATCGATGATCTTTGACCTGATGGAATCATGATATCTGGAGTTGGAAGAAGAATTAAATTCTTGATTTGTTCATGTTAAGCTGTATCTGGATGTACATTAGGTTTTAGCCGTACATGCTGTGGGTCAACAAATAGATTTAGATGCAATGCAATAATGTTGTCCTGCTTTATTTTAGAATAATTCAAATAAAAAGTTGGAGAACTGGCGCTTATTTTTTTTTATAAATGAAGAAAGCATAACGTACTCAGATATTTACTGAAGAGCTGATGTTTCTTAAAGGATAATGTATATTTTTACACAGACTAATATTGAAAATTTCCCGAAATCACGGCATCGGATGCAGACATTGGCTTAATTTGTTGAGCTCCCAAGCACTGTACGTATTTTGGCAGCATCGGATTTTGTTGCCACATATTCAAAGACGTACAACAATGAAAGCCAAAGCCAGGTTTGACACTTAACAAATAAAGGAATCACCCTTATACATTTTACATGGGGCAGGATAAATTCCTGCGTATTGGAATATTGAGTTGAAGTTTTTTTTTCTGGTTATGGAACTTACTGTGCAATATGGAATCGGAAGGGTTCAATTTTATGTGAGACTTGGCGGAATTTTGTATTATAACGAAATAAAAATATGGCACTCTAGTCTGTACAACACATAATGAGCTACACTTCTTCGATTGTGACCATTAGATCTATTTGTTTAATCTAGGTGATAGCTGACATTGAGTTTAGGTTGTAATTCACGAACTTTGTGTGAGTTTAGGCCTACAGCGTGCTCAGTGACTATCCACTCAGTGAATATCAGATTTGTCTATTATTCAGGATGAGTGAAAAAGAAAGTGACCTAGGGTAGTTGTTTGCCTCTTAAAAAGCAATAACAGTTGACACACACATCGAAGCGTACATTAAACAAGCATGCTTTTTCCACTCATTTCAACAAATAAAATACTGAAATTGATCCATGCCATGAGAAGTTTACTAAAATTTTTACAAACAGACCATACAATTTTTTACTAAAATATTGCATTTTAGCGCTGTCAATGGAATGCCCTAAGAAGCTATATTGTATTATGTGAGAACCACAGATTGCACACATGCATTTAGATACAAGTGAGATTTTAATAATATTTTTCTAAAATAATGATGGTGATTTTTGTCCGTTTTCCTGGGCAAATGTTCGTTCATTCTTAAAGGCAGGAAAACGTATGTACAAACATGTTCATTGGTGGACAGCTGAATATAGGGATGTGTATTAAAATATATTAACTTGTGAACAAAGCACGCAAAATACATGAAATTGTCAATGTTACTAGTGATTGATATGTACAAAATCGCCCTATGTTTATTAAACTGAGCGAGCCATATATTTTTTTAATATTCTTATTACATTTAGGTTTTAGCAGTCATGCGTCAAGAAATGGCTCTATTTTGCAATACTGTTCATAAAATTGAACTTAGAATGTTGGAGAACTGATGCTTATTTTTTTGTAAAGTATAATGTACTCAGATATTTACTCAAGAGCTTTTGTATGATGGATAATTATTAAATACATTGATATTGTGCCTTTCCCGAAATCATGGCATTAGTTAATGCATTGGCTGCATGTTTTGAGCTCCTAAATACTAGAGTCAGTTTGCTCGATCTGATATTTTTTGACTGCACATTCAAAAGAAAGGAATTATAGCCTGATACATTATACAGGCATGATTAAATCGGTCATATGTGGAATATTGAGTTGATGTTGAATTGTTCACGGTCTGGATATGGCACTTATTGCAATGTGGCAACGGAAGTGTTCAATTTTGTTTCATGGAAAAACACTGAAGAAAAAAACGAGCAGTGCCCACTTGTACGAAGGAACCAAAAGAAGGAGTGCAGTAATGATAGTTATACAGAACATTCGTACGGGGGAAACCTTCATTTATGTTTTGCTTGGGTTATGCTGCTAAAATATAAGTTGCATTGATTTCATTTTTGTGATGCCTTTGTATCATAAACTCCTTTAGTCTTACGAAACCATATTTCAGGGAAAGGGTTTTAAAACTGTAAAATCAGGACATCACGTGCGTTTTTATTATTCCATATATTTCCTTTTCTATCGCAAATTTCGTTATGCAGATCTTTATGTTATAGGTCTAAAATATAAAGAATGTTTTGATTCTGATCGCCGCAGTCCTCAATTGAGGTCAATAAAGAAATTCAAATGTCTTGAATTTGCGTTTTTGTTCTTGAACCGTTTTAGTAGTTCTGAAGAGTTTTCGTCCTGCCTTGATGCTAGTTTTTCCAAACTGTATAAATGGGTTACAAATTCAGTACTGAGAGAAAGAGCAATGCAGATTCAAGAGAGTAAACACTTTATTCACACAATTCCAACATGGCGCAGCCCAATCTTTTCGACTCCAGCGGGCGCTGTGTAAATAGACTGTGAACACAACACTCGACTATACTATTGGATCCACGAAACCCTCACGTGTTCTGTGCAGTCTTTTTATATTTAATTATTTAATTTATTTATATTTAAATATTACATTATCCTTATAAAAATATTTACAAACGTAGCATAACGTTCACGTTAAAAATAAATGTTGCAAAATGTGCCAAAAGTGTGACCGTATTTGCGGTCTCAATTTGTATGTCAGCATAAAAATGGAGACCGCAAACGTCAAAATTGAGTGGGAGGCTGGATGTTGGAACGGAGTTGAAAACTGTTGATTGAGCAACTCCAGACAGAGTAGGTCCAAATGCAATAGCAGATAAACTCACTGAAGAGGAAAAAGAGTGCGATGACTTCCATTGACAACTTTCTTTCGACAAATCCGGTTCACATCAGCTTTCCAACAACTCGAGCAATTCATGAGATGGAAGCCACCGAGCCGCAATACAGGATGGATTGAAAAGAAATTAACCGAATTCTTAAAATTATGTGGCTCCATTTTGATAAAAGAAATAGGGATAAAGTACATCTTATTGACTTTTAACTGTGAACAATTTCGCGTAATTTCTTACTCTATGACCGGCGTTGTATCTACATGTATTTCATAAAAAAGATCACAAAACTCGGCTGTCCATGGACGTTCAGATCCCAGTTTTCGTGGGAAAGTGGTGGGGTGATTGGACATCATCTACTGATGGGGGCGCTGTTCAAACCGGCTGATCATGGGCAATATCGGACAATAGGTGCCGCTTATCATGGCGGCACATTTGCCGACGTTTGCGCGACATTCAGAGCGCTCGTAAAAAACGGCACTCTTTACAAAAATATTGGGGGGGGGGGGGTTAAATAACCCTCATTATCCCCTCCCCCCGCTGGCTAGGCCACTAGTATTGCCCTCGAATATGAGTACCGGAACATACTTAAGGAAGCATTTGGTACAAGTCACGTCGTGTTGTTTGAGATTGGCAGTGAAAAAGAAAGATTATTACGGTATTGGAGGGGTTCAACTTTATGTATGACTAGTCAGAATTTGGAATAGCATTAAAAAAAACCTGATAATCTATACCGTGCTAGGAGTGAGCGGCTTCTTGAATTTGACCCCCATAAGATCCATGGGCGGCTTCTGTAGGACTGGTTTTCCAACAAAAACTCTGTGAGATTCCATCCCTCTCTGCGAAAATTTGGTTGCAGATTAAGCCGATATGTCTGGTTGACCCCTCTCCTATAATACTGACTTAAGCAGGGCGGGCGTTCTTTGCATAACGATTGATCTACGTTATAGAAAAGACAAAACTTACCATCATTCTGCAACACTTCACTTAAATTTAACATTGTTAATGTTTTCGAATAGGAGCTATACGGACCCTGGGATGGATGATAATGGGAGGCTTTTCAGCCAATATTAGAGCAAATGCTATATTTGGAATATGACGTAATGGCGCGCAAAAATAATTATTGCCAGATAAACGCAGTCGATATGTGTTGCACAGTACGCCGTGCAACGCAGTGACGACGGTTGAGGAAAACGGGGACACTCCAGCGCAAGGTAACACGATTGCGTTTTTTTGCATTTCGTGACATTCAATGTTGGTATTTATTACAATTTGTTCGATCACGTAGAGTACATAAGGAGCACAATGATATGATATTTGATAGACGCTGTGTACACAACTATTTAACAATAAAGCAGCAAATGAAATTACATTGAGGTATAAGGTTTAACCGAAAGGCTTTGTGTCTTTAAGGTGCTGCATGTACAAGTGCAAATTCCATCTGTGGATGTCAGCATAGGGCGCCGAGGCGGAGCAAGAAGCAAGCATTTCTGTATATGTTCTAATGTTCTATGCAAACTAACCTATGGATACTGAGACAAATATAGGCTACAAGATACTGTGAAATGGACAATTAGGACAAACAAAACACAAGGTAAGACAGACAAGTACGTGTGAGACAGGCATTTTCGTCACAAAGATAGATAGATAGGGCAATGATTTATGAGAATCATCTGAATTGTATCTAGTATAAAAGATGCCCAGCCTGAACAACACCGACGAACATTATTTAATACATGACGTTCTGCAAAATTGGACAAACACTTTTCCCTATAGCTACTTTCAGTATTATAGCCTATACATGAAATTCAGAATTTGTTTAACGTCAAACAAGAATTTATACAGGGAGGGAGTAAATTATGCATGAAATGTATACATGAGTATATTGCCGTGAGATGGAAAGTATATTTAATATAGCCAAAACATTGGAGCAGAGTGATCACGATAGCCAGTATTCGAAAATACACGAACTGCTCGTTTTGGTAAAGTAGGTAATGTGTTGAATTTAGAGAAA